TGGATGTCTCTTCTTGAACTCCTTCCACCAGTCATCCGATGGCAATTTGTCTCTGCTTGTTCCTGTTCGCTCAGTGAACATCTCCACAACTCGAGTCAACACCTGTCTCTTTGTCATTGGCTTGTAATGTGCAAACGACATCTCTATCTCCTTGACAAGCATATCCTCTTGCTCCGCCTCCAATAGTCGCTTGGTAGATGGGATGCCATTGTTGCACAACAAATTAATCGTGGAGGTGTCCACGCATACAACTCCTGCGTGAGATTCATCGACTTAGAGTCGAATTCATTTTTGTGTGGCAGATTATTTATCAACTCGTGAGGACATGTTTGGTTGTTGATATGAGAGGATGAATTATTGTTGCATTATTTTGAATTAAAATGTATGAGAAGGATGCAAGCAAGTCATTCTTCAAAGCGAACATATCATACAAACACATAACAGCAACACAGATTCATCGCCTCGAACACCTCATTGATTGATCACTGGCTTGGAGCAAAACACTCAATCGTCGCGGACCCCACATTGGAAGCCATCATGGACACCACCACGCAAAACATCAATAAAATGTTGAATAAAGCACTCCTTCAAGTGGTGGTGATCCTCCATTTGTGCACTTTTGAGACCCCTGTTGAGTGAGAGATGCACCAGAGGCCCCTCATTGGACCTCATGGACACCACCACGATAAAATTGTTGTGGCCAATGCCTTGGATATATCGCTTGGCCTGACATCATACTTTAGTGCCAACTGTTTATGTTGTATTGTATTATCCTCGTGCAATTCCTTAAAGACTTCCTCCATTCTCTCTTTATAGTCCTTTTTCTGTATCCTGGTTGGAGTATTTCTAAGAGGTACGCCTGACATGTCTTAAAAATGCTCGTAATAATAGTACATGTAGATGATATCAAAATGATCGTATAATTATATTTGTATAAGATATATTATATATGATTAGATAGTATATGATCTATAGAACAACAATATTATCTGTTTGTTTAATAATTTGGGAAATTAATTAAATGAATCACGTCTACAACTATCTCAGACCTGTAACCTTCATCATTCACGCACAAATATCCCCACAGAGAAATTACCCCCTGAAATTCCGAATACCTCAGGTGGGTGTGACGACAATCAACGTATCAATCATGACCATCTCCTGATCACTGCCGTGGACTTTATGGTAAATGGAAAGAAGATTGTCTCATTCACAACTTCAAACATTTTGAACCCTCTAGTGTTTCCATCTCCATACGCTCTACCAATAAGGTAATAGATGATGAGATAGATATATATTTTGTCAACCAACTAACACATTATCATCATCATTACATTATTTTCATAATAGTGGACTTGTTAATATGTCGGTCTCACTTTATTCGATCTTTCCAAGTGAGAGTGTATCAGTTCAATACTTCTTGAAGTGGTCCACAGACCCATCTCCTGTACAATTGACTAGGACTGCAACATCTTGTGTTGCCAATTACTCGAGCTTCAATGTTCCAGGTGGATCAGCCAGTACCTTTACCATTCAAAACAGTGTCGTATGGCAGCAGAATGTCAATGCCATGGCTTTCCAAGCGTCTGCCTCCCAGGGTGTATTGGCCATGTCCATCAAGGACACAGTTGGTAATGTTGTCTGCCAGTCAACTCCAGTCTACAAGGATGGATTCTTGCAGTATATGGTGCCATGCAACAACATCGTACCACTTGTCAAAGGCACCACTTATGTCACTACAGCCGTCTACAACAACACCAAACCTCTTAGAGGAGTGTTTGGAAACTTTGGCCTTTATGTTGGTTTCCCACGTCCATCGACAAGCTCTACCACTTCCTCTACTTCTACTACTACATCTCACACCAGTCAGACAAGTCAAACAAGCCAAACTAGTCAGACGAGCCAGACAAGTCAAACCTCGGATTCTACCAAATCCATTTCAATCACTGGATTCACAGCCAGTCCTACTGGTAGCTCGACAACCACTGGAAGCACTGCAGGTGGTCCCACCGATGACACCTCTGCTCCTCCAACAGCTTCACCAACTGGATACACAGTCACCTCTGGTGACCTTTCATATGGCTGGCAACCAGCCAGGAAGCTTAGAATTTATTAATAAATAATAACGCTGGTTTTCTATTTACAAAAGGAAGAATAGTTAGTGAGATCCTAATAAGGTGACAAGGCCTGTATGACTATAGTCACTCTCTCCCTTAGATATTGGAGACAACGATATATATTATAGTCAGTGGCAAATCATTATCTTTGCCGTCTTAAATGTACATTTATCAGTGGACAAACAATAACACCAATGTCACTTCAACAGTCTACACAAGCCAGCCAATACTCAGAGTGTGCGTTGGGTTGGGCAACCAGTAGAAATGTATTTAAATATCAAGACCTTGTCTTCTCTTGGCACTGATCAAAGTATTGTTCAAAAGCATGGCGATGGTCATTGGTCCAACACTATTTGTTGTTGTTGTTGTGGTAGTATTAGAATGTTAGTGAGGGGCAACAAGCACGTAATGCTGATTGACTTATACTTACCCTCCTGGAACTGGAGTGATTTGGCTGGCAACCTCCTTGACTTGGGCAAAGTCAACATCACCACACAGCTTGCCATCGACAGTGTTCATACCGACGTCAATGACAATGGCACCTGGCTTCACCCAGTCAGCCTTGACCATGCGGGCCACACCGATGGCAACCACCAGGATGTCAGCTTGAGACACAACCTGCTGCAGGTTGGCGGTCTTTGAGTGACAGATGGTGACGGTGGCATTGCGGTTCATCAACATCATGGCCACTGGCAGTCCGACGATGTTTGACCTGCCCAAGACAACGGCGTTCTTGCCCTCGATTTGCACACCCGAGCGAATGAGCAGTTCAATGCATCCCTTTGGAGTGCAAGGCTCAAACAGGGACTTTCTGTTTCTCATTGACAGCTTGCCAATGTTGACTGGATGGAAGCCATCAACATCCTTTGTGATATCGATCTCGTTCTATTAGATGTGTGAGGTAGATGTGTTAGCTATATATTTACATTTCTATTGGAACAACAACAGTGATGATGATGACACTTACGAGCACGGATTCCTCATTGATGTGCGATGGCAATGGCAGCTGGACCAGGATACCATCCACCTCATCAGAGTTATTATACTTTCGGACGATCTCGATGACCTCCTCTTGTGATGTGCTAGCAGGCAGGATGCAGTCAATTGACACGAATCCAAGGTCAGATGCTGTCTTCTTCTTGCTTCTGACGTATGTCTTTGTGTGTGTGTGTGTATAGTGTGAGCGTCTCTTCACTTGATTACGTAGGTAGGTAGGTGGTGGAGGTCATATAATACATACGTGAGAGTCTGGACGATCACCGACCAAGATGACAACCAATCCTGGTGCTCTCTTTCCATCTTTAATGAGCTTCTCGACGTCCTCCTTGATGGTCTTGCGAACGTTGGTGGCGATCTCTTTTCCGTCGATCAGCTTGGCGGTTGTAGCTGCAAGTGCAGTTGAATCGTTTGTTGTTGTAGACATATTGTTGTATATATGTTTGTGTATGTTTGGTTGATTGAGGTTTTTGATTGATGTTGGTGATGATCAACGACAAAGGCTTGTGTTGAATTAAAAAACAAAGAGATATCTCTTCTTGTGTGTAGGTGTAAAGTGTTTAACGAGTGATTAATGGGGACTGACGTCTGTCACTTGGTTGATCTGACACCCATCGGAATAATTGATCGTCGTCCACATTGCTCATTCCGATGACAAACATATAATTTTAAAATATGAACGAAACGAGTGATAATTACAACTTTCGGCATGGTCGTAAGACGATCATTTCCGACTCTAAACCAAGAACTTCTTGTGCCTTTTCAAACGTACATACATAGAATTGAAACCATTCACTTTATATTTAAAGTTTTATTATATTAACAGTAGAACAACTTAACTAGTTGATCTCTCTTTCTGTGATCATTCATGAATGAGGTTATCTACCTGATGGGGGAACTGCCCTCATTGAAGAAGTTCAGGTTCAGGAAAAGAAGATCTGGTTTGGTTTTCAGTCGACCTAACCTAGCTCTATCTGCCTGTGTACACCGATTGATAAAGAGAAATATTTATATTATTAATCATATAGACAGAGATAGAGATAAAGAATGGATGAATTCGAGAATGCAGTGATCATTACATTTGATCCTGCAGTAGTGTCACCATTGAAACAACGTGCTGTCACCTATACAGAGACCTTGAGGGACTCACCTGACGGTTGGAAATTCTGTCTGGAGAAGCTCTTCCAGACAAACAATGTCTATGTCAAGTTCTTCTGTTTACACGTCTTCCAAGATGTCATCACCACTGGACAACGCTACGCACAGCTCACCCAAGATGATCGTTACCGTCTAAGGACCACTGTCGTCTCTTATCTGTCAAACGTGTTGGCCTCAAACCCAAACGAGGAGAAATGTATGTTGTCTGATGTGAACTTAATGACTCTGAGTGAAAGAGTCTGCTGTAGCAAGTATTCTGACTGACACAACCAACCCCCCATCATCACCAATCATACATATAGTGATCAAGAACAAGTATGCACAGGTGGTCGTACTGTTATTCAAGAAGGAGTACCCAGAGAAGTGGCAATCGTTCTTCAGCGAGATGTTGTCGATGTTGCCCAAGGGTGTCAATGCCATTGACATTGTGCTCAGGATACTAAAGTCAATCGATCAAGAGGTTGTACGTGTCGATGTCAATCGTACTCAAGAGGAACTTAATCACAACACATTGATCGTAAGTATATCGCACAACTCAAACCACTCGTTCGTTTATACATTGCCAATACTGATTACCACGTACAACAACAGAAAGATGCAATGAGGGAAGGTGCAATCAATGACATAGTGAAGCTATGGTACGAGATATTGGTGCACTACCATCAGAGCAATCCACAACTGTCCGTCATGGCATTACAGAACATCAAGCTCTACATAAGTTGGATCGACATTGGGCTCGTCGTCAATGATCAATTCATCACATTGTTCTACAAGCTGCTGAATGTTGTGTCGCAACGAGAGGAGGTCAGTGACTGCTTCAAGGAGATCATTTACAAGGGCATGGATGCCAACATCAAGCTATCACTGGTACAGAAGCTGCAGATCAAGAACATTGTCAGTCACGTCTCTCTGGATGACTTGGACTTTGTCATCAAGATGGGTGCGCTCATTAACTTGACTGGACTGGAGGTACTGCGGAGTTTGGAATCAGTGGTATGTATTGGACCATTAATGTTAATTCCAACTGGCGTATATACTGACTGACTGATTGGCACAATTCAACATGTAGGAGGGAAGCAAAGATATGACCCAAACACAGATACAAACTATACAGAATGGAGAGGCACTGTTGGATGAGATACTGGAACTTTTGTTCAAGTTCCTAAACAACGAGTTCAACGACGTATCAATGACTGTGATGACATTCTCTGCACAGTATATCGCAAGAGTATGTTATGATACACAATCATCAGCAAATAACTCACTAACCTAACAATCGTACGTAAACAGCTCAAGAATGTCAAGCCATTGACAGAGAAGCATGTACAGCATATCACATTGTTGGTACAGATCATTCGTAACAAGATGAAGTACAACAAGGACTTTGACTTTGAGAAGGTCGACGATGGAGAGGATGAACAACACTTTGCAGAGTTTAGGAAGGACTTGGCCGCCCAATATCGCAATCTATTCAGATTGTGTCCAGAGATGGTTGGCTCTTTCGTACACAACTTCCTAATGAGCATTATACAGGATTCAACCAAGTTCACCTTTGCCGACATCGAGGTGGCCATCTATCTCATGTACCAAATGGGTGAGGGCATATCCAACCTCCCCGAGGAGACCGTCAAGACCTTTGAGAAGTTCTTTGGTTCAATGGTATTACAGGTGGCCAAAAGCAGTAAGTGTAACAATAGAGAGAGAGAGAGAGAGAGATTATCCTGGAAAGTTATACTAATAACTCTACTCACAGACATTATGGTATCTAACAAGATTCATCAATGTGTGTCGTGTATCTACTTTGAAACAGTTGTACGATACGCCAAGTGCATACCTCATGACGTGGCCAACCTCACGGTTGTGCTATCGCCATTCTTGGATCAACGAGGTGTGCACAACAGCAATGCGCACGTACGAAGCAGGGCCGGTTACTTGTTAAATAAACTCGTTAAACCATTAAAGGTCCAATTGTTCCCCTTCATAAGCAACATCATAGAATCACTCAAGGTAAGTTAATGGTAACTGGTCAGGCAGTCAAACAACCCTATCAATCTCACCTTGCTAACCAATCAATTGCCACTGAATCTCTAGAATCACTTGGTCATCAACTATGACACCCAGCAACAGGTACCCTTTGAAGAACAACTCAACTTTTATGAGTCACTTGGTATGCTGATTGGTGGCTCTCAATTGCCACCTCAGGACGAGCAGAAATATATCGAGGTATGTTGTTTAACAAACTCCATTATAGTCATGTGTTTGATTGACCCCTAACCATCCATCCAACATCACTCAGAAACTGCTTTCCAGTCCTTACCAAAAGATGGAAGAGATCATCAGCAAGTCACTGTACAAAAGCGATACAAAGGAGAAACCATACTATACCAACCAACTCATCCAGCTCACCAACGTCATTGGAACATTCAGCAAGGGATTCACAGCTTTCACATCAGCAGGCCCTCCAAAGCCCGAGCCACTGGCCCACACTATATACTTTATCAACTCACTCAAACTCATTATCCAACTGCCCAACCTCATTCCACAGAATGAGGAGATCGTCAAACGAGTGAGTACCAGACTCTGACATTGAGCAGACATCCAAACACAACATTCTAACATACATTGCTAATTATCCAGACCTTTTTTTATATGCACCGCATGGTTGATTGCCTTGGAGGCAACCTAAAGCCATTGCTTCCAGAGATACTACCTATACTACTCATTCACACATACAACACCGAGAAACTCATCGAATTCATCATGCTACTCAATCAATTCATCGCCCGATACCAGAGCGATGTGCACGCACTCATCAACGACTCACTGGCCGCCATCATTACCCGAATATTCAAGTCGATGGAGCAAGCCAATCCACCAGAGGCCAACACTGACGAAGGACGAGCCCTTTTGGAACTACAAAAGACCTACTACACATTTATACTCACCATCATGAACAACTCACTCTCCTCAACACTGGCATCACCAAACAACCTTAGCATCCTGGAACGAATCCTATCGACAGTTATTAGTGGATGCAAACGTTCAGAAGCAGTAAGTTGTTGTAGTAACATAATGATGATGCGGTCTCTAACATAATCCATCATATTTATTATAGGTTCAGAAGCTATCGTTCAACATTATCAAACGTATGATTGAGGAGTTTGGACCTGGCGCTGCCAAGCCAATCGAGGGCTTCTCCAAGTTTATTCAAAGCCACATTGTTCCAATGTGTTTCCAGGTACCACTGTCAACATCGTTCAATGTTAATGATCCAATGGCAACACAGGTGATCACTGAGATTGCCAAGTCACTGAAGCTGGTCGCTTCCAAACATGGAGACGAGTTTATCAAGTACCTGGTCACAGTATATCTTCCATCGATCAACATCACATCGGCAGAGATCCTTCAACAGTTCACCAGATTGTTGGCACCTGCTTCACCTCTGAAGGAGTTCCAAGACTTTTTCAAGCTCTTTGTGAAGCAATGCAAGCAGCAACCAACTCAACAACAGCAATCGCACTCCACTGGCAATAGCATTAAACAATGATGATCACCACCTCAAAACGTTACTTTTTTACCCTTGTGGGTGGTCATTTTAGTTGACCTTGACTCCAGTTTGACTTTTTGGTGTGTAAGAGGCACCTGCAGGTTTTTTTTTAAATTATTTGGTGTGTGAACATTCACTCCATGATTGGGTCTCATCAGATGATGAGCATTGTTTAACTCTAGCCCAAATTATTACAATCATTAAACACACATACATACATATATATATACAATACACATAATTAAAAAAGAATGGTAGCATCAAACAACATAGATACCCTCGACGACGAGTTGGCTGCTTTCCGCAATGAATCACTTGTTTCAACTGAGCAACGTGTTGTCTATTTCATCAACGCTCTCATCGTTGCTGCTGTCCCAATCTGTATGTGTTTTATGGACCATCCACTAGATAGTTAGATTGATGGATAGACATATACACCAACCATCATGGAACAATATAACTGATCATCTCCATCAAACATTCCAATCAATGATTATTAGACTTGTATCATGCAATCTTCTTCATGTCACTCGATGCATTCTTTGTTGTCTATGCCTCTGTGACACTGTTTGCTGCGATCGTCTTGACATTTGCTTACAACAACATTTACAGAATCAAGCGACTAAAGCTGTCAGCTGCCAGAGATCACACAATCACAATGAGCAAGGGTGGAAAGTCTGGCAACACCGACAAGAAGGCCGTCTACTCTGCCAAGAAGGAGCGTCAGTCAGTGGTCACCTCGCACGAGGCCATCGCCCAGTCCATCATGTACAACAACGCCCTCTTCCTGGCCAGCACCCTGTTGTTCAGCTTTGTCATTTTCAAGAACGTTCCACTTGTATACAACTATATCACATCGGTCTCATTGGCTGCTGGTGTCACCACCTTCCTGTCCACTGGATCCAAGCACAACTAAACAAACCAATACAAACCTTAACCAGAGCGATATCATGATACAATCTATAAAGCGTGATAACGATATCAAATAAAGAATAGTCTATTAATTTCAATTGACTGACTGGTGATCAATCACAGGATCAGTTTATTAATGGCTTATTCTTGGTGGTGGCAGAGATAAACATATTCTCTTTGGAGTGTTGAGTGTATAACTGAAGTGTTGGCTCCAACAATAGAGTGTCCCTAATGAATAGATAGCGACCATAGTCAATTAGTCTTTTAGCCTTGTATCCAAGTTCTTCTTTCCTTGTCGTTTCGAATACGCTGTCATAGTTGACCAGACTGTTTAGAGTCTGTTGTTTGATCGCCTCCATTTCCTGTTTGACCTCTGGACACTGGTCATCATCATTGTCCTCTGCACCTCCATCAAGCTTTGCCTTCTTTGATTTCTTCTTGTTTGGTTCAATGGATGCCCAACTTGTAATTGAGCACAACAATTGGAACTCATCTGGTGTCAATTGAAGTACATCATTGACATACTTTGGATCTGTGGAATATATAATATATATTAGTTATCTACTAACAGTCTTGGGATTGGCAATACATACTAATATATGAATCCAATGTGCAAACATGATGGCAACAGGTTGCAATACCAATTCCAGCAAAGGTTTGTCTTAGTTTCTCATTGTTTGTTATCGAGTTGGCCAAGCATCTCAATGTGAAGTCGGTAGCACATCCACATAGATGTTTGCTGCAATGAACCATTGATGTTGGTTAGTCAGTGGATCTGGATTCCATGACGTAGATAACATACCTGATAATGACAAAGTTTGATTTCTCCAACTGCTCAACTTTGGAGAGATCCAAGTGTCTAATATCGATTAAGAATCGATCAAAGTACTTGCAATCCTTCTCATTCTTGATCATTCTATCAGACTTCTTTAGAGACTTGAACTTCATCCTATCTATCATAATGTGTCCAGATGATTTGTCCAATGCCTGGAACACATGATAACCTAGCTTACCAGTGCCTGCACCAAACTCTAGGAATATGTTGTCCTTCTCAAGAAGGTTCTCCATTTGAAGCACTGAGAGTATGGATGACTCTTGTTGAATGTGTTTCAGCTTTCGTTTAGAGTTTACACTGTTGTTGTTGGTTGATCCATTAGTTTGGTGTGAATCTTGTTGTTGAACATGATCTGTACGTACTTCTCGCTGAATATCTTCTCGAGTGATTCATGTTGATTGTCGTTGACCTTGATTCCAGTGGGGAAGAGTGTGGCGAATAGAGTGTCCAACTTATTGGCCATGGCATTCAACTGCTCAGTGGATATATGTGAAAGAGGTGTGTCATTGAACTTTGGTGCCAATCCATTGAGGTTCTCATTGTAGTACACTTGTGACACTGATCGAGTGATATGTGCATTCGATTGAGTCTCCTTTGCGTTTGGGCATCCTTTCAAGTGTTTCTTCAACTTGCTTTCGTATATTATACTATTAAGAGATGTCATTGTATTATCTGTTAGTAATGCTCATTGACACTTGAGTCAATACAATGCACGTTATAACATACTGTGCTGGATTGAGTGGACAGGGAATGCGCTTCTTTGTCGGGTCGTCTGTGTTTGAACATTCATCGAGAGGACGATGATGTGTGCAGAATGTTGATCCCTTTGCTCTAGGTTGATTACAGAAGAGAGCACGATGTTTCATCTTGATGACCATCCAGAACATACATTTGGTATGCGCAGCACTCTCCTCCTCTGTTGGTTGTTCTCTTAGAGGCACACTAAAGTCTATAGGAATGCCTTTCTTCTCCTTCCTATCCTTCCTCTTCTTTGTAGTTGTTGTTGTTGTTGTAGTACCATGATTGTTATGAACTACACCTCCATCTGTTGTTGTTGATGAAGTAGATGTATTCTTATCACTTTCCATATTCAATGATGTCGTTGATTAGATAATGAAGTGAGTGTGATGAAAAGATTCAAAGTCGAATCAATCAAACAATAGTAAAACAAACAACATGATAGATAATATATTGTTAATATCAGACTTTTGTCTGCAATGTATATTTGAAAAGGTCAATGACCATATAGATACAATCTGTTTGGTTTACTCTTGTAGACGATTCAATCAACTACTAAAGAAGATTGAATTGATCAGATGGTACTCGATGTCACATGCTTTTAATCATTGTCCTGGTGGCCTATCACCTTCAAATTGGATTATACCAACTTCATCACCATCATTGACAACATATAATGATCATCAAATTGGAGCATCATCATCATTTATAATTGATGATAACAACATGGATATGATCATCTCTGGTACACTCCCAAACAATATAACCAGTTTAACATTTTCAAGAGAGTACAATCATCCCATTGAACCAGGTGTACTACCCTCATCTCTAAAAATACTTACGTTTGGATCAGAGTTCAACCAACCTTTGGCCAAAGGTACAATCCCTCGAAATTTGGTCAAATTAACATTTGGATATATGTTCAACCAGGACATATCTCCTGGTTTACTACACGGCACACTTAAAACATTGATCTTTGGACACCTCTATGGAAACCTGAAACATACGACAATAGTCCATGGATCACTTCCATTTGGTCTAAGTTCATTGACATTTGGGGGACGATTCAATCAAGTGTTTACCAAAGTTCTACTTCCTTTATCTCTAAAGAGTTTGGTATTGGGTTCAGATTACAACACACCTATGAAGAGTGGCGCCCTTCCTTTGTCACTGGTGGAACTCACTTTGGGACGTAACTTTCAACGTGCTCTCCATGAGGTTAGCTTTCCTTCAAGTCTAAAGACACTTTACATCAAGGACTATACACATTGTAGATACCTGGCCTGTCAACCACACTCAATCGAACATGTTAGCTTCAGTTTCATGCGATGTATATCATTTGTGGATGCACTTGACGTTACACCAGTAGTCAGTACTTTACAAATGTTAATTATTACTGCTAATGTATTCGATATCAACACAATGGATAAGCTATTGACACTATTACCAATTGTACTGGATCGCTTCCCTGGTGAAAGGGTAAACACTTTCAACTTGTTACAATTAGATCAATCCAATCAATCTGTCCTAATGTGGTTAAAGATAAGAGTATTGGTAGATAGATCAACACACAAGAGGGACAAGCTATTATGTATCATTGGATATGGAGACCACAAGAACATCTTTGTTGATATCCTACCATCTGGTAGTCAACCTTTTCATAGTAAACTTTGGAACATTATCAAGAATAGTGTTGGCCAATGATCATGGAAAAGGGCCCTTCCAGCAAAACGGATGGAGGACACAATCAATCAATACAATTGTATATTAATTAGTCACGCATATTCCATATCTTATTAGATGCTTGATTGGACTCTGCGAAGAGCTGCATGATCATTGGCAAACTTTCGAAAGAAGTCTAAAAGGTCTGTGGCAATGAACCCAAGACGGTATAACTGGTCACAGAATTTTGAAAGGTCTTCGGGGCCATAAGGTATGAGTATGCTGTCACTCACTGTGAACATCTCCACCAATCGTATGGCATTTGAGTGCTGATTGGTTGTGAGACACTCAATGAGAGGTCCAATTGGAGGTGGTTGGATAAATGTTTTGTAATCGTCTGTGTTGTTTCCTCTGTGTCGACAGTAGTGGTCGATCAACACTTCATAGATGTGCACATTGTAACATGCAATGATTAGCACATCCTTGATAAATGTGTGGTCAACCTTGTCCTTTTCCTCCAATGACTCCCAGAGAAAGTTGAATCCAGGTATTAACGAATGTTGCATGTTCACCAACCTTTGCATGCCCTTTTCAAATTCTTCCCAGGCTCCTGAGGAGTTTGGCTGATTGGTGTCCATGTTCAACAAGTAGTTTGATAGTGTTGTTAAGGGTAGAATTGATTCTAGCAGCCCTTAAATGATCAATGGATACACCTACTTGAAGTTTGAGAACTTTGAGTGAGAGAAGCCTGCGCTGGTTGTCGACACTCAAACAAGACAACTCTTCGACATTGAGGTTAATCGAGCATTGGGGATTATGAGAAACAATGAGGTCAATGATATCCATGTGCTGATGTATGATGGCGGCACGCAATGTAGGACCAAGGTTGAGGTTCAAATCTTGGTTTGAGGGCTTGCTGGCGAGAAGCAGTTGAATGACATCCAATCTGTTGGCATTGAGAATATGAATGCGTAGACTGCATGCTACCTTGTCTATATTCTCCAGCATGGTCTTTGTCATTTCGATACAATCTCCTTGGTCCAAGCTGATTTCGTAAACCATCCATCGTTCACCCTTTCTCAGGCATTGACTATAGTTATCCAGAATGTAGTGTGCGCACTCAAAGTGGCCATTACGCAAGGCAATGTCTAGCAACTGACGTGATACCTTCTTGCCATTGTCGTGCTTGCATGCATCATTCACGACGTGGCGGAGGTAGTCAATGTTGCCATGTGAGGCTGCTTCGCAGAGTGGGTCGTTTACATCATCGTGGTACCTGGGGATACTAGTTGGAAATACGTAGGAGAGATATTGCAGAATGTTGTAATTGGCATGCTTGGCAATCTCGAGATGGAATTCAATCTTGCGTCGACCTCGATTCTCCATTCTCAGTACGTTCTGAACGACAAGTGTAGGTTTCTTGTGTTGTTGGAGCAGTTTCCCAATGATGGGGTATAGGTGGAGGCGTCTAACGCACTTATATCGGTGAATAAGCAACAGGAGTGTCTCAGATGTCTCGTCAGGTCTGCCAAATGGTTGGAGATACAGAGACATGGGGAGATATGCTATAACATCCCGCTCGTACTTCTTATAGTGGTCCAACGCTTGAAAGAACAGTGCAACGTCACGGCGAAGAGCTGATGCCGCAAGACAGAGGACGATGTCTGTTGGGATGTGTCCAGCATTAGGAAAGGTATCGCAGAACCATCTGACAGTCTCAACTGACAAGTCATAGTCCGAATAACGAGCAAAGAGCAGCTCAGAGAGAACAATGTCATAGGCTTCTTTGTTCTCCAGGTTGCTCTGCAGTTGTGACATGATCTTGGATAGCATGTATGTCAGCTCGGAATGCATGCCCTTCTTGAACAACCCTCCAAACAGAGCCTTGAGAGTATTGACCAGACTAGAGTTGACACGAGGATAGGTTAGCAAATTTCCTCATCAAGATGTATTAGCAAAGCCATGGCACTTACATATGGTTATCTAGGTTGACTATAACATTGTTGTTATTTGTAATCTTGGCAAGCGTGATCGATGAAACAAAATCCATTACGTCCTTGACAAAGAGAGAAGGGTCATTGAAGTAAAGTTTGTCAAAGCATTGTGTAAACTTCCTGGCCAAAGCAGGATGGATGGTACATTGCTATATATAAACAATGTCGCCAGATCGTACAGCATACACACCTAACCGATGATGTATATCTCTGACACTCTTCAACAAAACATGTCTTATCACCTTATTGTTAAGAGTAAAGGATATCAATGACTGTATTACATTGTCCATCCAATGTAGTCTTTATGTATTAATGATCGTTGGTTGTTCATAGAGCCGATTTTGAATAACTTATTTTGGAAAGAAGATCTCTAGATAATATGTAATGCTCACCCTCAATAGTCATTCGTTTCATTTTGTTGAACAGATACCACATACAAATAACAACCAATGACTACAACTACAACCATATCATAAGTATTAGAATACTTGCAAGCGAGAATGAACAACTATTATGTTTATAAGAATATAATCCAACATCTTTGGAGAGACAGACACACAACGCTGAAATGGAAGTTACAACTTGCATTGGTGTCAAAGAACTTCTTTAGAGTGATATCAGAATGTCACTTTACATCACTCTCATTGCAGTCACCACGTGACTACTTTAGTGGCTTTGATCCTTCAATATTGGACAGAGCACTGCAACATATTCAGTCTCCTTATTGTCTGCTGAAGCGCACCTCCTATCTGTCTTTCTACACCAGCTTGTACAAACAGTGTGCGGAGAGACTATCCCCACTGATTCAATCAGCCGAGACTTTGTGGCTAGTTGGAAGTGAGATCCCAACATTGTCACAATTGTTACTGGAGAACTTTGCCAAAGTCCAATTACAGCCAGCACTCAGAGCGATCAAGATCAGCGCCATTGAGACAGACGAGCTTGACAAGCTGACCCAGACCATCTTTGGTGCCGACTCACCACTTGCCCACGTCATCCTTTGCTCGCTGCTCATCACCTGCAACATCACATACATCGATCCAGAGTTTCAACAGATCAACAATGACTCACATGGAATATCATTCGCCAATCGATTCCTCCAACTCACTGAGCTGACTCTTTGTGGCTTTGGATCGTTTGGCGGAATCCTTAGTGACAGACCGATCGTCACCAGACTCACAACATTGGTACTTGGCAGTGATTGGACTCACTTCAACTCGTGTGGCAGGAATTACTTCAAGATCGCTGATCCCGTGGCCTTCTTTGCTCTACTCTCCGAGAACCAAGTGCTGCAGCGACTGGACTTGTTCCTCTACAATCAAACCGACAATAATGACTACAAGCCTTCATTCTTCAACTACCTGGCTGGCAACCAGTCATTGACCTCATTGTCACTTGGCTTCATTCGAGACAGAAACTACTTGCAGTTGATTGGCACCAAGCACAACATCAGACATCTGCAGATCAGCATGAACGAACCCATTGTCTTTGAAAAGGTGCGCTCATTGAAGCTCTCATCAAGGAGCGACCACAATGTCTATCATCAGCTCATCGCAATCAAAGATCACTTCCTCCAAAATCCCGCCAGCTGTTGTCTGACATCACTCAGTCTCAAGTTTAGTCAATTCTGGATGGTCACAGGCGACACCATCTTCACACATCTGACTTGATCATCAAGCACATCAAATCCATACGTGATCTCACCTTGGAGATGACCCCCTTCAACGGCCATAAGATTGGACACTTGGTGCACATCAAGCACCTGAAGGAGCTGACTCTAATCTCCAAACGGTTCATAGAGGACGACATTGAGAATTTCCTCTTGTCCATTGGTGCCTTGGCCTCGATCAAGTTCATAAACTTCCAAGTGAATGAATGGGGAAGGTACTGCGATCACAATTACAAAGCAGCAAAGACCAGCACAACAATCCTACTCCAACAACAACTTGGGACCAATGCCGACCCCGGCTGCAATATCGATGCAATGACATTTAGATATCGCACCAAATCCTTGAAGGAGCGGCCTCTGGACGACGACGATGAAGATGAGATCATCGAGGACTTTTGGAACGGTGACCAAGAGTTTGAACCATACGAAGAAGGAGATCTGAACGATATGATAGACTCGGACGTGACAACCTATGATTATGATGACGACGATGATTATATCAACAGCGAGTCCCATCCAGAAATGGATGATGAGGAGTAACCAACAAACAGTAAGGTATCAATCAAAGATCTGGAAACTATCCAAAGAAATAAAATTCAGGATGCCACACGCGCATTTGAAATATCTCGATCTCTCATCGATTTCATTGTCATTGTCGTCAACAATTACACTATTTTTATCTCTATCTCTCTGATGTAATTGTTAGAAGTGTATAATGAGACCACCCCGACTGTCTGCTACTCTAACCTTTGGGTTCATTGTAGGCCCTTTAACATTGTATCATATATATGTGTAAGTGTAGACAACGGAATCACACCAAACACTTATCAAATGAACTAACACCAATCACCAAACAACAACATTAGATATCCATTCTACTATAAACATGTATCTGTATCAATATGTGTAATAACATCATACCTATCATTGATTGCTGTGTTGAACTTTGTCATTGCTTCAATGATGGATCCTGGAATCATTCCAAAGAATCAACAAAGACATGTGAATCATATCGATCAGGACGATGACGACGAATCATTAGACGACGACGACGACGATGAGAAAGAAGAGGAGCAGGATGATGGTGCTACATCGTCACCATCCTCGTCATCTGAGGAAGCAGCAGAAATGGGCATGACAAAGAAGAAGGACACTCCAACTCTACCCTATCACCTGACAACAAAGTATTGTCGTAAGTGTCCCATTTTTCAAATCTATGTTTGATCACTGACAGACATTAACTTACTTGATATCACCTCCTAGGATCATGTAATATATTTAGACCACCTAGAGCATCGCATTGTAATGATTGTGGACATTGTGTTCGTAAATTCGACCATCATTGTCCTTGGATTGGAAACTGTGTTGGACTTTGGAACTATCGTCACTTCCTTCACTTTGTCTATACACTCTCTGTGGTGCTACTGTTGGTGTTCTCAACATCACTCTACCAACTGATCTACGTCACTCAACATGCAGACATTTACTATCTCGATCCACAAGCGGCTCCATATCATAGTGGTGGCAATGGTTCTGGTTCCGAACACATAACAGGTGACTTTACAACAACGATTTCACTGTTTCCAGTCACTGTCACATTGGTTGTTCTCAGTTTCATGGCAGCATTCCCTGTGATTGGACTAGCATCATTCCACCTGGCACTCTTTACCTCTAATGAAACTACACGAGAAAGCAACAGAAATATCTTTATCACAACGTCAACGACGAACGAGACATCTACCAAACCAACATACAACAACCCATTTTCACTTGGAACATTCAACAACATCATTGCTGTACTATGTTCTCCTTACCACCCTTCAATTTYCAAGCGGCGGTAACTAATAAACAACAACTATAATAGTAGTACTTAATGTAACAGATGTCTATTTGTATTTGGTTTGTCCAAACGATGATTGAGATAGGTTGATAACTACGTCATTATCTATCGCTCGTTCGCTTAGATGTGGGACATTGACTCAGTGACCAACCTGTTGCCACGGACGACGGTCTTGAATTGCTCTGGGACGGCAATCTCGATCATATCGTCGTTGGCGGTGGCACCTGGGATGAGGATGTTCATCTCTGAGGACTTGGAGGTGACAAACTCGGTCTCGAGTGAGTCCTTGCTCAAGTAGATCTGGCAACCGTTGCACTTGTCAATGGCCATGGCTGGAACCTTTCCAGTGACCTGGACCTCAACAGAGTTACAGTTGACAATCTCACAGGAGGCGACGGCGTTCTCAAAGACGACGGCGGTCTTCTTGCAGTTGTCCAGAGTGATGGCATTGATCTTGCCCTTGATCTGGATGACAGAGTCAGTGCACTGGTAGATGTAGACGGTCTGTCTAGAGTCGGTCTCGCCAATGACGATGTTCTTGTTTCCAACCTGGAACTCAACGCACCACTTGTTGGACTCGAGGGCAAACTTTGGTGGCTTGACGACGGCTGGTTTGCCGGTGGGGGTGGTGGTGGACACGGTGGACTTGATGGCGTCAGCCTTGACGACGCTTGACTTGTTGGGGTTGTTCTTTGACTTCATGTCGTTGGTGACCTTCTTCAGGCCAGAGGTGACACCCTCACCCTTGCCAAGTGCGCTAAAGACAGCGGACATGTCTGGGGCGGCCTTGGTTGGCTTGGAGACGTCATCAAAGAATCCAGCGGGGGGAGGTGGTGGAGGGGGTGGAGCACCTCCAGCGGGTGGAGCTGGGGCTGGGGTAGAAGCAGCAGCACCAACAGAGGCTGGAGCATTGCCTCCTCTGGCGTTCCATGCCAAACCAGTGGTGTGGTGTTGCTTAATATATTTCTGGAGATCATTGAAGAATCCAATAAGAGCGTGAACCCAATCAAGTTGATCTTGGTTACTAATTGATATATAATGAATGAGTATTAGTTATAGTTTCCCGCATAACAACTCACTACAGTACTATGATACTTACACTCCCTTGAACTCCTTCAAGATTCTGTTGGTGTAGAACTCACATGAGCCCTTCATCTCGGCAACGTGGGGAGCTGGGGTTGGCTCAACGACAACCCAGCTGAGGAATCCAATGCTCTCAGAGAGGGCAGAAAGGTTGTTGAACACCTTTGAGGTTCTGTTCGAGTTACGGATGGATTCGACCTGTTGGGCGTGAGTGTTGATTGGCTGGATCAAAGCCAAAAGAGCATCCTGGGATGGCTTCTTGGAGGTGGCTGCAATTCCAATCAAAGACTTCTCAGCCTGCAATGCTGAAACCAACTCGGAGGTCTGTTTGCGTGTAAGATAAGGAAAGAAGTGTAAGTTGAGTTGTTGATCATCATCATCATCATCATAACTGTTTGATTGATACTGACCTGTTTGGCAAGAACTGGGTCAAGCTTGGCAGAGAGGTTGGCGAGTGGGGTGATGTATTGGTCAATGAGGTTCTGGAACTCAGTGACGGTGGCACCGGATGGGGCGGCAGCAGATGGAGCAGCACCACCAGCAGCTGGGGCAGCAGCACCAGTGGCCAATGACTTCTCAACAGCCTCGAGACGGGCAGTGGTCTGGTCGAGTCTTCTCAACAGGTTCTCAAGTGAAGCTTCCAAAGACATGATTAATTTGATTGATTTAGTTTCTTTTTAAAAATACTATATGTAAGGTAAAGGAGTCTAAAGGTTAGTGCTCTGTTCTTCCAGTTAGTCAGTCAGTCAGTAAGTAGAGACATACCAAACAGCTAATAACACAACAACGATAGGTGAAGATAATGGAATGAAATGAAGATGAATAATGCACAAGTGAGAGTTGGTTCGTGTAGAGGAGTAGGTGATGTGCTGAAATGGAGCAATCTCTGATGTTGTTGTGTGTGTGTGAATGAATAGTGTGGTTGCGTGTTGGTATTAATATCTATATTAATATTTATTTTGGATTTATTTTCTGTAAAATGGCTTGATCACACTTGGTGTGGACTTTGAAATGAACCCATCCTCAGAGTGGGTATTGTTCTTTGTTTTTATGTCTAATCATAACCCGATCTTGATCAAAAAAAAAAAAAGTGACAGGGAAATAAAGACAACAAAGTAATAATATTATTGATACATTATATATTTATTATTACTATGGATCCATTACCAAGTTTAGATTATAGGATGGAATGATGTAGCATGATTGAACTGGATAGTTGTGAGACACCTTTTGAATGTTGGTGTTGTTCAGATAGACATCGATCAATTGATACTTTTGATTGGTGTTGACACTCTTGGTCTGCACGGTCTTCATGCTACGCGTCATACCCCTGGATATCGTGAGTGGATTGTCATACTTGTAGTTCAACTTGTAGCGACCGTATGGAATCTTGTCAAAGTAGAAGTAGCCGTCAATGTCTGTGTGGATCGGCGCGACAAAGTAGCCACTAGTGTCGGTCACTTGGTTGTCGTCCTCATCCGTCAGTGAGAGCAGTACGCCTGGCACACCCATCTCCTCCTCATCCTTCAGTCCATCGCCATTGCGGTCCAAGAACACTTGAAGACCAATCGCAATACTGCCATTGTGACAAAAGGCTTCGGGCTGAACGAATCGTTTGATTGCAGGCAAGTCCACAATGTTGACATTGATATCCATCATCACCTTGTCTTGAGCGGGCTTGTTGAATGTCATCCACACCGACAGTCCAGTCTCGACGTTCTTGCCACTGGCACCCTCACCAACCATCATTGGCATATCCATCTCGACACCGGTCATTGGCAGAGTCAGTCCCTCGTTCAAACCCATGCCCTCAAAGTAGCTCTTGGATGTGACTGGCATGTAGTAGCTCCAATAGTCAGTGTTGATCTTGCCCATTGGTGTGTAGTAGCTGAGTGGCAGCTCCTTCTTGATGTGCATAGGATTGTCTGGACGTGACACACGGTTGAAGTAGAGCTCCACCCACCATCCCTTGTTTGGCATCGACTCTGAAGTGTTGAGTATCTTGGGTACGATTGGTCCGGCCACCCTAATGTTACCGTCCTTGTAAAAGTAGATACGACCCATCTTCTTGATGAACATCCACTCAGTGGATCCAGGCGATCCAAAGAACTCTGACTGGTTGGTGTAGAATGCATGGTCCAGACGATCCATCGTAAAGAATGGCTTGGCAGGCTCGAGCATCTTGACAAAGTATCCATTGGCGCGGTTGTCACCATCGATCTGATTGATGCACTTTGACAACATGTTGTCACGTTTACCAATGACAGACTTTTGGAAGAAAAGACTGGGCAGCAATTCAATGTGGTCAAACAGTACCTGGGCTGGTCTGAACTCCTTGGTCTTGATCATCAGACCGACATACTTTTGCTTTCCAAACCTTGTCACCGGAATCACTACATTGATCCACTTGTTGGCTGGTATCCTGGTCAAGTTTGAGTGGCCAGCTTCATTCACCGCCTGCAACAAAGTCAATGACTTCTCACTCAATGACTGATCGCGTTTAGTCAATATAATATCAATTGGTACATCAGTATAATCACCAACATTGACCCAGAATGATATGTGCTAAGTATATAATTGTACGTACAAGGTTAGAAGTTATTTCCAGATATGTTCCAATCAATCTAACAAACAAACTAATAATTACCTGATACTTTTCGAAACGAAAGTTTGGATCATTGGAAAAGAAGTGAAGTCCAGACAATCTCTCGGTGAGAAGTGCAATGGAGTACTTGCCAGAGTGTGATGAGTTATGCTTTAGGTTCCTAAGTCCCCATCCAAACTCTGAGAATGTACTGCTGACTATATCATGGAAAATTGGTATACCCTTATTTCTTGAATCTAATTCCGTTAGGTCTCCATGGCAAACACATGCCACCAGTAATAGTATTATAGTGACACTATATAACAGTTTCATTTGTTACTATGTTGGAGATTATTATTATTATTAAAAATTATTATCCAACAATGACAGTGTAATTGTAATAAATAGATAGTGATGATCATGTTCATTTCCCTTTTGTCACTTATCTATCTGATGTCACCATAAGGATCATACATATTATTGGACGTGTTACAATCGAATGTGTCAGATTACAACAATCAGTGCCACCATTTTAATTCATTCCTACCACTCACCACAATGGTCATCATCTATCTGATTCAAGATCATGAGTCTACTGTTGCGGTAGTCCAGTCGAGAGTGAACCATAAGTATCTCTATCTATTGACTGTCCACCATCCATCAAGTGGCAGACAGGAATATTTAGGTCATTGTGCGTGACTAGTGGGGTAGTGGTAGACAATGGTCAGGACAGTGGTGATCAATTATACGATCACATGACTGATCAATGTGTGTTTGTGTGTATGGGTGTGTCGTGGTTGAGTGTGTGATCTTGATCAAGATAACTGTCACAAGTGACTGACAGACCCATTATCAGTAGGAATCTGTCGTTGGAATGTAAACCACGACCATTCTCCAATGCAGCAGTACTCTGGTGATGTGCAGATCGACAATGATATCACATGTCGTTCATGTTTGGTGATGGTATCATATGTTTACTTGTCAATGGTTGTATGCTCCAATCATGTCAAAAAAGGGAGGACGAGCATGAAGGAATGAGGAGGATCGATTGTTCTGTTGACTGATTGTTGACTGACCATTGATCAGTGTGGATATCTATGTGCAATGTACATTATGCTAGGACAAACTTATTGTCCACGACACGAACAAAATTGAGTCGTTCTGGATTAACAGCCCAACAAGTTAGTATGGATAATGCTGGCTGTGGACAAAGCAGAGTGTGTGACATACCTTTGTAGATCAACTGGTAATGATCCAGCATGAGAGTGATCACATTGTTGATCAGTGGGATCTTGAGTGATGTCTCAATGGTTTGATGGGCGGGCTTCACGAGGTTGGGTCCAAACACAATGGCCAAGTTGGAGTAGGACATCTTGTTCTTATCGCTACTCTGTCCGACACAACATAGCAACAGGAGCAGAACTTGCATGGTGGCCTGATTGCATGGTGGCAGGTTGGCCAACATCGCACGTATTGAAGGTATCTTCTCCTTGGCGTCACACTCTCGATCGCCAATCTCAACGATTGTATCAAACAACTCATGTGTCAACAGTGGAGGTATCATGTCTCTGAAGAAGTTCTTAAACACCGCAGCAAGATGATGTGGTCCATGTTTGGCAAATAGTGCGTCCATGTTTGCCAGTGAGCACTTGTTCAGTGCCTCCTTGAACTGATCGACCTCATGTTGATTGGGCGACACTCTGAATAGACCTTCTGTGCTCAAGTCTGTGGGGAGTACATATATACATTAGTTAGTTGTTCAATTGACTATACTATTATTCGAATAGACATACGGTTCAGCATTGCATTACATGTCTTGATTATAAATGCAGGCACCAGTACATTGGAAGACTCTCTCTGTGCCAACTCCAACAATGAGATACCAAACAACTTCTTGTTGACAGTAGTTGTGCATAGCTCACCAAACAGTTTCAACAGAGCCTTCTTCTCATCATTGTCATCCACCTGGAAGAAGTATGACTCTCCACTCTTCTTTGATATTGATATAATGTTCTTGTAGTCTATCCAATGTGGATGAATGTTGTTAGCTATTGGACTCTTGGCAATCAACGCGCGTGTTGAAGTTGAAAACTTACTGGCACTGTCTGATTGATCGGATACTACAACCTCTGACAGGTAAAAGATATTCTTGAGTTTGAGTAGATCTCTCTGGCTCTTCTTGCAAAAGATTATGACATCATTGCAGAGGTAATAGTAGTATACTTGGTCCTGCTTCTTCATTTCAAACTTGGTCAGTTTGCCTTCGTGTAGGTATATCCTACCAGGTATCACCCACTATTGGAATAGGTCATTGTCTTATGGTCAGTAATATGTCCATTCACACAATTATTAATAAGACTTACAGGATCGAGAGCCTTCTTGTTGTTCATCTTTCTATAAATATTGATCAGGGTGGCAGCATTCTGTGCCTGTGCCAGATTGTCCTGGATCAACTGTTCAATCTCCTTCATCATGATCACAGAGTTGTTGATATTGTTGTGATCGGGCCAGTTGTTTGGTGTATGTTGAGCAATCACCTAAGTACATAAATAACATCAATGTGTTAGAGTAATGGATAATGATGATGTTGCCTATGCAGTAATAATACTTACAAATAGTTGCCTCTGGTACATTGACAAATGATTCAATGGAGTGGCAATCAATGCCATCAGATCATATACTCTCTGTGGAGTGTTGTCACAACAGTCCACTATGAATTGTGCAAACTTTGGATTGTCATTCCTGCAGCGATCCAGAGTGTCAATGGCATTCTTGAAGTTCTTGACATAGTTGCCATAGACCTTGAACTCTGGGGCAATGCGCAGAAAGATGTCGCCAAGACCCTCGACGCATGGCCACTTGTTGTTCAACTGCTCAAACTGTGAGAGCACACGCTGATGCACTGTGAAGATCTCCTCCACCGAGAAGAATATCGACTTGAAGTCCTCGTCGCTGATGAGTCCGGCCATCTTGAGTGGTCGATGATAGTAGTGCAACATGATGTCCAGGTTGTCAATGTATCTGCGCTCCTCTTGGATCATGTGGCGGAATGCAATGTTGCGCTCGCGCAACATGGAGCCAGTGTACACTTCTGCCAGCCATTGTGTTCGACGCTTGGCAAGGAAGCGTCTGACACAGCTCTGCACCGTGATGATGTCTCGCACATAGTCTTGAGCCTCGGACCACGTGTTGAGCGTCTGGATGGCCGTCGCCAGGCCCTCGCTGCACGAGTCATTCACGTGTGTGTGGAAGTCAATGTTAAGGTTCTGATTGTACAATATGTCCATGATGCTCATTACTGCGTTGTGGTTGACACCTGGCAGTGCGACCAGTATGGACTGGATGGCGCCAAACAGTTTGAACGACTCGTTGTTGGTGTCTGTGAGCTTGGCCAGGTTACGTCGTTTCAGTGAGCGATTGGCACTCTTTTTCAGATCAGTGTTCTTCCTGAGCTTGATGATTCCCTTGGCGACGCTAGGTAGTAGTCGAGGTGACTGTGTTGGGGACGGCGCGCCAAGTCCACCACTGCTGTGGATGTTGTTGATATTGTTGTTGCTGACATTGATGTTGTTGTTATGGTGGTGATTGGCCAGGTTGCTGTGGCTGTGGAATCGCATTGGAGAGCTGCTCGGGGAAATGAATGAGTTATCCCTTACATGCTTCTGTTGGTAGATTGGAATGGAAGGTGATGATGTTGATGCGCCAGATGGTGAGAAGAAGGACATTGTGCTGCCCTTGGGTCTGGTCGGTGTGTTGGTCACTGGAGGAATGACCTTGTTGTTTGAAGTGTCGGCAGAGTGTGATCTTCTCTGTCTGCTCGGTGATGGCTTGGTTGATACATTGTCTGGTTCATTCAAGTCAATCGTGGTGATGACCTGCTGTTGCTGTTGCTGTTGCTTTTGTTGTTGGGAGCCAGGTGTTGATTGAAGTGGCGGAGTAGTAGTCGTGGTAGTAGTTGATGACTTTGAGTTTGGCGTGGATATGGCCACGCTTCCACTGCTTGACTCTAACCTTGGTGATCCGGCACCAGGCGGAGTGGTGATAGTTGCATACTTGGTTGGTGTCTTTGATGATGGTGATTGTACTTGTACAGTGGTGTTTGATGACGATGATGATGTTAATGTTGAGGAGGAAATGGTCCTCAGAGGTGACTGTCTAGGCGTTGTTTTGTTCTTGTTTGCGTTGTTTGGAGGGGATGTTGGTGGAGACTGTGATATACGCTTGCTGAATGTTTCAATGGCTGCAGGTGTCAATGTTCTTCTAATCGATAGAGGTGCCTTGTCAACCGATGGAATGAATGTGGCACTGACAACTGATGATGATGTACCACTATTGTTGTTATTATTGTTGTAACCATATCCACTTGGACTTGAGAATATTGTGCTCTTGGTTGGTTTGGTTGGTGTATTGTTGTTGTTATTGTTGTTGGTTGATGATGATGATGTTGGTGACTTTAATGAAACAGTTTGTTGTGAATGTTGTTGTTGTTGTTGTTGTTGCTTATGATACAAGACATCTTGTGATGAAGTCCTAAAGAATGATAATATTGTTAGATGGATGAGTACCCATTGCAACCAACAACTGACACAAACCTGACCAATGAATGTTGGGACTCTGTTTGAAAGCAATGTTTGCACTTGTCACTTCGCCATAGCTGTCTCTCAAAGAAAGCACAAGAGTTCATTCTTTCTTCTCTCTATCTTACTGTCTTTGTGTCTCTTCCTTGTCTAATCAAGCAATCAAGTATAAAGTGGAGTGAATGAATGTGACTGATTGAAAATGAACAAGTTGTTTTGTAATAATACAAGCCAACGACAATTAACAAGTTGGATATTGTTTTTGTGGTTCGTGGGCTGAAACAAGATTACTTGAATAGCACCAAATTGGCGCCTGAACGCAGATTGACAAACATTGTTTCACAACTGGAACTTCGATTTTCAACTAGAATAAATAATAAAAATCAAAAAAAACACTTCACAAACAAACGAACGATTGAGCTCAAAAACAAAGAAGAAATGTGTATTTGATGGTTCTTCTTATTATCATACATTGTTGTGTTATTATTATTATAATTATATAAATACAATATGGTCGTATCAGCCAAGAAGAAACAATCTTCTTCTGTTGTTGCTGCTGCTGCTACAACTACTGAATCATCACCTGTTGTTGTTGCACCAAAGGTTGCACCAGTAAAGAAGAGAAAGGCTGTTGATGAAGTCATCCCAACCACTACTACTGAACAAATTCAACAATCAGTCGTAGAGTCGTCAACACCAAAGAAGCAAACAACAACAACAACACAGAGCAACAAGAAGCAAAAGAAGCCTGTCGATAAGGCAAGAGATGAGATCACAAAGTTGGCTGCCACTCCCACTCCTCAAGAGCACGAGAAGAATGTCACCGACTCAAAGATTGTCCCAACACTTGAGCAAGTCGACGAGAAGAAGAAGGCAAAGAAGAAGTCTGTGATCCCAGTCGTCGCCCCAGTCGAGCCTGTGGCCGCCGTCGTCCCATCCGACACCAAGGCAACTACTTCAAAGAAATCAACAAAGTCAACATCAACAACAACTACAACCACAACTACTACAACATCAACAACAGAACAAGAGAAGGATGATAAGGATACTGGAAAGTTTAGAGAGGATGAGTGGACTGCTAAGGAGGAACCAAGAAGCGAGACTGTGACTGCTGAAGGTACGTGTGACCTTAACTCGCTCGCCGCATCATGATGCCAATAATACTAACATACCAACAACAACATACATAGAGCTCGGTATCACATCTGATTCAATCACATTCGAATCATTGCAGATTGAGGAGAAGACAAAGAAGGCCATCGCAGAGATGGGATTCACAAAGATGACACCAATCCAGGCAAAGACCATCGTGCCATTGCTCGAGGGAAGAGATCTGCTCGGTGCTGCAAGAACTGGCAGTGGCAAGACGCTCGCCTTCTTGATCCCCGCCATTGAGATCCTCGTCAAGTGTAACTTCAAGCCAAGAAGTGGCACTGGTGTCATCATCATCTCACCGACTCGTGAGCTGGCCCTGCAGATCTATGGTGTGGCTCGCGAGCTCATGCTTAATCACACTCAGACACACGGCATCGTCATTGGAGGCAACGACAAGAAGACCGAGGCAGAGCGTCTGTGCAAGGGAGTCAATCTGGTGGTGGCCACACCTGGCCGTCTGCTCGATCACCTTCAGAACACGCGTGGCTTCATCGTCAAGAATCTAAAGTGCTTGGTCATTGACGAGGCGGACCGCATTCTCGAGGTCGGATTCGAGGAGGAGATGCATCAGATCGTCAAGTGTCTGCCAAAAGAGCGTCAGACCATGCTGTTCTCGGCCACCCAGACGAGAAAGGTCGACGACATTGCACGTGTCTCTTTCAACAAGGAGCCTGTGTACGTTGGTGTCGACGATGACCGCGAGGTCTCCACCGTTGAGGGTCTGGAGCAGGGCTACGTCGTGTGTCCCAGTGAGAAGCGATTCCTGCTGCTCTACACGTTCCTCAAGAAGAACCTCGACAAGAAGGTCATTGTGTTCCTGTCGTCGTGTGCCTCTGTCAAGTACCACGCCGAGCTGCTCAACTACATCGATATCCCCGTGCTCGAGTTCCACGGCAAGCAGAAGCAGCAGAAGCGTACCAGCACCTTTTACGAATTTGTTAATGCAGAGAAGGGTATCCTGATTTGCACAGACGTGGCTGCCAGAGGCGTGGACATCCCCTCCGTCGACTGGATCATCCAGTACGACCCACCCGATGATCCCAAGGAGTACATCCATCGTGTCGGTCGTACGGCGCGTGGTGTCGGCAAGAAGGGCAGAGCACTGCTCTTCCTGCTGCCTCAGGAGCTTGGCTTCCTCAAGTACCTGAAGCTGGCCAAGGTGCCACTCAACGAATACGAGTTCCCTCAGAAGAAGGTCTCCAACGTGCAAGACCAACTCGAGAACCTAGTATCACACAACTACTATCTTCACACGTCTGCGCGTGATGCATACAAGAGCTACATCCACTCGTATGCCTCTCATTCACTCAAGGATATCTTCAACGTCAACACACTCGAGCTTGGTTCAGTTGCTCTTTCCTTTGGTTTCCAGAATCCTCCAAAGATAATGTTAAGTATGTTATTATTATTCAATCAATCAAAAGTATATTCCAAGACAGAGACACTAACTCATCTCGACCAATCAATCAACCAATCAATCAAAGATGTTAATACAGGAATAAAGACTGAGAAGAAGAGAAAGGTTGGACCAGGAGCATCAAAGAATGGCTTTAGCGATGCCAACCCATACGCATCAAAGAATGAATATAGCAGCAAGACTAATCCATATGCTCCAAAGAATAAATAAAGTAGTAGTATTGCTTTCCAACGATTGATCAACATGATGACTCCCGCATAATCGTTTGTCTTTAAATTTGATCAGCTGAAATCATTCAAATGTTTGGACCTATACTTCAAACATATACAGAGTAATGCTTCCGACACACATACTCGGCAGCATTGTCAAACTGTCCTGGACACACTGGCAGTCATCAAGGCACTGGAAGTTGCAGCTGTCTCTTTTGTCATGGCGGTTCTTTGTCTTCGTTTCGAATCTCAATGACACTGCTACACTGTCAGCAGCATCCAACTCGACAACTACGGACCAGGTTGGATGAAAATATGTACCGTTGAAGACTTGCTTCAACACATGCTCTCACCTTACTGTTGCTTGAAACAACTGCGCAGTCTAATCATAATCAACATGAACAAGAACGACACCCAGCTCATGCTTGCAAATCACCAGTTGTTCTTTCAGCACCTCGAGAGCCTTACATGGAGCACGGATGAACATCTCTCTCTCTCCTTCTTCAAAGATGTGGTAGTCGACCATCCTAGTGCACAGTCTATACCGATCAGATACCTCAAGCTTACATTCAAAGATCACAAAGACGCCATTCTTCCCCTGCTCTCAAAATGCATACAAAGTCTTCAGCTCGAGTACCTTTCAATCAACTACTGCCAGCAGTCAGAGGCCAAGCACACCCCACAAGTATGTAACATTGATGATCTTCATCAGATACTCCCAAGTTCACTGCAGAGCTTGGATTTCTCCAATGTCACAATTACAAGGAAATTACTTCAGTGTCACAATGCTCAAGCACTCACATCTCTGGCACTCGGCAATGACAATAGCAGCATTGAATGGGAGCGTTGCACCCTGTCCGACCCCGGGGAGTTTATACAGTCACTGCGAGCAATCGACACTCTGCGCCATCTTGCTCTCTTCCCAACGAACGCCAAACACGAATATCAACCCGCACTGTTTGATCAGTACCTGTCGACCAATCACTCATTGACGTCACTCTCCCTGCCATTCGTTGGCCATCGCCCATATCTGGAGCTGATCGCCTGCAAGCTCAACCTTAAGCGGCTCCAAATAGAAATGGATGACGATGTTGTCTTCCCTTTCATAAGGTCGCTGCGACTCTCATCCACCAAGGACATGAACATCTACCACCAGCTTTGTGCCATAAAGCGAGCGGCACACGCTGAGGGCCAACTCATGCTCCAACATCTCCATCTCAAGTATAAGGAATGGTATCTAACACATTCCCACTACATGATCAATCATCTTGCACTGTTCTGTCAGACATTACCAGCCCATTTCTCCATTGTTTGGCTGACAATACAGTCATCATTCACTGAAAACCCTTACACATTGAACTGCCAATTCATGCGCAATTTTGGTATCCAAGTTAGCAATGGACTGGAGGTGTTGGAGTTGATATCAGAGGAGCACCATCCTGGAGGCACCACGTCCATTTTGGAGTCATCAGACATATCACAGAGTCTGCTCGACCATCTAGAACTGACTCCGCACTCGTCAATCAAACAATTCATACTAACCTGCAATCAAACACCTAGTACATTGCATTCATTCTACCTTCCCCGACAATCCCCGTATGGTCTCGTCCTATCCAGTTCGACAGTGTTGCCATCAATGATCACCCTCAACTATGCTGTCGAGCCTGAGCACGTCCAATCGGTCGATAGAGATCAAATACCCTACTTGTATCATTCAGTGACTTATTGGGATGGTACCCAATCTTTCAATGATAATGACTATACTTTAACTGTGGAGGATTTTATAGAGGTCAGAATTCTGATGGACCATGAACATGTTTCTAGCATGGAGGTTGGAACGCCAAGGCTCACAAACAGTTCTCTGGTCGAGACATATCCCAGCCACTGGAGTGGAGAAAGGTTAGACATGTATATCAAGACCAATCCATATGCTAATTGGATTAGCTAAGTAAATAAGATAGTCGGTTAATTTATTTAGAGGATCAACATCGAGATGAGCACGGCGGCGAACAAAGTGATGAGGGATGGCAACAACACTGGGGATGAGCTCAGGTTGAGTGGCATGGCAGCGCAGTTAATAACACGATCCTTGTAAATGTGGACAATGTCGTTGTAGTTGGTACAGTTGGCACTGGTCAGAATGAGTGGCTGCTCACCGGTGGCGAGGTTACGGAACCACAGGGGCTTCACGGCGGTTGGGAGAACAACTGGATAGGTGATGCGAACAAACTCTTGCATAACGGCATCGTCGTAGGAGATTCCTGACTCGAGCCAATCGCGGCTTCCCACGCTGTTCATAAGTCCGTCCTGGCGATAGACACGGTTCTGCTTAATAAACTTAAAGTTGGTGACGTTTGGATCGATTCTGTACTCGGACATGAAGTGGCTGTAGTTGGAGATCATATAGGTCTCGTCGATGAGAACGTCCACGTCGGCAAGAGCAGCGAGGAACTCTGAGGAGTTGCTGGTGGTGAGTGCTGGAGCAAGCTGGGCACCTCCGTCGGCAGTGATCTTGGCCTTGTAGGCAGCGGCTGAGATGGTCCATGAGGCCTTGTTTCCGTTGTACTTTGATGGTGCAGAGTAACTGGCCCAGGCAACCTTTTGCATTGTGGAGCGACGGGCGTCGAGGGTGATGCGAGTGGCGTTGGCAAAGCAGTGGTAGTTGTCACTGATGCCACCAAACACAGTCTTTGAGACATTCTCAGCGTTGAAGAAGAAGGCGTAGAACTGCAACCAACCGGCACGGTGGAGGGGACCTGGGTCGGTGGACTCACGAGTCATAACAGTGTTGGTCTTGTTGTCCTTCATGTAGGTGAAGGCAACATCGACAGAGTCCATCTGGGATGGCACAGCAGAGGAGTTGTATGGAAGAATCTCTCCCTTCTCCAAGGCCATCTGGACGCATGGCGAGCAGATGTAAGCCGCCGAATCAACGTATTTGATTTTGCTCTGTAGTCCGAGAAGCAACAAGTATGGGTTGTTTGGAGTCTGCGAGGTGAGCACCTTGGTGACTGGTACCGAGAAAAACTTGGCACCAGCAGCAAACAGAGATGCATCTGGCTTTGGTGAACCACATTGGTAGAGAACGTAGGTGGTGCCGTCAGCAGTGTCGGTAACGACCTTGTATGAGTTGGTGTAGGTCACGTTGAAAAGTGTGGAGTTGGAGACTGAGTTATTGATATGTTAGTTTGTTTCATGATATTGTAGTTATTCACTAATACATACTAACAGTTCTAACTGGGAAGTAGTTAACTGAGGCATTGTACTGTCCGTTTGGAATGCATTCCTGGAGGTTGCTGGTACCGTCGGCAAAGGAGGCAACGCTGGTGGATACTGTAGCCAAAAGCAAGATGGCTGAGATGACAACTAGGGTAGACTGATTCATGAAGTTGTTGTTGTGAATGTGTGTTGAACTAGTATCTATATATTTGTTAAGAGTGAACGAATAAATGAATGACAATGAATTAGTTTGAACGAGGTCCTGAATGGAGTGGACTACGAACGATCGGAGTAGAATGGATCAACACACTGTTCACTACTTGGTTCCCATTAGAGACCTCTTCAGAAGAAATGTGGCAGGTGTCAGTGCTAGTACCAAATAAACTGCTCACATAGCATACCAACAAATAACGAATCTAAATTGGACCTTCTCGTCGCCCAGTGGTGCCAGCGCAATCCCGATAAATTTAAACTACAGAGCTTATAACCTAGTTTATTTGCATCCGTCTACACTTTAAATTCAGATGCGCGCTATACTTTTGTCGTTTGTTGTCCCAAAATGGTGTTGGGGTGTCGGGCAGACGAGGTTTTTATTGCAATGGTGTTTGTTTGGTTCCACATGACAAACTCAAAGTAAGTACACCAAGTGTGATATATTCTTTGCAATATGTGATACTACTGTCATTGGTAGTTATCACTTGTCTCCAACTTAGTTGGAGGATGCTACAATGCAATCGTAGTATAAGACATCACTGTTGCTGATGACATTGACTGTCGCTGGAGTAGTCGTTAGGTCAATGATACTCAATGTTGAATTGGCATTGACCGTGTGTGTAGACATGTAGATTGTGGATGCTCCTACTCCTGTTGTTGAGTGGGTGACATTGGTTGGAAGGCCACTGAACACCAAGGGCTTGTTTGCCAGAGAGGTCAGATCCAGCAGTCCCATGTAGCCATAGCCAGAGACCATCATCGTACTCTAGTATTGAATGAACTCGATAGTATCAAAGACTTTACACAGGCAGATATTAAAATATTATAACTGGTCTGAAAGTGTAAGTACTACTTACAATTGTTCGTATTCCTTGAGGATACTAACTTGCCAGTGGAGGCATCATACTGGTTCAACGTCATTAGTAATGTAGAATAGTCATCAGTCCATATTGGTACTCCAACCAAGTATTGGTTGGTTGGTGGGTAGTAGCCAGCAGTTAGATATCCAAAGTCCTCCTCATCCATTGGAGGAAGTGTCTAGATGCATGGTGTTAATGTTGTAGTTGATCAATTAATGTAGGGTACATATTGGAAGATATATTTACATCGTAGATGACAAGTTTGGCATTCAAGTCCAGATGTCCAACCATGGTGTTGTTGCTAAAGGTGTCAAAGAACAGACAGTTGAGGACATTCATTTGACTGTTGTAGTCAATCTCCAGGATATTGATGGTTTGTTCTGCATTGCTAACTATGTGAGTCATGTTGATAACCGTGTTGGTATTGAGATCAAAGATCAACAGAGATTGGTCCTTTACAGTCAGCGGAGAAAGGAATTGGTAAGTATAAGTTATTGCTTCATCAGTTTCAGTACTTATTACGACTACATACAAAAACAAAGATGTCGGCCAAGCTGGAGATGATAACGTACATCAGGTTGTCAGCATTATTGATAGTAGTTACCAATGTCGACATGCATTGTTCTGGAAAGAGAGTCATGTCTTTGATTTGGACCAAAGACTTTAAAGAGGCTATTCATATTTGGATGTTAACATTGAGGACTATAACATTGGTTGATTGACTTACCATCAGTTTGGTCAACTACTGTAATGTTGACATTGGTTACACCCACTAGAGAGTAGAGTGTTTCACCATTGGTGGTGACAAAGCTGCACAAGTGACAGGAGACAATAAGGAATAATGTTAGTTGGATGTTTATCATCTTAGTATTCAATCAATCAGCAGTAGTAATGGTTAGTTAATGAATGATTAACAAACTTTGATAAGTGACTACTCCTTGTCTTGATCCCTCATCGGCAAAAGGTGCAGACAAGTCGGTAAAAGAGCTGTGGTGTGTGTTCAATCATCCAATCAAATCGATTGATCCTCAGGGACCCCAAGATATTTTGTGAGCCTCAGGGATGAGACCTTGAGTTGAACTTGCCACGTATACATAATTGTTCTACTCCATCTACATTATTACAACAGTAGTGACAAGTAATTGTAATTGCAAAGAGGTGAACTCTATTATATTCTAACTTTGTTTAAGCATCAATTGTTTGATGAGAGGTGTGATGAAACGCCACAGTTTGCGAGCAATCAGTGGCCATCCAACAAGGAAGAATACAAATGCAAATGCATTGAACCAGAGCATTGCCTTGGACGATGTCTTGACTGCCGCCAGTTTGGACTCCAGTTCTGATACCTTGGCCTCCCACTCCTTGTGTCTCTGTTGTGACATCTGTTCGTCATCCTTTTGCTGCTTCACCAGTGCTTCCAGTTTGGTGATGTATCCTGTCAGCTTGGCATCGTTGCTTGTTGTAGTAGTTGTCGTTGTAGTTGTCATAAACTCGCCATTGGCGTTGGCGTTGCTGTTGTTGCTGTTAGCTGCTGCTACCACTGGCTCCACTCTATTACTCAACGCCAGTGGTCTTGATGTTTGTGATCTGGCGAATGAGTTCTCCAGACCCAAGAGTCTGGTTTGATTGACCTCGATGATCCTTCGCATTGAGTTCAGTTCACTGTTGAGTGCTGCCATGTAGTTCCTCAGATCTTCACTGTATTGTGCGTCTGATGGTTGCCATGTGTCCGTTGACTCAAAGTACTGTTCATCAGATGAGGAGCCAGGTACGTTGAGATCCTCATCTTCGTCTTCATACTCCTCGTCATAGTCTGATAGATCATGGTCGGCAATAGATGGTGGACCAGAGAAGTCAGACATCTCGTCTTCGTCCTCCACGTGATTGTGTTGTATGTTCCTGTGCAGGGTGGGTGTGACTGCGCCGCTCTCCACCTTTGTGGTGATATGTTCCTGTTCACTTCCATTATTACTGAAACTGTTGCGTCTGCTATTGTCATTACTGTTGTTGCTAATACTATTATTGTTATTGTTTTCTACAACGTTGTTGACTGGCCTCTTCAATAGCTCTGATTGTTCATACTCCTCGACTTGAGCGCGTACCAGTGACAGCCACTGTCTGAACGACGCCTCTGCAGTGTCATGCACCCAACTCTCAATCTGACCTCTGAACATCCAATGGGCATAGTTATTCTTGACATCAATGCTCACTTTGCATCCAGTTGACTTTGTCATTGATGGTACAACATTCCACTCTGACTCTGACGTAAAGTTCTTTCCAATTGGACTACCATCAAAGAAGGTATCAGATGTGACACGTAATGAGCTGTGGACAAAGGGCAGAGTTAGGAATGTCTATTACACATCGACTCCATGAATACATATATACTAACCTTTCACTCTTTGTATAATATTGTACCTCTCTTACACGTGCCTTATCACCAACCAAACCATTGATAAAGGCATTGCTCGAAATGAATGAACAGAATGATATCTCACGTGTGTATCTTCCATCTGGTAATGGTGACCATTGTGTTATATCTATTGCTGTATCTCCCTGAATGATTGAATAAATGAATGAAGATAGTTAGTTAGTCAGGTTACTAGTTGTGTCATCATCAACACTCAATGTATGTATATTACTCTTGTTTCATGATAACGTAGTTTGAAACCAGCTCTCTCAAAGAAGAATGAAAAGAATGTCTCTACTGATATGTTGAACTCTTCTTCAAGATGAAGTAACTTCATTGTTTGTATGTTTGTATGTTGTTATTAATAAGTATGATAATGTTACAGATAGTTATTGTTGTTGATATATATAAAGGTATATAAGTTAGGTTGAGAATAATAAAGGTGGAGTCGATTCGTGTTGACCTTGGCTGACCCTTTTGATCTCAATGTGAAGATGGTTTTGGGGTTGGTTGTGACCTCAGCTAAACGTCACACACTAAACAACATATTGTTTATTTATTTGTTCTCTTTCTCTCCAACTCCTTCATAAACAGCCACCTCTCTGTTGTGATCTGATTCTCACCGAATGATATAGCCAACAATCTGGCAGTAGTGAGCCAATAGTGGAAGATCTCTTGTGGTGTGCTCTCATCCTTTTGTCTCGTCGAAACAAAGTCCTCTTCAATCATTTTGGTTACAGTCTCACTGGACGCCTCTAGCTTCCAATTCATCAAACTGTTCAAATATGTTCTGAACTTGTCCAACATCATCTCATCAACTTTAAGTCCATCATTCATTGATTCTTGATCCGGTACCATGACCACCTGGCATAATCCCTGTTGGTCCAAAGTGTGTTAGAATAATATTGGTGGATATCCATGTTAATGTATGTACATACTGGAGTCAATGATTTACCATGTGACAGGATCAACATCTGGATGTCAGTGTCCACCTCGATCGGATGGTACTTGAAGTCGTACTCAACCTTTTGGTTGAGGACAATGTCTTTGAGGGCACTCAGGTTGCGAACACCTTGTTTGTAGAGCTGTCCCTCAGCCAGACAGGTCTCATTGACAATGAGATGTGTGTTCTTTGGCAGTTGGAGTAGACCAGACACTATACGATTCTTGTCATAGTCCTTGTAGGGTATGAGATCACCATCATTCAAGTTGTCAACAGTGACGGCCAACATGTGAGATCTGACGACCAAGCTTGCCACCAACTTATTGATCTCCTCTGGAAGTGAATTGTCCAAGTTCTCTGGCAACAACAAGTTCAATGGGAAGTTGCCCAAGATAAGTCCTGCAGTCTTTAAGTATCTACAAGATTGATTGATCGATGGTCAGGACGAGCGAACAAGATGTCATCACTTATGAATGAATGAATGAACGAGGATAGTTACACTTTTGAGAGTAGATGGCAGAGAAGATACTCTGCAGCCAATTGATCACCAAGTAGGTGTTGTTGGATGTACTGTACCAACTCTCTCCTTGTTTGTTGGAGCTCTTGCTGAGGTGGTTGAGGTGGTCGTTGTTGTTGTTGTGCGTTGGAGAATGGTAGCTGAGTTTGAGTTGGATACATGTATTGATCCAATACCCTGTAGGATATGGCGTGGAGTCTGGGGGCGATGGACTCTGGAATCGTTGCGGTCTGGTCGTCGACAATGTCCATCATTGGCATGAGCTTGTCCAGCTCTGATGGCGTGGTGTGTGTCTCTGGCACGCTAAACTTGGAGACGACACCAACAAACTCCACAATCTCGTTCATCTTGAGATAGTTCTGCGAATTGACGTCATAGACCATGACTACGAATGGTGATTGATTGACAATGTTTGGGTCCATCGGCAGTGGGAAGTTCTGTATCTTCTTAAGGTCCGTGTCCTTCTCGTACATGCACTCCTCCTCTTGTTGTTGTTGGGCCACCTTGATATGTTTTGAGGGTACAGCAGAATCCTCTACCTTCTTCTGTGTCTCCATGTCCACTTCATCATCATTGTCATAGTCCTCCAATGGTCTCTTATTCTTGTTGGGTGGAGTTGATACGCTTGTTGACTTTGGAGTGCTCAAGGTGAGCTTGTTCGTCCACTTGTTCGTACATGGTACAGGTACGCAATAGTACATGTTCCTCTCAAAAGTGACATCATTGAATGATTGATCAAATTCCTCACCAGGCTCCATACTGATGTTGCCATTCTTAAATGCACCAGTGTCATACCTCTGAGTTGTGATTGATGTAAGTAAGTAAGCAAGCAGTCAGACTGAGACCGTGTTGCAATAACGTACCAGTTGGTTTGTTGATCTATTCTTTAGACGATATAGACCAAGATAGTATTGTGGATCGAATATGTCTTGTACCATGCAGCGCACCCTCACTAGACGACCGATGTTGGCATCAGACTCTGCGATTGAGGTGATGAGTGGCACAGTTCGATAGAGTTCATCATTGGCCAGTAGTTGTTTGAAATGTGCACTGATGCCCCACTGAGCGACTTCATCATTGGCCTGCTCATCATCATTAGCAGTGCCATCCATTCTACTATTCACATTTGAGTTCAATCTCTCCAATGATGATTTGTAACCATCATTAAACAGTTGTTGTATCCTTTTCAAAGGATGAATCAAGTCATCTGTTAACATTGGTGATGGATCCATCTAATATACTACTTTATATCTTATCTATGTATTATTATATATATCTTTATCTGTATGACTTGTGAATATACTCTTCACAAATTGAGTCTGGCTTTAAAAAGGGCGCCATTTTTCAAATCTGTTTGAACACTCAATCATGACGCAGTCTACAGATAAAATGACAAGAGAGCAGGACACTTTATTGAGTATGTCAATAAGCATATATACAGCACATATGCATGACCTATCTATTGAACTGTTGCACAACTAGCATTTGATCATTCATCTTACTATGGTCCATTGTGGAAAGTTAGACTATTTGACTTTGTTGAAGTTGTTGATCTTGAGATGTCTTTTAATTTATAATAATATAGTTATATCTGTGACATGCCATCTATAGATATACAGATAATTAATTAAATATGAGTACACAATCAACCTATAGCAACAACAATAACAATAAGAGTAGTCCTACTAATGATAACAATAACAACAATAACAATAGTTTAACACCTTCAAAGAGAAAGGATGACAATGGCAACAATGACATAGGCGATGATGTTGCCATTAGAGATACAAAGAGGTCAAGACAGACGATTGTGCAACTGAATGATGTAGAGGATGGTGAATTGGATGATGAGCCAAGCAATGCTCCATCATCAACAACAACAACATCAAGCCATGGTTCAAATGTTAACATCGTTGCTGTTGAACCAGCAAAGGATAGGAGGTCAACATCACCACAACCACATCGTCGTACATCATCCGATAGAGACAGAGAAAGAGATAGGGAAAGAGACAGAGAAAGAGAAAGAGATAGAGATAGGCAGAGAGATAGAGATATTAGAGACAGAGATAGAGATAACAGGGATAGAGAGAGGAGGGACAGGGAAAGAGAGAGACCGTCAAACAACAATGACAGAGATAGATATGAAAATGATAGATACAGAGATCAAAGAGATAATAGGGATAGAGACAGGTATCAATCAAGTGATAATAGAGGTCACCGAGGTAGTGAGAGTGATTATAGATCAAAGGACAGTCGATCGAACAACACAACAAGGCCATACAGTAATGGTGGTGGCGGTGGTGATGCTGTAGCAACTGGTGACAGTAGTAATGGTAGTGAGAGAAGGCCAAACCCAGCTAAAGATAGTGCATCTAGCGATGGTTCAAGGCATTCAACTCCAACAAAGTCTGTTGTCTATATCAAATCAAAGCAGGACAATGGTTCATTATCATCCGCATCAAAGGAGAGGAAGCAGGTCACTGCTTTAGTGGACACTGTCATTGTTGATGAGGAAGAGGAGAGAGACAAGGAGAGAAAGCTGATCGAGGAGAGCAGGAGAAGGAGGCAAGAGATATTGGCAAAGTATCAAGAGGAGGAGGAAGCAGAGGCCCGTAACAAACAACAACAGGACAGTTCAGCATCCAATAACAACAACACTCAAGTACCAGTACCAACGACACCAAAGAAAGAGAAGGATGATCAGCAACAGAAGCCCACTGCCGAGTCCAAGGATGAGGATGATGCTGTTTTAGATCTAAGCAAGGAATGGAAGACTGGCGATGACGAGGAGGAAGAGGAGGCGTCGTCTGGCGAGGAGGACCTGAAGAAGAGAGGCAAGATTGACCAGAGCGACTTGAAGCGCAAGGATCAGCCAAACACTGTCACAGCTAAACCAGCGCCAAAGCCAGCGCCGGTAGCTGTGCTGGACATGTTTAGCGACTCTCCCACTGGCGAAGAGGACGACGATCAGATGAACATCAATCTGAATGTCAATCAGCAGAGCAATGATCAGTCGTCAGAAGTCAATCTCACGGATAATTGGGACGACCACGATGGCTACTACAAGTACAAGATTGGCGAGGTCATGGACAAGTATCAAGTGTTTGCTCCAATTGGATCGGGTGTCTTTAGCACCGTGCTCACTGCCAAGAACATCAACACCAATGAGGAGGTCGTCGTAAAGATCATTCGAAACAGACATCCAATGCATCGATCTGGACTCAAAGAAGCAGAGATCCTTCAAAAGCTGAGCAAGGATCCACAGCTCTTGGCCAAGAGTCATTGTATCCAGTACAAGGATTCATTCCACTATCGCAATCATCTTTGTATAGTAGTGGAACCAATGAGGTATGTACTACATTGTATATCCTGACAACTACAACATCATCATGTTACTAACATTTGACCAAACATACACAGTATGAGCTTACATCAATTGATCAAGAAGTTTGGAAAGAATGTTGGACTAAGTATGAATGCTGTTAGAGTGTACGCCAAACAATTGTTCATGGCACTGAAGCACATTAGGAATTGCAAGATCCTACATGCTGACATCAAACCGGACAACATCGTGGTCAATGCTGCCAAGAACACCATCAAACTATGCGACTTTGGTTCGGCTGGTGAGCAACACGAATCAGAGATCACGCCATATCTAGTCAGTCGATTCTATCGAGCACCTGAAATCAGTAAGTACCTTGAGTGATGTATCCATCATTCTCCATCGATCAATCACTAACCATCGATCAATCACAACAACAATAGTGCTAGGTATGAAGTATGACTTTTCGATTGATGTCTGGAGTGTTGGATGCTGTTTAGGTGAGTTGTACACGGGCAGGTTCCTATTCCCTGGTAGCACCAATAATGATATGCTCCGTCTGTTCCAAGAGTACAAGGGCTCATTCCCCAAGAAGATGTTGAAGAAGGCAGAGTTTGCCTCGAGACATTTCAACGAGAGCTTAGTCTTTATGAAGGATGGTCGTGATCCAGTAGACAATAAGGTATGTGTTGAACATCATCACTTCATTCGTATGCCCAACAACCTTGTTACTAACACATTTTGGAATACTTCCATTCACCAATGACTGACACAGCCAATGAAGACACCATTGGAGATAACAAAGCCAACTAGAGACCTTCTAACATATTTAGTACCAAAAGGTGTAGAGTTGCCAGAGAATGAGATGAAGAAGGTGCATCAACTTAAAGACCTCATTGAGAGGTGCACAACATTGGACCCAGAGAAGAGAATCACACCTGTTGAGGCACTCAATCACGACTTCTTGAAGCCTTACTAAATTTTATGTCTATTGTCCGTATGACATATGTCAGTTATGTCCTTTGATCAATGTCAGTGACGCTGATGGATTGATTGTTTTGAGTGGGTGTGTCAACGACGTCATTGAAACTGATTTTTGGTTTGATTTTGGATGACCTCACCAAGCACCCCCACTTTGCAAAGGACCAAACAGAGTGGACTGCAAACAACAATCACAAAGGCATATCGAGGGGCGTGCACCATCAGAACATACATTCAGTGAGGTAGATATAAATAAATTATAAACAGACATAGATATATATCTTTATACTTGTACAATATTGTAAGTATTATTACAACAATATAGGATTGATTGATAAGATTCAAAAAGATAATGAGTGTGGTGTCTTTGGTGTACCCATCCCATCTCCCTCCGGCATTGGCCTACATCGATGTTGACACAAACATACAAACCAAACATAAATAGATCAATCAGTATAACATATATATATATATACATATACATTGACGACAGATGTTCTGCGGTGGAAAGAAAGGATCAGTCGAGGAGCTAAAGGTGTCCGATGACATTGACAAGTCGTTGAGACAGGACCAGAGACGAAGGAAGAAGGACATACAGATTCTGTTGCTTGGCGCTGGTGAATGTGGCAAGTCTACAATCTTTAAGCAACTAAAGATCCTACAGGACAATGGCAAGTGGACAGAGAATGAGTTGATCGAGTTCCGCAACTCTATCTTTGTAAATGTCACCACTCAGATGCAAGTGTTGTTGGCTGCTGCTGAGCAGTTCAATGCTGACTTGTTACCAGATAATATAGTAAGTAGTATGGATGTTGATTGATTCATTGATTGATTGAATGAGTGAGTGAGTACTGATTATATCATCTTTAGGAACCAGCAATCAGAATCAAAGAATACCAGAGTTTGTCCGATGCATGGACTAAAACCATTGGTGAGGATTGTGCTAAAGTATGGTCTGATCCTGCCATCAAGACAATATACGAAAGAAGAGACAAGGACTTCCAACTCAATGACTCGGCCAAATAGTATGTCATCCATTCATCCATGGATGGAACCATTCCAACTAACAATCCAATCAAATCCAATCCTATTAGTTTCTTTGATAGCTTGGAAAGGATATCACTTCCAAACTATCTACCAACACCACAGGATGCTCTGCGATCAAGAGTGATGACAAAGGGCATTGTGGAGGCAGATGTAGTGTTTGAGGATATATCGATGAAGGTGGTCGATGTGGGAGGACAGCGATCACAGAGAAGAAAGTGGATTCATTGCTTTGACGGAGTGTCTGCCGTGATCTTTGTGGCGGCACTCAGTGAATACGATCAGAGATGTCGTGAGGCCAATGTCAACCGTCTCGACGAGTCACTCAAACTCTTCTCCGAGATTGTCAACAGTCAATGGTTTACAGAGACACCCATCATCCTTTTCCTCAACAAGAAGGATCTACTCATTGAGAAGTTACAACGTGTACCATTCTCAAGATATGATCCATCATATACTGGTATGTTCCAACAACATAGTTTATTGATTATGTTATGTTACTAATCAACTCCATTCAATCAGGTGACAACTCATCAGGCGATGTATCAAGCAACATAAAGAAACGATTCTATTCACTGATGAAGAACAATAGCAATCTTTATTGTCACATGACAATTGCAATCGATACACAGAACATAGACTTTGTATTCAAGGCTGTCAAGGAGATCCTGCTGAGGGAGACCATCAACGAATTCTAGAATCCAATCAATCATTTAATTAATCGTTACAATGTATTATTACCTTTACTCTATTTATCTCTCTCTTCCAAGTTCATTATTGTTGACCATGTTGTTCATTTGAAGAGGTTGTTGCATCATGAGTGCCATCCAGTAGAGTCTCTTCCTCTTCACGCTTGCGCTTATGACATAGTGCAACCAAAGCATCACTCAATTGCATCTCGAGTTGCTCAATACGCTTGGCTTTCTCGTCTTCTTCCAGCATATTCCTTATCCAGTTGATCTCGAAGTTCTTGGGGAAAAGAGGATAATGGAGAAATGTGTCCTCGAAGTTCTTGGTATGATCCTCTCCATATTCTCTTCGAAGGTAAAGAGAGTAGTCATCAGCCGTACAGGGATATCCATCCACTCCAGGAGGATACGGGCTTGTGAATTTTGTTGTTACTCCGACCTTGGTGTCTTTAACCAACATTATCCAGCTGTCTGCCCAAACCTTGATACGCTTGAAGAGGATAATTATTCCTCTCCAACAATCCTCTGTGCATTCTTTGCTTAACAGAATCTCTTTGTATGCATCATGAAGAGCAAATGCTGAATAGTCATTTCTTGGACCAGCATACAACCATGCCATCTCTCTATTACCACAACTCAAGGGTAAACATGATCTGTGTCTCTGACAAAGATTCTGGATATTAACTCCTAGATTAATAATAGATTGATCCATAATATAATGTTGTAGAATGATAAAGTGTCGGACAATCAATTGATATCTTGATCAATCAAGCACACACCACAACAACGCACCATCATGTTGTGTATTATTGTGGTATCTCTTTCTCTCTTCAAAAGTGAACATCAAAGTGGTTGTCTTTGACACTCACTCACATCACTTCCAAGAACTCAACATCTGCACTTGGTTGGTTTGTTGGGGTTTGTAATTTGAGATGCGTGCCACAAACTAAGGGTCTTATCATATCAGAGATGGAGTTACCTTGCAAAAGGATAAAGGTAGAGGTAGAGCCTTCAGAAGTATTGGCTGAAGAGGCAGAGGATCTACAACCTCATCAACGACATGACGATAATGATATTGAAGACGAGGATATTGTTGAAACGATATCAATCTCGTCTTCACCATTATCCCGTCATTCATCACCTACACCTCCTCCTCCATTGTTACTGCGATCAAACACGTCACCATTGAGACTCACTTCAATTAGGACGCCACTCTTTCAATCACCATCATCATCCAATTCACTCAAACGATCATTCACCTCTCCACTCCATTGTAAACGTGAGAGGGACACTGAAGATGATCCAATCGACCTCAGTGTGGATTATGATGACGTCGATGACAATAGCAAGCGAGTCAATGCAGTGACATCAGCATCAGCAGCGTCAATGGCAACAGATCTGCCACTTGATACATTTGTAGACGAACGAATCATTAATGCACCAACTACATCAACTACATCAACAACGTCGACATCAACAATGAACCACCTACGACTAAGAACCGATATGTTTAAGATGTCAGCAAGGCCAAATACTTTATCATTATTGGCAAACAACAACAACAACAACAACAATCCTGCGATCGCTCCTCAAGATGCCACTACCAAGTCCACACTGGCACAATCTACATCAATGGACACCTCCTCAACATCCTCTCAAATCAATGAGGAGTTATCATTCGATGACCCACTGACAGTGATCAAGCTACTCAAGTCCACACTGTCATACAAGTCCAAAGTCAAGGACCCGGACAAGGATATCGGCTCTTCACCAACCGAACCAATATACAAGTATGAGTGCTTGAATGAGAAGCAACGTCTTATCCACGATCTTGTAGTCAAACAAAAGAAGAACGTCTTTATCACTGGTCCAGGTGGTTCTGGCAAGTCCTATCTCATTCACACAATGGTCGAGGATCTAATCTCCAGGGGCGTGAACACATTCATCACTGCTACCACTGGAATAGCAGCACTCAACATTCAAGGCACCACAATTCACTCATTCGCTGGCATTCGATTCAGCAACGCCCCATTCGAGGAGCTGCTCAGCTCTGCGTACTCTAGGAAGAAGAATTGGAAGGAGGCTCAGGTGCTCATTGTGGACGAGGTGTCAATGTTGGACGGCATCTTCTTTGAGCATCTCGATCACATTGCCAGGAAGATCAGACAGAAGATGAATGAGAAGCGTGGCATCCAACAACCATTGGAGTTGCCCTGGGGAGGCATCCAGGTGTGTCTGTGCGGTGACTTTTACCAGCTGCCACCCGTGCCCAGCTACCAAGATCAGAACAGCATTGTCGACAAAGAGATGTCACTTGTTAAGAAGCGCAAGTACTGCTTCGAATCAGTGAGCTGGTCCCAAACAGTCGAGGTCATTGTCCAGCTCACAGAGATCTATCGTCAAAAGGACACCCACTTCTCAAGCCTCCTGTCCAAGCTTCGAATCGGTCGACCAGACGATGAGATTATGACAACCCTAAAGAAGAGGCAAGGAAGTAAGTACATCCTCAATCACTCAATCAATCAATCACACGGACATTAATTACCATACCCATACATAGTTGATAATGTACATAATGGCATTCAACCAACGATACTATACACGACAAACAACAAGGTGGAGGAGAAGAACGAATATTACTTGCAACAAATAGAGGAGGACGCTGTAAAGTATGAATCAATCGATAGCCTGGCAGAGTGGGAGGGCCTGTCTAAGCCCAAGACAGACATACTCTCGTCCATTTATGAGAACTCCAAGAAGCAATGTCTGGCATCAAAGACCATCGTATTGAAGAAGGGAGCTCAAGTGATGCTCGTGAGGAACATCTCACCACAACTTGTCAATGGAAGTCGTGGCGTCGTCATTGGATTTGTGAACCTGTCACCAGAGAATCAGCGCTCGCTGCTCAAGTTCTTTGAAACGCCCGATGCCAAATCATTGGAATCATGGCAGCGAGACAAGATGCGAGACGTCATCACGCAGTCCAGCTCGTATCTCATCAGTCAAAACCATACACTTCTTCCAGTGGTACGATTCATGAATGGAGAGGTCGAACTGATCAAGCCAGAGAAGTTCTCTGTGTTCTTTGAGTCGGTGGAGCGAGTGTATCGAACACAGATGAGTGTACGTCTGGCATATGCGATCACAGTACACAAGTGTCAAGGTGTGTCACTGGACAGCGCCCAAGTATCATTGCAACGAATATTCGAACATGGTCAAGGCTATGTGGCACTCAGTCGTGTTCGAACTTTGGAGGGACTTCAGATCGTAGGTAATGTCACCAAGAAATGCTTCACCTCTGATCCAAAGGTAGTCCAGTTCTATCAATCAATCGACCAGTCAACATCAGCAAACAACAGAAACAACAATGTACCAAAGAATGAACCAGAAAACACACCGACAAAACAGGCAACAACAACAACATCAATAACCTCATCCGCGACCAACAACAACAACAACAAGGGAGATATTGAGATACCATTATTCTTCATATGCCCAATATCAAAGAAGTTGATGGAGAACAGTGTTATCGCACCGGATGGATTCTCATACGAAAGAAATGCTCTGCTCGATTGGATCAAGGAGAACAATGTCAGCTACATCACAAAGAAACCATTCAATGTCACCATATTCATACCCAATCGCAACCTTATGGCACAGATCGCTGATTGGAAACAGAAGAACAACTACAAACCAACATAATCACCCGGATGATATATTATTATTGTTATTATATTACTATTTTATAAAGGCACAGGCCAACTTTGTAAATAACAGTGGATTCTCTGCATGTATCCAGTGACCAGTGTTTGGAATGATCTCAATGTTGGCATTGGGGAAGTAACGACGTATCAAGGGGAAGTCCTTCTCACGGATAAAGTTGGAGTTGCCACCGCCCAAAAACAGACAGTCACCCAAGTATCTTGCGCCAGTTGGTGCGGGGAATCTCGACAACTCACCAAGGTGCTCCAGCAATGAATCAACATTGACTCTCCATCTATATCCACCATTCTCTCCATTTGTAAGATTAGTTAACAAGAATCGTCTTACAATTACATTCTAGATTGTGTTGTGTGGGAGGGTGGGGCGGGTGGAATGGTTCCAGAGTGTGTAAGTCAAAGTGATCAGACCGACTGATCAATACAAAAGGGGGGGTCTACTTACAGACTCGATAGGCTCAAAGTAACGCTCTGCCTCTGCTCTTGACTTTAGTGATGATACATCCAGTGCTTTCATTGCCAAGAGATAACGTCTAAAGTCATCCATGGTGTCACGAGTTAGATCATGTGGTGAGATATCAACGATCAGTAACTTGTGCACGATCTCTGGATAGAACAGGGCATAGAGCATTGCAACCTTGCCACCCATGCTATGTCCGACCAATGAGAGATTCTTGATCTTCTTGTCATGTATCAACAGGTTCAGATCCTCAACCATCGCCAGCAAGTTAAACTCTGCAACATGTGGACTTGATCCATGACTTTAACGTGTGTGTCAATCAGTATGCGATGTAATGTCTTGTCGATATTGATCAAACATACTTTCTTTGATCAACTTGGATCACATTGCAATTGGTCTCATTGGCAATCTTTGGAGATACTGATCTCCAATTTGAGCCAGCACCAAACAGACCATGAAGTATAATAATGTTGTCCAAGTTATTGTTAATACCAACAGACTGAGCATTTGATGGGCTCATCACATGATATTCCAATGCCACTGGCTTGGGCCTATATTATGAACATGTTGGTTAGTCATTCATCCAATCATTCAATCAATCAATGACACATGAATCATACATTTGAGTAGAAGTGCAGTAACGTAATATCTGAGTTGTGGTGGTGAACCTTGGTTGGTAGACACAATGTCTACCAAGTCTTGAGATACGATTCAATGATGTAGATATAAACATTGTTGTTATCTAATGTGTATCTGTATCTGTAATCTCATTCATGTCAATCTAGATTGAGACGAAGGGGGTTGACCAAGACTGACCAGCTCAGATCAACGTTGGCGCTTCTTTTTTTTCAACACACACATACGAAGAACATCAACTTTCAACCTTCCTTTCATCACGAAGTCTCTCTTCATTCATTCAAAGATAGACAGATACACTACACTCACATACTTTTCTAATATATTTATTTAGATATTCGACGTTTATATATATATATAAGATTGTAGTATTATATTATAGCATTTCTATATAAACATTGTGTTTGTGGAGTAAAAGTATCAGAAGCAGCAGCAGTACATAATGGCATTCTTTAACAACTTCAACAAACCTGCTGCTACTGCCTCACCATTCTCAATAGGAGGTGGCACGAACTTTGGTGCTGCTGCTCCTCAGCAGACTGGAGGTATGTTTCATTCAATCGATCAATCAATCATAGATTGTTGAAACATCAGCAATCAATTACGAGTTTTAGATAAACTCGAGAATCTTGATCATCAACTAACTAATACACGTACATACATATAAACATACATATACATTATATATATATAATATAGGATTCGGAAACACAGGAGGTGGATTCGCAGGATTCGGCGCAACAGCTCAACCAACTTCAACGTTTGGAGGTGGATTTGGAACACAGACATCTACTGCCACACCTTTTGGTGCCTCGGGAGGATTCGGTGGTGCAACAGCTGCCCCTGCTTCAACTGGTTTTGGTGGCTTTGGTTCGGCAGCGACCTCTTCTACACCGTTTGGTACCGGTGGCGCTTCGTCATCCCCCTTTGGTGCAGCGACAACCCAACAACAAGCAGCTCCCTTTGGTGGCGGTGGTGCTGCAACCAGCACATTTAACGTATTTGGAAACTCTGGCTTTGGTGCAGGTGCAACTACACAACAACCTACATCAACATTCACATCAAACAGTAAGTGATTGATCAATTGATTGGTTGATTCACTCATCGTACTTATTCAATCAAACATATACAACAGATCCATTCGGAGGAGCAACTAGTGCAACTACAACAAACTTTGGCTTTGGAGGCGCTCCATCAACTCCAAGTCAAACATTCTCCCTTGGAACGACACCAGCCCCAACACAGACAACGGGATCAATGTTTGGTGGCTCGACAATGTTGGGTGCACCAGCCACCTCTGCATCGACATTTGGCGGCTTTGGTGGCGCTCAACCATTCCAACAGCAGCAACAGCAACAACAACAGTTCAATATCACAGGCACCACCGAGCCAATCTACAGCAACACAGAGGACAAGTCCGCCAATGTAGTGCTGTGTGTCATCACGGCCATGGATGCATACAAGGATAAATCGATCGAGGAGCTCAGACTGATGGACTACAAGAAGAAGGAGCAAGGTGGTGGTATGCAGGCCGGCAATGCCTTTGGCGCAATGACCACTCAGACTCAGATGTCCTCACCTTTTGGCAACTCAATGGGCACGACCCTGGGCGCAGGAACAACCCTGGGTAGCGCCGGAACGACTCTGGGCGGAGGCACGTCCCTTGGCGGTGGAAGCTCCCTGTTTGGTTCGTCCTTGGGTGGAGGAACGTCACTGGGTGGATTTGGAACCAATCCATCGAGTGCCACGAACCCATTCGGGGCCACCACATCAATGGGCACAGGTAACACTGGCATGCCATTTGGTGCCTCAAGCGCGACTACTGGCCAGTCGCAACCGTTTGGCGCATCATCCTCGCCATTTGGCGCCACAACACAGACCTCGACAACGTCACCATTTGGCTCGACTCCCGCCACCACTGGCTCCAGTCTGTTCCAAGGATTTGGTGCCACAACACAGCAGGCTCCACAGACGCCATCGACCAATCTCTTTGGAGGCACATTCGGAAAGCCTGCCGCCACCGCTCAGCCCACCACCTCACTGTTTGGTGCCACAACCACACAACAGCCAGCAAACTCACTCTTTGGTGGTGGTGGCCTGACATCACAGCCGGCACAGAACACCACTTCGCCATTTGGTGCACAGACATCGACCAATCTCTTTGGAGGCCTTCAGCAACAACAACAACAACAACAGCAACAACAAAGCGCAGCACCATCGTTGGGCTCCACCTCCCTGTTTGGCTCAAGCACAGCACAACCAGCCACTAACAATCTATTTGGCATGGGACAGACATCGAATGCACAGTCACTCTCGGCTCCCTCCTCAAGCCTGTTTGGTGGCCTAGGCAGCACAGGCAGCGGAACATCGTTTGGTGCACCAAGCACAAACAACCAACAACTTGGCAGCTCGGCAACACCATCGCTCTCACTCTCCTCGACGCCATCGACCGGCTTTGGATTGGGAGGAGGCGGCGGTGGTTTGTTTGGCAATATGGGTGGCTCAAACACCCTGCTCGGCGCCAACTCATTCCAAACACAACCTCAACAACAATTCAACACCTCTGCCCTTGGCAACCAACCATCGATGATCATGGCCACGTCTCAACAGCAGCAACAACAGCAATCAGTACAAATCAACAACTCGATCACATCACAAGCACCTTACTACCCAGTGGCCCCACCACAAAACCTTCAAAGCCTCCTCAAAACAATCCAGGCATCGCCCTCCTCCTCGGTCTCGGCCGTCCAGGTCAAGCCATACCACACGTACACACCCAGGTCCTCTGCCAAGCTCGTGCCCCGTCGTGTTATCGGCTCGTCCAGTCACGGCGTAGACTTTGAAGAAGGCATCGGATCACAATCCGTCAACCTCCAAAACTCCACCTCCTCCACGGCCACGCCATCGCTCACGCTGGACAAGTTTGTAACAAAGTACAGCAAGACACTGAGCATCAACACTGCCAATGAGACCGAGGAGTCACTCAAGGGCAATGGCCCCTCTTCATCCTCACTCAACGGCTCATCCTCCTCCTCACACTCACTCTACCCCAACCTCAACCTCAACAACGAGTCCTCGTCATCATCATCGTTCTCCAAGTCGACTGCGCCACACTTGAACATCAACTCAGCATCTCCCCCAAAGGGCAACCACTTTAGCGACATGTCCAATGGCAGTGGCATTGGCAGTGGCAGTCTCAACGGAATGAACAACTCGTCATCAGGCCAGTCATCGTACACATCACCTGCACTGGGCACCAACCTGTCATCGGGCAGCGTTGGCATGCAATCCCCAGTGCTCACCAACAAGCAACAGATCAACAGCCATGCACCAAAGTTAACCAAGCCAACCTACTCCTGTCGCCCCCCCATTCAGGAGCTTCAAAAACTGTCCGACAAGGAGCTGGCAAGTGTTCGCGACTTTATTATCGAGCGACAGGGCTATGGCTCCGTCCTGTTCCTGGGCGACGTTGATGTGCGCGACATTGACATTGACTCGATCGTCACGATTGACACAAGAGAGATCTCGTTGTATCCAGACGACTCAAAGAAGCCACCCGTAGGACAGGGTCTGAATCGCAAGGCCATGGTCACACTTGAGCAATGCTGGCCACTCAATGCCGATGGAAACTACCGTCGCTCAGATCTTGACCTGGCACGATACGAAGCGGCTCTCAAGAAACGAGCAAAGAAGGACGAGATCCAGTTCCTAGAGTACGAGAGACAAACTGGCATTTGGAGATTCAAGGTGGAGCACTTTAGCAAGTACTCTGCTCCCGATGGATTGGACGACGAGTCACCCGCGATGGAGTACACACCAGTCAACCAAGCACAGCAATATCAGCAACAGCAGCAGGTTGAGGTGGCCAAGCAAAAGCCAAAGTTCTCTGCCACTGTGTCCTTTGACCTGGAGGACAGCAACGAGGGAATGTCACCAGTGCGTTCAATGGACGACGAGTATGAGGCCCCTCAAAAGAAGATCATCAAGACTCCATTCATCAAGAGAACCATCCCAATGCGTAGCATCGATAGAAGCAATGTATGTTTCCTCCCAGCTCCCAAGTTATAATCCAAGTTGACAACATTGACCTAACATCTTCTTCGCACTCTTATCAACAACAAACAGGAGGGATTATTCACAGTCGATACAACATCTGGCCAATCCAACGATACCTTCCAATCACTTGTTTTTGACAACAGTCCTTTGTCCTCGCCTACTCTCCACAAAGGTTTGTACAGTTGAGCGAGTTGATCAATCAATCAGCCTACATATATCAACAACAACAACCACATCAACAATCATACATACATCACAAACAACATCGATTCGACAACATCCCGACATACACATACACATACACAGACAATAAACGTTAACCAAAGTACCTTACTTTCATATATGTAACCTATAGTGCAAAGAAGACTGTCTCCTCCATTTGGCCAGAAGCAATTGATGATACAGCAACAGGATGCCCTTCAACAATCCCGTCAGGACTACCCAATGCAGCCAACATCAATGTTCAACTCATCATCATCCAAAGTCGTTGTCCCAGCACAGAAGAAGATGTCGCCCGCCTCCACCATGGCCAAGTCCAACGAACAGGTTGTGCCATCAGTCAAGCTCATTGAGGACCCATTTGCCCGTGCAAAGATCGACTCCAAGACATTGGACTTGTACGTGGCCAACAAGGACTCTGTCACCAAGGCATTGGTTCCAGCATCTCACCAGATGGTCGACGCCTCATTGAACATGAGAAGATCATTCAGAGTGGGCTGGGGTCCCAATGGACAATTGGCACTGCCACACAAGACCTCGCTCAAGACATTGATCGTCCAAAAGAAGCTGACCAAGTCGTCTGTCTCTAGCAACTCAATCGTCGAGCATCTCAAGAGCCATCTGACCAACTCGAGTGTCTCTTCCAAGGACAACAGGGCAGGTTGGTTCACACTGTCCCATGTCCAGGATCAGCTGGCAGCACAGACACACAACAAGGATATCAGCGATGTGTCGGGTCGCATCTGGAGACTGGTCACTGCGCTCTGGGGAACAGACATGAAGCCATCGACCCTGCAATACAGTGAGGAAATGAAGAGAAGACTTAATCTCAACCAATGGTTGAAGGAGGTGATCGCACCCATCGTCGAGAAGGAACTCAAGGACTCAAAGAAATCGCCCAATGCCTCCCATCTCGATGCCATCTTTAGTCATCTCTCTGGCAAGCAGATCAGCGAGTCGACATCATGCGCGTCCAACAACAAAGATCATCGTCTGGCCGTCATGATGTCACAGGTATGGGCTGCAGCCCACACCAAGGATCTGTTGAGGGAGCAAATGACTCAATGGAGCGAGCAAGGTATGCTGGACACTTTTGAGCCAAAGCGTGTGGAGATCCTCAACTTGATCTCTGGAGACATTGACCATGTCTACAAGAATGTCAACGATTGGTACAGATGTTTCGCCATCAACTTCTGGTACAAGTACACATTCAACTCGCCATTGCCAGACATCATCAACTCTTACGAAGACTCGTTCCAGAAGAGCGCCTCTACCGCACCCGTCCCTCACTACATGGCCAACCAAAGGAGATCAATGTCGAGGAATGAGTACCTGGACACCTGCTACCTGCTCCTCAAGCTCTTTGGTCTAAGCAGATTCGACCGATTCGACACAATCTTCTACCCCGAGAACACCACACCAGACATCCTCGACTACAGTCTCTCGTGGAACCTGTTCACCGTGCTGCAAGCACTGCCTCAGTTGAATAAGCAGCCAGACATCTCCAATCAACCACTTCTGCATTGCTCATTCGCATCCCAGCTCGAGCACATTGGACTCTGGCAGTGGGCAGTCTATGTCCTCTCGCACATTCCCGACAGACATTGCTTCCTGAGGGAGGAAGCTATGAAGTCATTGATCTCCAGACACGTGCACACTATGAAGACCAACGACCGAGTGTTCCTCACCAACAGTCTTCTCATCCCAGCAGTGTGGATCGACGAATGCCTCTCCTGGAGCCTTGGATACGAACATCAATCTGATCAGTTTGCCTACTTGATGAAGTCTGGTCAGTACTCAGCGGCGCACGACCTGGTCCTTGAGGACTTTGGACCAAACTACATCATAACGTCACAGCACAACAACCTGCGCGATCTTCTCAGGAGGTTCCAGGGTCACATCGACACGATTGCCACATGGAAGGTTGGTGGTGCAATCTTCCAAGACTACCTTCACATCTCAATGCAGATCAGAGAGTGTCTGGAAGAGATCAGTACCATTTCCAACCAAACAGTTCACCAGAACAACAAGGAAAAGCTAAGAGAGCTTACCATGCGCGCCACCTCACTCTGTTCAGAAATCAGCCATCTGACAACAACCAACTATGTCAAGAATGCTTCAAAGCTCTACAAGTATGTTGTAATACCTCTTAGATGAACGTATCAGACACTAACCAACATTTCTTTATCTATCTAGGGTTGCACTGTCCGAGATCTCACGTGGCTTGATGGCCTATTTGAAGAGTGCTTATGAGTTGCTGTCCGAGTTTGAGGGTCAAACAAACTCAAACAACAACATGTTCCCAGCTTCAGAGATCACATCACTCCTAAAGCCACTGCCAATCACCGATGACTATCGTGTTGGACAACTCGATTTCGTTGCCAAACAATGTCAAGACTCTATTCTAAACGCTGTCTACTCACAATAAATCAATCACAAGTAGTTATATTTATATTTATGTGTGTGACTAATAATACAACATATAACAATAGGTTTATTCACAAGTAGGTGTTATAATTATAATACAATAGGTGTTGTAGGAGGCAACTGGATGGTATATGGATTTGGTTCAGCGGTCATTGATTGTTTGGAGAACAATTGGGAGGTCCTCAGGAACTTGGAGTTTGGTTCTGGACAGTCGGGCAAATCCATAACAAAGTCCAAACAGATGCTGAACTCTTGAGCCTCGTGGTTATCAATTCCTTGTACTTGCAATGATTTGATAATACTTGGATCAATCTCGTCATCCTGGTTCTTAGAGTTGTATGTTAACAATAATATTGCCAACTGGGTCAATCTCAAGGATGGACATATCTCCTTGCGTGTAGACTCCTCCAAAAGTGATTGCTTGTCAATCATCAATACGTTTAGCAATTGTAGAATTCTAAACATCTCACTCCTAAGTTGGTTCGAAGAGTAAAATAATTGTTAGTTATTTGATATGGAGAACTAGTTCCATAATATAGTACACATACTTGAATAGGACAAAGCTGGCGATCTGATTGTGTTCTGATATCCACTGAGTCACTGAGCAAATGAATAGTTTGACATTGATGGCGTATTCAAAGTTGGAGTGCTCAACATCACAGAGGAAGAGATTGCACAGGTATCCAGAGGTGTAGTTGAACACCTGCTTGAATATGGCTGAACAAACAGACTCGTATGGTACACGCTTCTCCACGAAATCATAAGTATCCACCATGAAGTCAGTGAAAATCGTAGAGTTGTTGAACTCCTTGCCATCCATTGAATGTACCACCTGTGCCAGTACTTCATCCAGTTCAGTTCTTAGATTCCTCCATAGTTGCTTCCAGAACTTTTGATAGTATCCATGAAGCTTGTACTCCATCGACTTGAGTTTCTTCACCTCTGGATGATTGAGTGCCACACCATAGTTCTTGATACGTTGATTATACATATAGTTCATCAAGTACCAGAAGTTAAGGCTGTTGGATAGCCAATAGCAAGATGTCTCCTTATCCATGTTGTCGGTCTACAAAAATGATATTACATGTTAGTAATGCACACATATGAAGATATTGATTGAATGAACCTACCAAGGATAAATAACCTATTGACTGGATGACCTTCTCAAAGTACATCAATGACTCTTGGTTAACATCATTCGACTCGAATAGACACTTGTGGACAATCAACGATGAGACTGGTACGCCATCCATATACTCTGGCTTTTTGTTAAGGATTACATCCTCATTGAGATATGTGTTCTTCTCTATAAATATAACAATGTCAGTACTTATGCACTCGTTCATTCAATATATTACTTCCAGAACTTACCTTCATCGACAGCTATTCTTTGGAACAACACTGTTTGAATAGGCATATCAGATTCCTCCTTCAAAGGACTGGCCGCTACCACTTCCTCCTTCAATGGACTAGGCTTCTCAAAGTCTGATTGGGAACTATTAGTATATATCTCTTATTATACGTTTGATTGAATACTTACTCAGTTTGGAACTGTGACGAAGCAGTCCAATTGAGTGTCTTCTTGTGAATACCTTGGGATGTGCTCTAAGATTCAAATAGTTAGCTTATGAGATATTACTTGGTTGAAATTGGTATACATACGGTTTAAAGAAGTTGTCAGCACTCTTGCTACATACATCCCTTCGCAAAGGTATATCATTGAATGATATGGTTCGATCAGTCAATGTTGGCTTGGGATGTATGGCAAGTGGTGCTGGTACACCCAATGATGTACTGATTGATGGTGACTGTGATCCACTGCTACCAACACTAGAGGCCATATCAGACATGATTGTCTGTCTCTCCTTTAGTGGATTGGTAGATGGTCTCTCCTCTCTGTCTGATTCTTCAAGATCCACACTCTCCAGAGTGTCTGATCTGACACTCTGAGGTGAGGACACAGAGACCTTCTCATCTTCATGTCTGTAAGTACCTCCACCACTGTTGCTGCTACCAGTCAATGTGAATTCGAATGGATCACCCTCTTGACTTTGATGCAATGGTCTATCTTTACAGAACTCCAAGTTTGACTCGCACAACTCTGGTTCAATGGATAATGATGTGATTGGTATCCTCTTATCCGACTCTCTGCTGATGAAACTATTAAGTTCCCTATTGTATTTATCCTCATCAACATGGAAACTAAATATATTATATATTGTTAGTGATCATGAATTATAAATTGAATAATAAATTACTTACGTTGAATCTGATCCTGGATGAGCAGAGGCAATAAACTCGATGTATGGTTTGAATGACTCTGACTTTATACCTCTCATGATTGAGTTGTATAGTCTTGGCTTTGAACTCTCATCCTTCTTGACGAAATGTGCCAAGTCAATCTGGAGCAATGCAATGTTGGTCTCCTTCTTCTTCTCATACTATAATATAATAATATTAGTTAGTGTTTAATTCCAAGGAACATAATTAATTAAATAATAATTACCTTTCTAAGATATAGAGATAGCCTCTTTGAAGCAACATCATGATCACCATCATTGATAAAGTTGCATGGTATTTTGAATATACCAGTTGGATGCAATGCACCAGATTGATCTGGTCTCAACTCTGAGGACACACCTTTACATGAACCTCTTCTCCAATAAATATCAAAGTAACAGTCGTCTGAACTTTGTTGTGGCAATAATAATTCCTCAGCCAATTGTTCAATCAAGTCTATCTTGAGTAAAATGACAAATGGTTGTACATTCCTCTTATTCTTCTTGGTCTTGAATATCTTTAATGGCATTCTCTTCCTGATGTTTTAATTATTTAAATAATAATAATAATAATTTAATGATTGACTGAAGAGATGTGATATGATAGTAATGATACAGATTGTTTGATCGGGGTGGTGCGTAGCGATTACAATTGCAATAGAATGAAAGAGTGTGTATGATGATGATGAGATGATTAATATTTACAGATAATTAATTAATGGTATGATCAATTTAATAATAGTACTAACCAATACATCAATCAACAGTAAGGGTAATTTGGTCCGAATCACCTTGACCAGTTTACATCAGCGACAACCACCTCCCTATCCTAACAACAAACAACAAACAATATTAATGTGTGTGATAACATTGTTGTTGTTTGATGGGGAAAAGAAGAAAGTTGGCTGATCACATGACGGTATCCAACCATCCAATGATACCAACCATCCTGTTCAACATCTATTGGCATTGCCAAAATTAGGTGACCAACAATAATGTGACTTTCAATTGGTTGGTTGTGTGAGTGTGTTTGTGTGGGAAAACCGACAAACGACCTCTACAGTGTTGAGTGCCACCCAATTACTTAGAGATTAGATCAATCAATTGATTGATTGTTGATAGTGGTTGGACATCATCTGTTGAGTGTGTGTTGTGTGGTGTGTGTGTTGTGTGTTGATGATACAGGTGTTATAGGTGATGACATACGGTATGATGTGGGTATCAGCTGACAGACATGTGTGTTGAGTGTGTGTGATCATACCTCTTGGTGATGGATCGAGTGTAGATGGTTTGGTTGACCAATGCCTTTGACCCATCATCTCCCGATATCTAGATCATACTTGTAACATCACTCTTAATATCAACAAACCCAGACGATCGAATAGTTATGTATCTGTTTGTGTTTGAATGATTGATTGATTGATTAAAGTATAACTATGAAGATGATTGGTGGTTTTCATTGAATATTGTTGGGCACTATCTTAAATTATCATTGGGTAGTGTTGTTGTTATCACCATTGCTAGTTCTAATGTTGTTGTTGTTGTTGTTGTAGTTGTAGTTGCTGTTGATACTTGTTCTGTTGACTACTACACGCTCATCGTCAGATGAGTTATTCTCGTCATCTTGATCGTCATCGTCGTCCGATGTCTCCATTGGTGACAGACCAATGACACTCATGCCAGGTGCCTGTGGTTGTGTTCCATCGTCATCTGCCAGTGACGACGAAGACTTCTTTCCACGACGACGTGACAGATCAGCATTTCTCTCAAGCATCTGCTTCAACTTGACAAATATGACGTTGGCAAACAGTATTCCAATCATCCATAATGGGAACAATGCCAGATAAGTGTTCAGACCCGAGAAGAATCCCTTTATACCCTCTCTACGGTATATAGTCACCACTGTCTTGATGAATCCAATGTTCCTAATGTTCAATCTGACCTTTACAACTGTATTGTTGTATGAATGTATGAGTGTATATGTTAGTCCAGCTCGCTCACTTCATTCAATCAATCAATCATCTGATGATTACCTGTAAGTATATAATCCAATAATACTCTTAGACAGAGCAATATGATCTGTGCTGGTGACTTCTCATTCGGAGAGAATGGTCCTCTCTTGCTGCTCGTGACCAAATGATTATCACACTTCTTGTATATCCACTCAAGCAGTGCCTTCATCACAACGACCTCCCATCCCTAAGTAGTAGCATGTTAGTCCAACTGTGTCGTTTAAACGCTTTCCAACGATATTAAGATGTAAATACATACAGCATATAATCCACTGATTATACCCTCATTCTTGCAGATACCACCAAGAGTGCAGTCATTGATGTAGTGTAGATTGTCTGCCGCTTTGTAGAATCTATGTACAATGAGTCGGGTCATTAGGACGTCTAGGGGTAGAGTGAATGCATTCTTGACGCCAGATATCAAGAGATCCACTAGTTTGCCAATGCGCTGTCGACGCTCAATGCTGGTGACGCTGGCATTGCCCGTGGGGGTGTTGAACGAGGCGTTGACAAAGCGCTGCGTAAAGTTGGCAATGATCACCACCATGTTGTGCGCCAAGTAGACCAGACCGCCATCGTATATGTGTGTGCCCTTCTGCTTGAACAGTCTCCAGAGACTCTCGCTGGTGAACGCCAGTGACGACTGTGGTTGCTGATTCATCTGCTGAGGCATGGGGAAAGGTATGCCGATGGGCTGAGGTTGTGGCGTCGGGTTGGCCTGGATGAAGGTGGTCAACGCATGCACGGGGAACTCTATTGGATGGAATAGCAGCTTGCTGCAGGCCAGTGATATCCACTGCAAGATCACATCAAACACTGTGTCCTGTGTCTCATTGATGGCTATATCCCTTCTCTCTTCCTCTGTCTTGCCACCACCAGGAGTGTTTCCTGCACTGTTTGGTCTACTCCTTCTATTTGTAGTGTACTTTATCACAGGTGGTTGATTGACATTGTTTGGTATGTGTTGTTGATGTTGAGGTTGTTGCTGTTGTTGTTGATACTGTTGTGGAGGATAATGTTGTTGTTGTTGATGCTGCTGCTGAGTATGATGAAGTTGTTGTTGTTGTTGTTGTTGAATGTGATGATCTTGTTCTTGATCGATAGTATGTACATTATTATGATTGATTGAAGTATGTTGCTGTTGATGTTGTTGTTCATCTTGATGCTGAGGTACAACATCGTCATGTTGTTGCTCGATATGTGGTTGATCTTGTCTGTCTAGATCACTGTCTACATCTTGTTGTTGTTGTTGTTGTTGTTGTTGTTCAACATTGTGTTGAGTCATCTGATGCTCTTCAGGTTGTTGTTGTTGATGCTGTTCCTCCTGATGATGATTGATTACGTTATCATCAGAAGTAGTTGGAGCTGAAACATTATCATTTGTTGTTTCGTTCTCCATATCTATCTATATATCTTATATTAATATTATATCTATATTATATGTTGCAAGTTATAAAGTGTAAACAACAACATTGAATGAATGAATTGGCAAGAGATCACCACTAAAATGACGAAGTTCGTTAAACATTGAAACAATGTTTTAATTCAAATTAATTTTGATTCTCACAAAGTTGTGTGTTGTTGGATGGATGTGTGTTGCCAACCCTCGTCTGTGAAAGCGCAAGAGTTCAACATCCAGTATCACTTAGCCCTATCCCAACCGCATCAGAATATACAATGGTAATACATCAATCCCGATCGATCAATCTAGTGGATCAGTTCATCAATCTTTAAGATATCCCAATGTTAACATAACATCCATCAACCAATCAATCAATCTATAGCCTCCCAAAGCTGCTGCTAAGGCCTCAAAGCCACAAGCTTCAAAGTCCAAGTCCTCTGGAGGAGCTGGAAGAAAGGTATGTGTTTCAATCTCTTGTTCTCACCTCAGCAAGCAGCAACAGATGCAGATGCAGCAGACAACACAGATATCTAATGCGATCATTCATTCAATCACATGTAGAAATGGTCCAAGGGAAAGTCCAGAGAGAAGTTGAACAACATGGTTCTCTTTGACAAGGAGACCTACAACAAGATCAACAAGGAGTTGCCAACTTCCAAGGTGATCACCATTGCCACTGTCTCTGACAAGTACAAGTGCAACGGTTCTTTGGCTCGCCGTGTCCTCCGTGACTTTGCCGCCAAGGGTCTCATCAAGAAGGTCATCTACGGACATGGTTCCGGTGTCTTCACCAAGACTGCCACCGCCTAAAGTGATGTGTTTTCTGGAGCGATTCAATAAAGCGACAGCAGGCTGTTAACATATATAGGTATATCTCAATGGTCGATCGATCGAATGAACGAAACGAGCGAGCGAGCGAATCAATCAGCGAGCAAAGGAACAACACGAAGTGCGTTTGATGATACTACTACTTCTTTTTATTGGAGGCTGGATCGGACTTGTCGATAAAGTCTTCAAGGTCGATGGTAGTTGATGATTTTGATGTGTGGCTGTTGGTCGTGGATGAGGTTGGTTCATCATCCTGGATGATCTGGAAATCATCGTCATTTGATGTTTGTGATTGATTGTTGGTTGATGATGGTGGTGTCTTTTGATACAATGGGATCTCCTGGTGCATGTTGGCCTGCTCGTTCATCACGAGTAGACTCAGACTCTCGAGCTCGGCCTCCATGGTCATGTCTCCGAGTAGGGGCAATGATTTGGGCATCAGACGATTCAGCAAGCCCGAGTCGCCATCGACCGCCCGCCTCAATTTTCCAATGACAACGGCATCGACCGACGCCTGCAGGTTATGTTCCTTGGCGTACGCCTCTGTCAGACTGATGGTGATGACCAATGGCTCCTGGTCGGTGTTGAGCGCCTTGGCCAGCGGCGAGTCGGTGGGGAAGATGACAAAGTTCTTCACCTCGAGCTTGTTGCGGTCGAGGGGCACAGGCAACACTCGCTCAATTATATCTCGCTTGCTCTCCAGCATGTCCAACACATGATTGAAGAACTTGCGGTATTTGAATCGATTGGCTTTGAATGCTACGTGTTCGCGGACTGCAAATCCGACCAATATGCCAAGCTGTCTGAACAAGTCTTTGAACGATGTCTCTGGTATATCCTTTAGTCTCTGCTCCAAGTCCTTGAATTTCTTGTCTCCCTCATCCACCTCGCCTACATCTTTGGTTTGTTGTACTTCTACCACCTCCTCCTCCTCCACCTTGACCTTCTTTCTTGACGTTCTCTTTTTCTTTGTTTCGCTACTTGATGATGAGTATGATCTGATGCCAATGTTGTTGTTGTTGTTGTTGAGGCAGACCAATGGTGATAAAGGTGTGACTAAACTTCTGTGTTGACCAACATGACTTCCCAATGATGGTGTTATAGCTGGTGTTGTGAATGATCTTGATGAAGACAACACCTTATACGTGCCTGCAATCCTTATCATGATTGTTAGGTTGATTATCTGTATTCAAATACTGATTGATTGTTTAGTTGATTGAATGGGATTGCTTTTGAAGTCTTTGGACTTTCGCGTGTCGTCTTCACACAAGGACACGAAAATGGTTCGTGGCGATTGCGAACATTCGAAACAAACAAGTTGCCAACTTCACTACTTTGCGGTGATGAAGTTAATTAAAGGGTTATGTACAACATTGACAAAGGTCAAGTTTATTGATGTGATTTGATCTTGGTTTGGATTGATGTGATGGTATCTATATCGGGGAATAGGTATTGTCTCTTGCCACTGGGTTGCAACTCATTGCCGCCAATGGCAACTCCATTGTGATTGGTGATCAGTTCCAGAATTGCTGGATTGTGTTCGTTGAATCCAACGTTGGCCAGATTGTACTTGCTGTCCACCTTGACGTATCCACTGCATTTCGGATGCTCCTTCAGTACGAGGAACTGATCCTTCGAGATGACCGCGTAGCACTTCAAGTTGACAACGTCGTCCGTCAGCTCGGCACACTCAAAGATGAAATGATCGCCCTCCAGCCACTCCTCCAGACCTTTGTACTCGGCCAGACTCTTCTCCATCTGCTCAATGGCAAGCTTCTCCTTGTTGGGTTCGTACACAGGCATCTTGACGGCCGTCATGTTGTAGTCGCGGTAGTAGTGTCCGCCCTCGTCATCAACGTCAGCCAAAGTGCTCATGTAGTAGAATCTTGGATTGTGTCTAAAGTCGTCGTATCCATCTGCTTCATCCTCTTCGTCCGAGTCCACGATGATTGGCGCTGCTATCCTCTTGATTGCCACTTCCAGCTCGAGTAATCTTGGATCATGATCAAACAGATCGTTGAGGTCCACCATTGATGTTGACAACATTGACTTGTTCTTCTCTGTCCTACTGCCTCTGCTTCCACCTCTACTTCCACTGCTTCCAATTGATAGATCACTAAGATGTACAGTCTGTCTCAAAGGATTTGGCTTCCTCAGTGGTGATATGTCTTCTCTCGAATTGTTCAAGTTGTTGCTGTTGTAGTTGTTGTTGTTGTTGATGTTGTTGTGGTTTGGTGAGTTGATTAGACTACTGTTATTGTTGTTCATGTTGTTGTTGTTGACTTGTTCTTTGGGTAACTGTACACTGCTCCTGCTACCAATCTTCAACATGTTGAAGAACCTCTCTCGTTTGGAAGGTGTGATCTGTTGAGCTGGCGTCTGTTGTTGTGGTGACATTGTTGGTGATTGTTGAAGTGATGTGTACTGGATGTTTGGATTGCAGACTGGACACAATGTAGGGTCATGGCAATTAAGTTCGAATCCCTTTGATAGGAATAGGTCATGTATTTCTAAGGTTGATCATTCATTGATTAGTTCTTAATGTCCATCACAACATCAACATCAATCACAACAACATACTTTTGTAACCTGATGGTACTCTGCTGACGTATGGGAAACCTTCTTTGAGGAATCTGAGAATGTTCATATTCATATCGCCATTGTCGTTGGTATCCGCTTCGTTCTTCTCCTTGTCAAACAATGGATTGCTGACCTGTTGACTCCAATTGTCATAAAAGGCAAAGTGTGACACTCCCTTGCCACTGCTATGTGTCTTCTTGATCATGTCTTGCCATTCATCAGGTCGATCAATAAGCTATATTATATTGTGTCAATGTTAGTCATCACATTCCAACAACACTGACCATATCATGATTGATTGATTCATACCAAACCAGGTGGAAGATGATACGAGTCTGGGAACTTTCCACTCTTGAAGTATCTGTATGGTCTACAGTCCAACACAACTAGGTTGGCATCCTTCCAGCCGCCATGTTGATAGTATTTGAGCTTCTCTCTTACGCCCTATTGTTGAGTTGTCGGTGTTAGATGGTGATTGATGAACAAGGATGACCAAGTACTTACAGGGTGTAGTCCATACTTTGACATTAGGATCATCTCCTCGACATCGATTGCCATGCATATGGAGTACTTGAATTCGTTGTAGGTCTGAGTGATCATGTCTAGACGTGGACCCTTGGGATGCTTGCAGTTGGTGAATAGTTTGCTCCAAGAGTTGATGAACGATATTGGTGTGATCTTTCGCATGTCTGAGGCCTTCTTGATCAACATTGGTAGCTTGGCCTGGCTGAATAGGTCGCACTCTTGTAGTGTGGACAATATATCTTTGGAACCTCCATTGATCGACAATATATGCTCTCGATTCGATGTCAACAATGACAATGTGAAGAATAGATAAAAGTCCTGATGATCATGGAACAATAATATGTCCCATAATTGTACCAACGCCAATAAGTCTGCGCATCCACATAGCATATGATTGATCTATAATGTCGATTGAGTTAGTGATTGATTGATTGATTGATTGAACGTCGCATTGGCAAGACCTTACCCAATTGTAGAAGTACAATGTAGTGAACACAGTGCGTTGTTCAAAGAAGTATGACAGAGCTGGATCATGGAAGAGTAGTAATATTCTAAACATCTCACTCTCACATCTAAGGTGATGAAGTTGTAAGTGTCAATGTACCTTACCATGATCAAACTCACTTTATCAATCAACTTACTGAAGGATGGGATGTGCTGATCTGAATGGAAGTAGGCCAGAGAGTGATAGGTTCTCGACGATCTTGATGCTTAGACTCATCCAGTCTTCTTCAGAGTTCTGTTTGTCGTTGGGTCGTTCGAGATTGGAGACGATCTCATCGGAGAAGGACTGCACGACGAATGGTATGATGAGCTGAGCCACGTGAATGCTGTACTCTCGACTGGTCGCCATGCAGAAGTTGCGTACAAATCTCTGCAGTCGCTCAGATATCATCTCGGCATCCAGTGTGTCCAATAGTATCGACTGGGGCAGTTCATCAACTACATGGCCTCGCGACAGCATGCAGTCTCGCTTGATAAGTTGACGTATCTGATCGAATAGACTGTAGTCATTGGTCAACTGTAGACAATCTCTATTGAGCATATCGTTGTGGAATATAGGTGTTGGGTTGTAAGACGCCGAGCTAGACGACAGTGATGCGTTACCAACACTGCTTGTGCTGTCATTAGAGCGTGTGAGATCGATATTAACACCACTGTCCAACTGTACAGTGCCTATCAATGAGTTGAAGCTATCATTCAATGCTGCTGCACTGCTACCAGATAGGCATGGTACTACCATCTGGTTCGTATTCAAGTTATCATGACATACAATGTGCTATGTTGATTGAATGATTGAATGAATGAGTTAGACATGATCAATCAATGATTCAATGAATGATTGAATGAATGAATGACATACTCTCCATATTAAGTAGCGTAGATTGGTTGGTATTGATTCAAAGTTTCCACAGATGTTCTTTATAGCTTGCTTTGATTGTCTCCACTGTTCATATGTCATCTCATCAGGATTGATTGAGTTGATGATATTTGTAATATCATCTTTAAAGATGGTTATTTGATTGTCAATAGTAACCATCTTCTACTTCTTCTTTGTTCTCTAGTATATATATATTATCACTATCACTATTTCTTTATCTCTCTATCGATGATGTACAAACTAACAGCAAATATCCAAGTTGTTCAAGTGTTTGAGAGTGCGACTGATCATTCCAACCACCACACAACACAACCCCCATTACGACTTGGACTTCCAAGGGTCAACAAATGGATAAGTGTAATTGAATAAAGATAATAGGATTTACAAAATGTTTAATCATTGTTGTCATCATAATCTGATGATTCGTTGCCATCTTGGTCTGACCACTCATCGGCTTGTTGAGTGGCCTCCTCAGTCTCCTCCTCCCACTCCTCCTCGACCTTCTCCACCAGGTCCTCTTCAACAACATCCAATGTATTGGATGATGATGATGGTGAGGTGGTGGCATTGTCAGAAGTGGCAGTGGCAGTGGCGGTTGTAGTTGTTGGCTTTGGCTTGTTTGGGTTTGGTCTTTGATGTGCAGGTAGTTGATTGAGCTTGAGAGTGTACAGTTTGTTCATTCTTACATAGAAGTGATGGTCTGGTGCGATGATGGTTGGCTTCTTGAGTTCAACGAGCTTGCGTTTGATGTTCTCAACCACAGCCTGTCTGTTCTCAATGTTGGCAAAGTGCTCGACGGCCTCGTTGGCCGCCTCGATCGTCTCGTAGGTGACAAAGAAGTGGCCCTTCTCCACGTTGACAGTTCTTCTGGTGACGCGACCAAAGCGGTTAAAGTCCTCCAGAAGCATGCTGACACGCTTCTGTCTAAAGGACTGCTCCTTCTTCTTGGTCATGAAGATGGCGGAGGGCTTGGTCGTGTCATCAAACTTGATGCCCGACACAAACACCTTCCTGACGTCCTCGTCGGGCAGATGTGGGTCCCTCTTCTTGGGCTCGTATGAGACACCGTTGAGGGCACGCTGCTCACGTCTCCTTTCACGCTCGAGGAATGCCTCGTATTTCTCCTTGTTGATGGCAGCCTTCTCCTGGGCCAGCTTGTTCTTCTCGGCCTCGGTCTTCTCAACCCAGGCGTTTCTTCTCTGGTCCTTCTCCTTGAGCTTGTTATCGCGATCGTCGCGAACTCTCAGCTGGATGGCATCCTTGTTGGCCTGCTTCTTTTGTCTGGCGTCCTCAATGAACTTGAGTCGCTCGGCCTCCTTGGCGACCTTGGCAGCAGCCTTGGCAGCCTGGACCTCTTGCTCGTTGACAGCAAAGAGGGAGGCGCCCTTTGACTTTCCTCCGACAGAGATGGAGGTGATGACCTCCTTCCTTCTCTCCCTCTCAAAGGAGCCCTTGGCCTCCTTCTCCTTCTGCAGCATCCTGAGCTTCTCCTCCTTCTCCTTCTTCTTCTCCTCAATCATCAACTGCTTCTCCCTGTTCTTCTCATCGAGGACCTGTTGCTTCTCTCTACGCTTGATCTCCAGCAGCTGCTCCTGCTCCAACCTCTTCTGCTCCAGCTTCTCCTTCTTTGCCGCAATCGATGAGAGCAGCACAGAAGAGTAGTTGGAAGCAGATGGGGTGAGTGAGGAGGAGGATGTTCCAGCCTTTGAAGTACCAATCGATGAAAGAGAATACAACGATGATTTAGTAGTTGGGGCCGGGGATGGTTTGATGGGGGCGGTTGTGGGAGTAACAGTGGTGGCAGGCGATCCAGAGGTGGTAGGAGCGGGTTCAGGTGCGATTGCAGATGAGGCAGTGACAGAGTACTTTGGTGTAGCGGTAGTAGTAGTCAAAGTAATTGATGCTCTCTAATGATACAAACAGTGTCAGACGACATGTATACAAGCATAAACTGATCATTATACAACATACCTTGCTGAGTGAGACAGGGGCGATTGGGGCAACACATTGGTAGGGAGCAGTGTTTGAGGGGATGGAGTTGGATGCCATGATGTCATCGATGAACTGCTCGAGATAGACGACACATGAGGACAGCTTGTGGGCCACGTTTGCCTTGTATCCAGTGACGTTGTCTGGTGATACGATGAGATGAGTGACACGAGAGGTCACAGCAAACTCAATCACACCACCATTGTCCTTGATGAACTTGCTGACCTCATTCTTGCGCTTCAATCCAACACCTGCACCAAGATCCAAACAGAACACATATTGATCCAAGAGCATAACTTGTTTATGCTTTTATGATACTGCTGTTTGAATGGTTGATTGAGTTTGGGTGTAGTTGATTAATTAAATAAATAATTAAATAAGGTATATATATCTACCCTTGGCCTGTGCCAAAGTGATTGAATGATTTGTTTGTTGAGTTCATGAGGGATATATAGATATCCACAAGTCATTGCCACATCATTCATCAAGTTTTCTCATTACCACAAAACAGGAAAGAAGATAAAATTATATCAGAAGGCCAATCTTCACGATAATCTACACCAATTTTCAATCGTTTTCCGTTCTCTATTCCAAAAATAAGACTATGGTCTCCAATGTTTTGGAGATTGATCAACATGTGGAGGATCTCGACGAGTCAATGATTGCTTTGGAGATCAAAGGAGCAAAAGCCACCAAGCTCTTTGAAGGATCTGACGATGAGGATGACGAACAGGATGAGCCAGATCAACAATGGGATGACAGCGAGTCTGAGGATGAGTCAGATGCTCCGAGTCCCAAGAGGTTGAACTCCAAGAAGACGAACAACACCAAACAAAAGACTACTACTGCTCCCAAGATCCTCAAGAAGGTGACCGACAAGATTATCACAGAGGACATCTACAAGAAGACTTATGCCAACAAGAGAACGACATCTACTCAGTGAGGACACCGCCATTCGACCTCGTGGACAGGACCTATTCGATCATGTGGGATGATCAATCGTACGATTTGGAAATTCAATATCTTCTTCTCAAATAATTAAATTTATATATTATGTTATTTTCTAGACTCATCCCCAGTCACTTTCCTTATCCTACAAAAGGACTTCCTGGTAGATATATTATAATACCAACTGTTGATCACAACAGTCCTGCTTTTATCGTTTAGAAAACAACTTATAATGGATTATAATTAATTTTTTGTAATTACTTCAAAAAAACTAACATCTCCTGTTTGGGGAGGTCGAGGCCTTTACACTTTCACACACCAACAACTTTACACTCGATGAATGAGAAAACTCACAATATTGGTATAATAATGTCCATTAATGATGAAGGTACATATGTTTCATTCATAATCATCCTTAAATATATAAATAATGTTATTTTCTAGACACTTATCAATTACCTATGCTATAATTAAATTTATTATCTTTTTGATTAGATGTTCAACGATACAATCCATTTCTTCGGAGTTTGACCCACTTCCAAACGATATAATCTATCTTTATCCTAATGGGGACCTTCCAGTAGAATCTATTATCCCTCCTCATGTTAATGTACGATTATTATCTGGTCAAAGAAGGTTCCCTGTTGACTTTGAATTTCCAACTTATAATGACCAATGGAAGACAGCATAATTTTTTGATCAAAAGATCACTTTCGAATTCAAAGATCGATCATTGCAGTCTTGTATTCAAATAAAACGAGATTTCACACAGTGATTATCAGATTACGATTGTAGTAGTGGCCCTGAATGGATGTGGGGGTTGTTTGAAAGGTTTAGAGATAGGCAATCGGCAGTGGACATGATTGAATGGAGTACCCCATGGCAGTCTACCATCCATTAAATTCTCACTTCAACTCAACGTCTTGTGAACAACATAGAGAGAGATAATCAATATTATTATTTAAAAAACACTCTCTATAAAGAAAGTAGTAGACTACTGATTATAACACAATATACAATCATCATTCATTATTACCACGTTTGGACAAACAAACAATTATTATAATAATAATACCAAGCCGTCTATCAGTCGTTTCAAACAGACACACACATTCACATTCACACACACGGTCTATCATAAAACAACACACTAACAAACACACTGTTGTTCTTGTCGTTGCCAACATCAACCAACAAACACAACATTGCACATTATACCCAAAGAGAGACACTTGCATCCATCTATTCATTCATTCAATCCAGACAGGTGACCACAACATCACATACATACAAATACAATAACACATACACACATCAACAGTTACACTCACTCGATCTGGATCAGTGCCCGATACATTTAATATTTACCAAGGCAGACAGTAGAGGACGTACTCAATAGAGCACTTGTACATTTATACATCAACAGACAGACATACACACAACACACACATAGATACGCCAACAACAATAATTAGTTTGGAGATAATTTGATAAATATATTACGCATTCCTGGTTCCAGCTCACTCAGTCCCAGCTCATCCATTCATTCTCTATCCTCAACTCAACTAAATCATATCAGTATTCAATATATTGAATACCCATTCATCAATAATACCATCCACATCATCATCCATCATCGAACAAATAATAGGATAGGATACTTGATAGATAGATAGATAGATAGGATATTGATTCAGGTATGCTTCATATTCACCTTAATATCGGGATAAAGTTAATAATAATAGAACACACTTACTTATATACTTTTAAATAGCTAGCTCTCTAATCAGAGCCAGAAACACAAAGACACACACAGCGAGATTGCGACCAAAGAGTCAGGAACGTCAATCGATCACGTTCAATCAATCAATCATTCAATTCAATTCTTAGTATCAACTGCAGTTAGTCACTGCTAACACTCACTTGGACAACAACAGACTGTTGGGAAAATGAGATTTGGAAAGAAGAAAGACAAGGACAATTATGTCGCTCAGTCTCCAGATGGAAACAGCAGCAAGATGGAGAAGAAAAGATTGTCGTCGTCAAAGAAGAATAAGGACAAGGACAGGAACAACAATCTGACACCTCACGAGATGGGTGCACCACCACCCAACACATTCATTGGTGGCAAGGTGTTTGGATCACGACTACAGGATAATGGAGAGGTGCCTCCACTCATCAGGCAGACGATCGAATACTTGGAGGCCAACGCCCTACAGATGCCAGGACTATTCCGTGAGAGTGGATCACAGCAGCAGATCATACAATACAAGACTCTAATCGAACAGGGTGTTCCAGTTGTTTTCCAGCCACACGAAGGACATGTCGTGGCGTCCATCCTCAAAGCATATCTACGTGAGCTTCAAGATCCACTGTTATCATTCGAAAATGTATGTATCCCATTCCATCACAAATCCTTTGGATCAATCACTAACATGTCGTTCTCCATTCATTCGTTAACTATAGTATAATATGTTTGTGGCTTGTGAATGTATGTTTATTCAGTCAATCAATCGATTCATTAGATACTAACCATTCATTTAAATAGCCATCAATATCGAATCAGTTAAACTGGAAGTTGTAAAGAAAGTATTGAAGTTACTACCTCATACCAACCTTGTTATTATAAAGTATGTTAGTTCGCAGAAGACAGATTCATGGTCACCAAACTAATCCACATCCATCAATCTTACAATGATGAAACAGATATATATTCTCATTCTTGGCCAAAGTTGTTGCCAATTCCTCAACCAACAGGATGACACCAGATGCTCGTAAGTTAACACGATTGATCCAGTAGCCATTCTATTGAACACGTCTAACAACCATCATTCATATTGTATTAGTGAGTGTTGTATTCTTACCGACCATACTTCGACCAGAGGCGACAACCGATCATCAGATACTTCAGTATACAGTGGAGGATTCAATGTCGACAAAGACATTGATGTCAACAATATTGCACAACTATGACAATATCTTTGAGGATCCATGCTTCTTTGTAAGGACCAGGCAGACTAGAGCGATAACAGAGTTCCAATCGTCACCATTCAAACCGACTCCTCAACAGGTGGTGCCTAATAAGCAACAACAGGCAGGTGGTGCACCTCTGTTGGATATGCTTCCACCACCTCCACCACCCCCAGCTGTTGTGCAGGCGCCGCCACCTCCTCCACCTCCTTCCTCTGCGACATCGACTCCAGAGTCTACGATCACTTTTGCATCGATAGCCTCATCAACCGTTACCAACTTTGTATCACCACGCGTCAACACCTATCCTCAGGCGACATCGATTGGAGACAAGCAACATGTCACCAACATGTTTGAGCCTGCCTCTTCAACCTCGCCCACCATCTCTGCACTTCAGCTTTCAACACATGTCGATCCGACCGACATTGCTCAATGCCAACAACCTATTACTACTACTACTGCAACTATACAACTACCACCACCACCCGCAGCAGCTCCTCAACAACCAGCTAGTGCCAGTCCACAGACACAGCCTCGATCACACATCGCACCACCTCCACCACTTTTGTACAGTCAATATCCAAAGAAAACATTACCAGCGATACCCGAATCCATTATGAAGAGTAACAACAAACTGCCGCCACCTCTTCCTGCCAAGCCACCTCTGTTGTCAGTGCCACCAATTCCACCAAAGCCTCTACCCAAGGCACCACACTCCTACATTTCGCCACCGGACGCCTCACGAGGCGCCTGGTTCCAATCACAGGTCCGACCGAGGTCCAACACAACTGCAGTTTAATAGCCCTCCTCCCTTCTTTAACACTTATTATTGTCAATAACATTCCCTTTCCTGCTCCTTTGTACATGTATATATTATTTGTCCTTCCAACCAATTTGAGTTCCGGAAATATCTAGTAATAAAATAATGTGCAGGCACTACACTTGTGTAAAAGGTTTATTGTTTAACCAGTTGCCTCTTCCGTCATAAAGATCTGTTTGAACTGTGACTCATTTCTTAGGTGCTTCTTGATGAAATGATAGGTGGTGATGATCAGTCTGGGGAAGCGCTGCTTGAAGTACCCGAGGAAGCCTTCGGGCAGTGCACCAAGACAGTTCTGGACATCGGCGGGCAGGTCTCGGTAGTGATTGAACTTGTTTCGAATAACTCTCAAGAGGTCGCGCAGACTCTTGCCATTGTACTTTCGATAGCGACCAATATTGTCGATCAATATCTGATCCAGTCTGGACCACCATTCTGACTGGCCACTGCCAATCACCTCACCAGACAGCTTGTCCAGCTCGACGATCAGCGCTGAGTTTGGATCCTCAAACTCCAAATAGTCCGACGCCGCCACCAAGAATATCATCTGCTTGTGAGGACTCCAAAAGAATGGATGTATCTTACATTCCTCGATCGATGGTCTATTGATTGATTAAAGGTTAGTGTCTGATCAAAGTGATACAGATGTTGATTAACATACCTTAATGCCTGATCATATACAATCATTGAGTGGACCAAATCATAAAGGTCTGGTAAGTGTGCAATGGGCTCGATGTCGAACTTGCCCTTGAGTACATTCTTCTCGCGAGTGTACTTGCCACCGAATGGATTCTGTCCAGTGACCAGATAGAATATGACACAGCCCATCGAGAAGATATCGACCTTCTTGGTGTTCTTGTTGGTGCCATTCAGGTACTCGGCGGGCTGCCAGCCAAAGCTGTCCGATGTGAATGTGAGCGAGTGCGACTCGCCGTCCAGCTTCTTGCCCAGACCCATATCTGAGATCTTGATGCGGTTGTTGGGGTCGACCAGGATGTTCTGGGGCTTGACGTCGCGATGCACAATGTTTAGCGAGTGCAGATGAGACAGGCCGGCAATCAGCTCGGAGATCATGCGCAGCATGACCGGTGTGATTGTTATGCTCTTGTAGTCGGTCAGCTGTTTGCTGCTGACCATTGCGTCCAGACTGTGCTTGCAGTAGGACAGTGCCAGGTAGATGAACTCGTTGTCCTCCTCCTTGGCGTGGTAGCGCACGACGTTCATGTGCTCGTCCGAGTGCAGTAGCAGGGCGACCTCTCGGTCAGCAAACTTGATGAATTGTTTGAGCATTCGCTTGACGGCCACCTTACGGCCCTCGAGGTATCCTTCAAACACGACCGTGCCACAACTGCCAGTGCCCAACACATTGGAGCTCATCTCTAGCTTGCCAACCCTTGTGTTTCCATTGTCCAAGAAGATTCTATTTGTCACACTTATGCTGACAACAGTCTCGCTGGTGTCACCAGTCGCAGCCATGGCCAAAGGTGATGTCGGCGATGCTGCCAGATGACCAGTTGTATCTGTCGATGTTGTTTTGGTTGTAGTTGTAGTTGTGGTCATTGTGAGAGGTCCATCTTGCTCCTGAGCTGGCGCCTGTACTGCCTCTTGCATCTTCTCCTGTACCTTCTCTTGCACCTCCTGGAACTTCTGCTGCAGGGCACCTTCAATGTGTTCTTGTTCTTGCTCTTGCTCTTGCTCCTCATCGTCAACCCTCTGCTCATTCTTATGACTCTGAGCCTGTTGTGGCTTCTTCTTCTTCTTGGGTGTCTTGTTCTTTGAAGCGTTGATATTTGATGATGACGACCTTGGCTTTGACTGCATGATCTTCTTGTACGTCGTGTACATCTTGAATAGAATAAAGACCACAGCAAACAACAACAATGATACCTTGACTTGATTGCTCTCGATCAACTCGGCCAATGATAATGCAGTGCCCGATCCACCATTGACTGGAGGTGTACTCTTGTTTTGTTCCGAGCCATCAGTGATCATGTTGGCATTGTTGTTTTCAATGACCAATTGATTGTTGTTGCTATTGTCTTTGCCATTTCGCTTCTCATTTGATGTAATATAGAGTTGACCATCGTACGTGTCAAAGATGAATGTTGGCTGCCAGCCTGACGGCACCAAGTCTGTCGATCGGTCTGGATGCGGCAACATCTCAAACTGATTGCCAGTGAACTTGCGCGTAAAGTCCAATCGCTGGAGCACGCCCTCCGACACTGAATGTGCGTATATCGAGACGGGCGGCGACTTGAGTATCGTCTCCCAATAGTTGTTGGCCATCAACACCTCGTTCTTCTTGACAAAGATCTTGTAGCGATTGTTGAGTTGGAACACCTCGATGGATCCCTCGAATTCAAAGTCATCGTTCAGCACGGACGATGGCGACGCGGGGAAGGGCGTGTACTCGCCCAGCGAGAGGTTCCAGCGCTCAGCGCCCGAGCTGGGATCGATTGCCACCACCTTGTAGTCGGAGCGCGTCAAGATCAGTGTGTTGGGCTGCGTGAAGTCGGTCATCATCGTGGGACAGCCTTCCTCCCACTGGCCATCCCTGGACATTGTCTTGAGTATCTTGCCTGTGTCCGTGTCCAACACGATGACCGTTGTGAACTTGCTTCCAATGTACAATGTGTTTTGCTGGTCACTATCGCTGCTGCTGTCTGGCTTTGTTGTCTGTGTCTTTGTCATCAATGGCGATGATTGTATTATATCAAACAATGTATAAGGTATCTTTTGTATTGATCCGTCTACATATTGATAGAACTCGCCACTTCCATCAATGTTTGGTATCAGCAATGGTGCATCATATTCTTCTTCATCTTCTCCATCTAATCTGTTATTATTATTATTATTATTGTTCTGTTGTGTTTGTTGATGTTGGTTCTGTTGAGATGTTGTGTACAGTGGACGATCATTCTCAATCATCCAGTTGAGCATGCCATCCTTGAATCGAAACGAGTAGATGTCACCATCCAAAGTGCTAACTATAAGGTTTCTGTTGCGGGACATTGTCAGTCATTGATCAATGAATGAATGAGATTGAATGAATATGAATGAATGACTTACAAATCATTGATATCATTATTTACATTGTTGTTGTTTCCCGTGTCTTTAGTTGACAAGAGATGACTATTTACAACTCTATTGTTTATGGTTTGTTGTTGTTGTTGTTGTTGTTGTTGTGCTTGTTCATTGTATGCATATATTCTCTGAGATGATACACAATGAGTCTGTTGCATTAACAACAGTAGCAATATCAATAAAGATATCAGATGTTTGTTATTGCCCATCTTCATCATCGACATGTTTCTTAATCGCTCTCGTTCAGATATGCATGTACCTCTCCACTTATCTCCTTAATATTTACAAATATATATTTATATATGATGTAATATTAGCAATAACATAATATCAAGTTGTTGTCGTTTGTCTTGTGATTGTGAGCGTTGGCCCAAAACACGTGTCAAAGGAGGTGACTCAGCAAGGTTGTTTCACACAAACGTCGAAATTTCAAACTTTGAATGAGTCAGGATGTAAGGCATTGATTTGATGACTAGTTTGATGACTTTGAATCAAGTAATAATAATAAATCAGGTCAATGTTATGACATATCTTTGACCTGTACATATAAGGTTATAAATATATAAATAAGCAAAGATATAAATAAAGTTGAAATTAGTATAAACATCCATTCTAATCTGTTTCTATTCCAATAGTGTTCTGTATAAATGAACTTCAACACCAATCTTCCAAGAATATCTTATTTATCATGTTTTGTGGGACCATCATGTCCAATCTAGGTTGCAAATAAGGGGTACTCACATACCCTTTGACTACATCATTCAGTCTTAAGCTTGTATATTAGAGAGATAGATAGATTTATGATATAAGATGAGTGCACCACCAAAGGAAACATTCGAAATAGAATATTCAAAGTCTGATAGAGCATCTTGTAAGACATGTTCAGGTGGCATTAACAAGTCGGCAATACGTGTTGGACATGGTACACCTGGAAGATTCCACGACGGATTTGAGGTGTCGTGGCATCATCTCAAGTGCTTTGGTTGGGCACTGAAGGATATCAACGTGCTCAAGGGTTGGTCCGCTCTGCGCTGGGAGGACCAGATGAGCCTGCTCAAGACCTACTTCCCCAAGGCAGACAAGCACGACACCAAGGAGCGCAAGAAGTATCTGGAGGACCTCTACGAGATCAAGGACGAGCTGCAAGACGTGCTCAACGGCCCACAGGCCAAGCTTGTCTATCAGGCCAACACGGTGGAGGGCACCGAGTGCAAGATCCCTCAGGACCGTCTCGTCCACATCCTTTCCGACATGTTGTTGTTGGGTCGCACCGGACCCTGTCCCAGCTGCAAGTCGTTGGCCGTCTCCTACAACTCCATCCAGTACAAGTGCAATGGATACATCACTGGATTCACAAAGTGTGACTGGGTTGGTGCCGACATTGAACGCTTCCACATCAACATCCCCACCGGTCTCAAGAAGAACGTTCAAGACTACTTCAGTTCGTTCAAGTTCTCAAAGAACTACCCAAAGAAGAAGTATGACTGTATGTATCTCACTCTCTTTGTCAATCATACTCATTCATATTCATACTAATACTAACTAAAACATCAAAGATACCAAGGAGGATGATGAGGAAGAGGAGGAAGAGAATGAGGAGGAAGATGAGGCTGCAACAAATGAGGACGGTGCTGATCCAACACAATCAATTGATTCTGTTATTGATGAGGACCCAAATAGAGCCGAGGATGAAGTGCCCACCGGACTAGAGTGCTTTGGAATGGTTGTGGTTGTTGCAGGCAACGCCAAGAACATGGACGTGGCACCAACTGAAATCAAGGACTTGGTCGAGAAGCATGGTGGCTCAATCGTAGAGCAGACGAACAAGGCCACCCTCATGATCTCCTGTGAGGATGAGGTCGGCAAGGAACGCCCCACCAAGAAGGTCCAGGATGCCATCAAGTCCATCCCAATCTTCCCCACTAGCTGGCTGGTTGAGCTCACCAGTCGCACTGGTAGCGGCATCAAGCTTCGCTCCAATGCCGTGTCAAAGACGATGGTGATCGCACCGTCAAAGCTTGCGGACGACTATGAGATGGCCGCCAAGTACTTCAAGCCCAAGACCACGACCACATCGACACGATCCAACTCTTCAAGCCTCAAGAAGAGAAAGAACTCAGAGATGGTCAGAGCCCAGCCAAAGAAGGACCCAAAGCCCGGCTCAGACATCCTCAAGGTGGACGAGGACGTGCCCTACGGCTACAAGATCTACGTGGATCACACCGAGGAGTACGGCTACACGGCACACAATGTGATGCTCAACGCCACCGACACCACCACCGGTGTCAACAAGTACTACAAGCTGCAGCTGTGCTACAATGGCAAGCAGTTCATCGTCTTTATGCGATGGGGACGTGTCGGATCGAGCATGGGCACCAAGCAGGAGAACAAGAGCAGCTTCTCTGCCGCACTCAACATGTTTGCCGACAAGTTCAAGGACTGCACCGGTGTCGACTGGGACAACCGTCTCTACTTCAAGAAGCTCGGTGGCCGCTACTACATGTCTGCACTTGACGATGGCTGGGAGGACGATGAGACCGTCGAGTTGGTCAACAGCACCTTCAAGAAGAACCGCTCGGAGGAGAGTCAGGCCGAGCTTGAGAGACCACTGACCGTGTCTGAGTTCCCTCAGCGTACTGCCGATCTGGTGACACTGATGTTCGATCCCGAGATGATGAAGAAGCAGCTCGAGTCGATGAACATCGATGTCGAGAAGATGCCACTGGGCAAGATCAAGAAGAGTCAGATCATGGAGGGATACAAGGTGTTGAACGAGGTCCAGGACCTCTTGTCCAATCCCAAGACCGCGCCCATCATGTACCAAGACTGCTCCAACAGGTTCTACACTCTCATCCCACACAACTTTGGCAAGTCCCATCCACCTCTCATCAACACTGTCGATGCCCTCACCAACAAGATCAACATGCTCAAGTCACTCCTTGATATCGAGATTGCTACTCAACTCGCAAAGTAAGTGTGTTTAATGATCCAATCTTGGGCGAGCTCATCACTAATCACTCAATCACTCAATCAATCATCCAACAACAGACAAACAGAGAATGCCAAAGGAAACATCATTGAGAACAAGTACAAGACACTCAAGACCAAGTTCATACCAATGGACAAGGCATCAGAGATGTACAAGATGTTGGTGAACTATGCCCACAACTCACATGACTCTTCACAGTTCCACTTCAAGCTTGATGTTTTGGACATCTTCACCGTGGACCGAGAGGGAGAGCGCGACAGATTCGAGAATGCAGGTTGGAGGAGCAATGAGAACAAGCTGCTGTTGTGGCACGGATCCCGTTTGACCAACTGGGTCGGTATCATCTCGCAGGGTCTGAGGATCGCACCACCAGAGGCCCCAAAGACCGGTTACAGATTCGGAAAGGGCATCTACTTTGCCGACTGTGTCAGCAAGTCCGCTTCGTACTGTTTCACATCTCGCGACAGTCCAACCGCATTGATGATCCTCTGTGAGGTTGCCCTGGGCAAGATGAACGAGCTCAAGCATGACACCTACATGGAGAAGGCTCCCACCGGCACACACAGCACCAAGGCACTTGGAATGTCTGCACCAGACCAGAAGGGTAATACCAAAGTGTATGTATATCATTATTCATTCGTTCATTGATTGATACTAACTCAATCATTCCAATCTCTTTAGTGAGGATGACATCACCATTCCAATTGGAAAGATCACGAGGACAGGTATGAGCACATCGTGCACTCATAATGAGTTCATTGTGTATGATATCTCTCAGGTGAAGATCAAGTACATCCTAAAGGTCAATGTTACAAATTAATGATGGACAAGATGATGAAGATCATGATGTTGGAATTGAGTTTGATAAGTACCAAACAAATAATAATAAATATAAAATGATCATAATAATAATAATGATTTATTTCAAATGATTGGGAATTATACTAACATAGGATAACAATGATAATAGATAGGATGAGTGGGATGAGTGGAAGGAGTATGGATGGAACACCTTGTTTGTTTCTATTATTGCTGTGGATGTGACATCCATGATTGTCAATGGTTGGCCTCTTGATCAGGTCAGGGTTGATGTTGTGGATGTTCAATGTTGGAGTCAATGTTTCATTGTTATACGTGTATACATCACATTGTATATCAACACTTTGACTCAAGAATGTAGAGTTGACAATGTTACAATCAGTGCCAGCCAGTACTAATTGACTCCACTTTCCTCCAACTTTGTTATATGAATGTCGTGTTGTCAATTGTACATTGGCCTCCAAATGAAGCAATGATCGGGGACGTTCTTGAAGTGATGTTGGAGAACACACAGTTGGAGAGATAAAGCTTGTCAAAGAGGAGATAGAACGCTTCATCTGGCATCATCAACTGTGAAAGGTATGAGTTGGTGATATTGATTGTGTGCTCCCAGCCGCCACCGTTGTCATATATGGGACCTCCTCCAGAGACGTGAATATTATCCATTATGATATTGCCACTATAAACAGAGACCAACGACCATCCACTGTCATGATTGTTGTAGCCAAAGAATGAATCTCTCATCTCTATCTCCAGGATGATATCATCCGATGACCGCAGGATACCCATTGAGAATGTATTGAATGTTGATGATTGAATGCTTATGTAGACCGGACTGTACACCGAATTATTTCCATCATATTGAAAGATTGAGAATGCTGCTCCTGCGATTTGATATTGAGACTGGCATGTGGTGTTGACGATCGAGACACTGATCGCAGAGGTAAAGCTATAGACCTCAAACAATGTATTCAATTTAATAAAGTTCAAATTATAAATGTTGAAGGTGAGAGGATGGTAACATGTCTCGCCTAGTCCAGTGGTGAATGTAGTGTCCGAGGCAATGGTGACATTTCCAAATGTGTTTGGCGTCTGGTGTGAGGTTGAGGCCACAGACATTCAGAATGAGTGTCTGTTCGTAGACCTCATCGCTCGGAGCAAAATAAATGGTGAGCATCGTGTTTGATACATTATTCATTGAATATGTTGTTTTAAATGATTGAAGTGCATCTGATAGAGATGGACATGCATCAGACACTACCATCCACATTGAGTAGAAGAAGTGTTTGTAGATACTTGGTCAACATAAAGTATTACATTATTAAGATGAAGATGTCTCTGTGATAGTGTTGACGATGCGGTGATACTTAATAGTGATAATATAAGTATATTTAATATATACATATTGTGTAATATTACAACAAACAATATTTGGTTGATGTTCAAATGGAGGGGAATATGATTGATTTGCACTGTTGACTTTTGATTGATGCATTATCAAACTGATTGGCTGGAACATTCCGGTTGGGATATTTTGTAATTTGAGGTCCACAACCAGGCTAGCTCAAATGGACTCCAACTATTATCATTCATATGTCTGGTATAAAATTTGTTGTAGACCTCAGATCAAGTATTTCTCAGTTGACTGAAACAATGCTCACTCAAAATGTCCAGGTTTCCACTTATTCATTAAACATTATTCTCTCTTTCTAACTAACAATCGGAATTGGGTAAACTAACACATTCATTCTTTGAACTTTGAGACTGAATTTTCCAAGGACTTTAGAGTTTTGCAAACAAGATGAATCGCCTTAATATTCGACAAGCGCTGAATGAATCAAACATCATCAGTAACAAAGTAGTCAGATATTTACTATAGTTATAACAGGTCCATTATATATATATATTTATATATTTATATCAACAAACACAATGAGTAAACATGCCAAGATAGTACAAGGTGAAGATAGTGAGGAGGAGGATGATGAGGAGGAGTATGAGGAGGAGGAACAAGTCTACGTCCAACCATCATCGTCAACAACAACCAATCAAATTACTGTGTCCGATGAACAGGAATACGAAGAAGAAGAAGTGGTGGAATATATTGAAGAGGAGGAGGAAGTCTATGATGATGCAGAGTTGGCACTTGGAGCTGATCTGCTAAACTTTAACCTTGGCATATCAGCTGGTCACCCAAACAACAATGACGTGGTCGACAGATTCATACCATTCTCTCCTGATGTGGATGGCGAGGACACCACTATCCTCGTATCAAGCAAGCAGTTGTTACAACCACATCATCAATCAAGAGTTGTCTCTGGTGAGGATGATGACGAGGAAGATGACGACGACGAGGAGGAATACATTCCACAAGACACAATTGTCAATGCTATCGACATCAATGTCGAGCCTGCTGATGTCTCGGCTCTGTTGGCCCAACAGAAAAAGGCAGATGAAGAGGCTCAGGAACAACTCAGGCTCGATCAGGAAAAGATGGAACAACAGAGAATTGAGCAACAAAGGTTGGAGATGGAGAGGCTTGAGATCGAGGCCGCCGCCGAACAAGCCAGGTTGGATAAGGAGAGACTTGAGCAAGAGGCTGAACAAGCAAGGATTGAGCAACAGAGACTTGAGCGAGAGGCGGAGCAAGCCCGTATCGAGCAAGCCAGGCTGGAGAAGGAAAGATTGGAGAAAGAGGCCGAACAAGCCCGTCTCGAACAAGCCCGGTTGGAAAAGGAGAGACTGGATCAAGAGGCCGCCGAACAAGCCAGACTGGAGAAGGAGAGACTTGAGCGAGAGGCTGAGCAAGCCCGTATCGAGCAAGCAAGGCTGGAGAAGGAAAGATTGGAGAAAGAGGCTGAGCAAGCCCGTATCGAACAGGCCAGGATCGAAAGGGAGAGACAGGAGAAGGAAGCAGCAGAACAAGCAAGGATCGAGAAGGAGAGACAAGAGGCAGAGCAGGCCCTTGCCGAACAGGTCAGATTGGAGAATGAGAGACTGGAGCGAGAGGCCGAGCAGGCACGGGTCGAACAAGCCCGCCTGGAGAGACTTGAGCGTGAGGCTGAGCAAGCAAGGATCGAGCAACAGAGACTTGAGCAGGAGCAGTTGGAGAAAGAGAGATTGGAAAGAGAGGCCGAACAAGCAAGGATAGAGCAACAGCGAGTAGAACAAGAGAGACTTGAGAATGTGGCTGCCGAGCAAGCCAGGCTGGAGAAGGAGAGACTTGAGCGTGAGGCTGAGCAAGCCCGTATCGAGCAAGCCCGGTTAGACAAGGAGAGACAGGAGAAGGAAGCCGCCGAACAAGCCAGGTTGGAGAGTGAGAGACTTGAGCGAGAGGCTGAGCTAGCCCGTATCGAGCAAGCCAGGTTGGACAAGGAAAGACTGGAGCATGAAGCCGAGCAAGCACGTGTTGAACAAGCCAGGTTGGAGAGTGAGAGACTTGAGCAAGAGGCCGAGCAGGCCCGTGTCGAGCAAGCCAGACTGGAGAAGGAGAGACTTGAGAGGGAAGCCGAACAAGCCCGTCTCGAGCAAGCCCGGTTGGAAAAGGAAAGACTGGATCAAGAGGCCGCCGAACAAGCAAGGATAGAACAGCAGCGTATCGAACAAGAGAGACAAGAAAAAGAGGCTGAGCAAGCCAGGATAGAGCAACAACGAATTGAACAAGAGAGACTTGACAAAGAGGCCGCAGAACAAGCCAGGATAGTGAAGGAGAGACAGGAGGCAGAGAATGAAAGGTTGGAGAAGGAGAGACTTGAGAAGGAAGCAGAGCAAGCGCGCGTCGAACAGGAAAGAATTGAACAACAGAGGCTGGAGAAAGAGGCTGAACTGGCCCGTATCGAGCAAGCCAGGCTGGAGAGTGAGAGACTAGAGCGAGAGGCTGAGCAAGCACGTATCGAGCAAGACAGGTTGGAAAAAGAGAGACTTGAGCGAGAAGCCGAGCAAGCACGCGTCGAGCAAGCCCGTCTTGAACAAGCCAGGCTGGAGAAGGAGAGACTAGAGAAGGAAGCTGAGCAAGCCCGTCTTGAACAAGCCAGGTTGGACGAGGAGAAGCTTCAGAAGGAAGCTGAGCAAGCACGTGTCGAACAAGCCAGATTGGACAAGGAGAGACTTGAGAAGGAGGCCGCCGAACAGCATAGAATCGAACAAGAGAAGCTGGATCAAGAACGACTCGAACTGGCAAGGATTGAACAACAGAGGCTGGAGAAGGAGGCTGAACTAGCCCGTCTCGAGCAAGCCAGGCTCGACAAGGAGCGAGAGGCTGAGCAAGCACGTGTCGAACAAGCCCGATTGGACAAGGAGAGACTTGAGCGAGAGGCCGAGCAAGCCAGACTGGAGAAGGAGAGACTTGAGAAGGAAGCCGAGCAAGCTCGCCTCGAACAAGCAAGGTTGGAGAAAAAGAGACAGGAGGAAGAGCAAGCAATAGCCGAGCAAGCCAGAATCGAGAAAGAAAGACTTGAGGAGGCAGCCGAGAAAGCCCGTGTCGAGCAGGCCCGTCTTGAACAAGCACGGCTGGAGAAGGAGAGACTTGAGAAGGAAGCTGAGCAAGCCCGCCTCGAACAAGTCCGCCTCGAACAAGCCCGTCTGGAGAAGGAGAGACTCGAGAGAGAAGCCGAGCAAGCCCGTCTTGAACAAGCAAGGTTGGACAAGGAGAGACTCGAGAAGGAAGCCGAGCAAGCCCGCCTGGAGAAGGAGAGACTTGAGAAAGAAGCCGAGCAAGCCCGCCTCGAACAAGCCCGTCTTGAACAAGTCAGGTTGGACAAGGAGAGGCTAGAGAAGGAAGCTGGGCAAGCCCGTATCGAACAAGTCCACCTGGAACAAGCCAGAATTGAACAAGAGAAGTTGGATCTGCAGCGTATCGAGCATGAGAAGCAACTGGCACCAGAGACCGAGTCTGAGGAGGCGTCCAATAGTAAGAGTGTAAACGATTTGAGCTTGCCACAAACTGTGGCGGCAGCACCAGCAGCACCAGTTCCAAAGACCAAGATCATATCTGGAGAGGACGATGAAGATGATGAAGATGACGATGACGACCAGAGTGAGAGCATCGGACCGACCACATCCGACACTTCTATCGCCGCCTCCAAGTCCACATCAGTGGTCCCCAATGTTACAACACCAACAACCACAACCTCATCATCCGCCACTCAATCAACCACCTCTACATCATCCACATCCAATCCATTGCTTTCGTTTGTCAACTTTGTATCCTCAAAGAGACCTCCAATCAACAGTACCAGCACACCTGCATCAACAACAACAACATCTGCGGCAGCCACTCCAGCCAACACATCAGTTCCACCACTCAAGATGCCACTTCAACCAGCGAGGAAGAAGTCGTTTGGAAAGGACCTCCCATTGCCAATCCCTAACTTCCTCAAGGGTAGTGATGACAAGCAAGCCAAGTCATCGTCACCAACCAGCTCCTCGCACACCTCCACGCCACGCGGTGAGGAAAAGGAGTTCCAAGACCCCCAGGCCGTAGCCCAGTACTGCGACCTGCTTGACCCATCGTAAGTTACAGTTGGCTACTGAGTGAGAGAGCGATGTCCACTAACATAAAGCAATCACAACAGAATAAGAGAGACACAGTTGTACTCAAGGAATAACGAATTGCATACGGATGTACAGAGGAGGTGGCAGGAGCTGTTCAAGGGACTGAGCAAAGAACTCAACTCACTCGAATCATCACTTCGTACGACCAAGAACACTCTGCAAGAGACATCCAAGGTTGCCAAGAACAACAATATCGACTTGGACAATCTAGTGAACAACTTTTGCATGTCTCCATTCTTCTAGACTCGCCATGGCAACACTATCAATTCATTGCACTGTACTGTACTTCATTGCCACCCAACCCTGGAACATCTCAAATGGATGACCATCATTGATTGGCAATATATATAAATCCAAACACTTGTATTACCTGTATTTGATTGATTGATTGATTGATTGATCGATCGTTTGGATTGGACTGGACTTGCGTACCATACTACTCTCTTGTGAACACACTGATTATCTTATCGAAAGTACTCTTCTCTCTTTGGATCTCGCCCCTGTTGGCTCCTCCCTTGCCTTTGTTGGCCATCCTCTCGACGATCTTCATCGTCATCTGATCAGACGTTAAATTTGATCCATAGAACTCGATGAACCTGTTTGATTGATTGATTGAATGAGTGTTAGGTTACACTTGGACGACGACTGGATCATGGATAGCTCCATGGGACTATTCCACTTACTTTCCATCTGGACCAATCAAGTATTCAATGATTGAGTGATCGACGAGATAGCTGTCGCCTTTGCCAGACTTGGTGATGAAGACACGGTAGCTCTTGGCAAGCTTGGTGATTTGCTCTGGGGTGCCGGTGAATCCACGCACCTTTGGATGGAACTCTACAATGTAGTTCTTGATCTGCTCCACTGTGTCTCTCCATGGATCAATCGTAATGAAGATGGGCACGACAGAGTCCAACAGATTGTATTGCTGGAGGTTGTTTAACACCCTTGTCATCTTGTCGAGCTCGGCTGGACATGCGTCTGGACAGAAAGTAAAGCCAAAGTATAGCAACAAGTACTTGCCTCTAAAGTCAAGATCAGACACTGGTTTACCATTCTCATCAAACAAAGACCATGCGCCACCAATCGAACTAGTACCATATGTTTCTATCTGTCTGACTATTATGTTTGATTGATTGATTGATTGATTGATTGATTGAGTGAGTGATTGAGTCAGTGAGCGAGCGTAGAGTGTCATGGACAAGATGGATTCATACTCTTCTCTCTCTTCTGGACCATGAGATGATCGTAGTAGAGCCAACCAACTCCACCACAGAGTATAGCAACTATGAAGCTTGCCCATGTGATCTGTCTCTTTTGCTAGAAGTATGATCGATGTTAGACATACATGTAATCGGTAACATTCTGATAACCCACATACAGTATGGTGCTCACCAGGTGACTTCTTAACTTCCTGGTCTTGATTGTTGTTTGACGATGATTCATTGTTGGTACTGTTGTTGTTGTTGTTGGTACCTGATGTAGACTCTGTGTTATTGTTGTTGTTGTTTGGTGTTGAGGGCTTGTTGACCTCTGATGAATAGTAACGCTGCAATTGCTGCAATGATGACACGTGTGGCATCGGAGTAAACAGACTGTTTCTCACTGCATATAGTGATGAAGGTGTAGCCCGCCAACTACAACTGCGCAACAGCGTTGAAGATGATGCCAACTTTGATATTCTATTCATTATACTTTAATATGATTCAATCAAGTATTAATGAACTAAAGGTGAGATGAGATTGAACACTACTTTCGCGAATGTCCAAAGACTGACAGCATCATGATTATGCGATAATGTAACTCAAGAGATAATCGATCAGAATGATCAAACTACTGGCAAGCCTATGCCAGATGTTTACAACATATTGAATTACATTTGTACTTCATATATATTAAAGTTGTAACGAGATGTTATTACTTTGTGTCACATTATTAACCGATTATGGCCCATAAATGCATTGTCGTTCGTCATTGACAAAATGTTAAGATTCTCGAAACGAACAAACTATTGAAACTTAATTTAGTATATCAATATCCAGCTATGAAGATATACAGAGAACCGATTCCAATTCGGTACGGCAGATGGATTATGGGTCTTCGGGCTCTATCCAATATCTGATCGCTAGAGATAACTGAGCTGGCAAAACCTTCATAAACTAAAATATAAAGATAAACATAAACATCAACGAACAATCATTCATTCATTCATTCAAAGACTTGATTGATGTGATGTTCCAACTTTCCAAATTGAATGAAACATGTTTCAGATTTATAAATATAACTTGTAATCAAGGATGCCCTTTATACAAATAAAATTATTGGGATAAATGTCCCAATGGGATATCTATGTCTACATTTTATTACTCGTCTGAGGCCTCTGTTGTCACCCCATTTAATCACACACAAGTCGTGTGTGTGTTGGTGAGATTGATCAATCAATTTGAACATCATCTGTGGTGAGAGTGTGAGTGATCACTCAAAGGCATTAAAGTCGAATGATCATTGTGTGATTCATTCTTTAGCTTCGTGCACTCAATCAAACACATATACATTCATACTTATAATACTTATACTTACATAACAAGTAATAAAGTTAACGATAGATAGATAGATAGATAGATAGAATGACACATACAGTACCAGTTACAAACCAAGTTTGGGATCAGGTCATCCAGGACATTGCTGATTATGTGATCAACTTCACACCGACTACAGAGGAGGCATTCACCACTGCTCAGTACACATTGTTCGACGCTATTGGTTGTGGTTTCTTGGCTCTCAAGTTCCCAGAGTGCACAAAGTTGATGGGTCCCATCGTCGAGGGCACCGTCGTGCCCAACGGATGTCGCGTGCCAGGCACTGACTTTGTGCTCGACCCAGTGCAGGCAGCCTTCAACATTGGCTGCATGAACCGTTGGCTCGACTTCAACGACACCTGGCTCGGAAAGGAGTGGGGCCACCCATCCGACAACTTGGCCGCTATCCTCGCCGCCGCCGAGTACCGCTCCACCCTCAACGTCAAGGAGGGCAAGGCACCACTGACCATGCGCGACGTGCTCATCGCCTTGATCAAGGCCTACGAGATCCAGGGTGTGATTGCCCTCGAGAACAGCTTCAACCGTGTCGGTCTGGACCACGTCGTCCTCGTCAAGGTGGCCTCGACCGCCGTCGTCGCCCAGCTGTTGGGTGGCACTCGCGACCAGATCCTCGCCGCCGTCAGCAATGCCTGGTTGGACGGCCAGTCCCTCAGAACCTACCGCCACTTCCCCAACACTGGCTCCCGCAAGTCATGGGCCGCCGGTGACGCTGCCAGTCGCGCCGTCCGTCTGTCTCTGTTTGCTCTCAAGGGTGAGATGGGTTACCCATCCGTGCTGACCACCCCCGTCTGGGGCTTCTACGACGTGGCTTTCAAGGGCCAGCAGTTCAAGTTCCAGCGTCCATACGGCTCGTACGTCATGGAGCACGTGCTGTTCAAGGTGAGCTACCCCGCCGAGTACCACGCTCAGACCGCTGTCGAGTGCGCCATCAAGCTGCACCCCCAGATCAAGGACAAGCTGGACCTCGTCGACTCGATCACCATCACCACACACGAGTCTGCCATCCGTATCATCGACAAGAAGGGCAAGCTCCAGAACCCAGCCGACAGAGACCACTGCATCCAGTACATGACTGCCATCGGCATGCTCTACGGCGACCTGGCCGCTGAGCACTACGAGGACGAGGTTGCCCTCAAGGACACCCGCATCGATACCCTCCGCGCAAAGATGGTCTGTGTCGAGGCACCCCAGTACTCACTCGACTACCTCGACCCAGAGAAGCGCAGCATTGCCAACTCGATCAAGGTCAAGTACACCGACGGCACATGCTCCGAGGACGTTGAGGTCCAATACCCAATCGGCCATCGTCGTCGTCGTCAAGAGGCCATCCCATTCCTCTCCCAAAAGTTCTCAGACAGCATTCGCGCCACCAAGCTCTCTGCAGACTCCACCAAGCGCATCGAGCAACTCTACAACAACGACAAGGAGTTCCTCGCCACAACCGTTCCAGCTTTCATGGCATTGTTCTCTCTTGCCAAGTAATAATATTCAATCAAATAAACAACTTGTTGTTATACACAAACCTTTGAATGATGAGTGAATGTCCGTCCCATGGGAGGGTAGGCGTCGGTGTGAAGGTCAGGATGTCCTTTATTCAACAAGGTTGGTCATGAGTTCGGGTTGACCTTTAGCTTCTTGGATGGATGTGATGATGATGTCGTTGATGTCTGTTGTTGTTGATGCTGCTGCTGTTGCTGAAGTTGTTGTAACAGTTGTAGTTGTTGCTGTTGATGTTGATATTGTTGCATGTAAAGAGTGAATGAATCTTGACTGTCTTCATGTTGTTGTAGTTGTTGTCTAAGCAGTTGTTGTTGGAAGTATCCACCACCAGTGCCAGCGCCATGGTCATTGTGAGTGTTGCCATGTCCATGTCCATGTCCATGACCATTGCCATTGGCATTGGTTGGGGAGTGTTGTTGATTGAGTTGAACGACATCGGCCAGTGAGAGCATGTGTGACGGGACGATGCTGTGAGAGGAATGTGAGCTCTTCATATCCTCAAACACCATGCCCCTGTATTTCTTTCCTTCGATCGAGACGCCAATGTTGAATCCAGGTCCATTCAAATGTCCTTGAATGTCGCAGGTGCCGTGGTAACTGTCCAATTTACCCGTCATATTACAATTGATGATGTCTAGAGTTGATTTATTGATTGATTGGTTAGTGAGTTGTGATGAGTGATGGATCGTAGGGAGGATTGATGGACATGAACATACGATTTGGCTGGACAAGTGAATTATATTGCTGGCATATCCTATGAAAGTAGTCGACTCGTCTATCGACTTCAGACTTGCTGAGTGTGTTCTTTCGGTTGTGTTCTTCGTTGTCTATGTCATTGTTGTTGTTGTTGTTGTCGTTGTGATGTTGATGAAGGATATGATGATGATGGCCAATGCCATTGCCAATGCCAATACCATTTCCATTGCCATTGACTGACAACATTGTAGGTGATGATCCATTGCTATATACCAATGGGGACGACACAGAGGCAGGTGCATGTCGGTTGTGATGTTGATGATTGTAGGATGAGAGTGTTGGTGATGAGCCAGCCTCGAGAAGAAGCTGAACATGTTGTTGCTGTTGCTGCTGTTGAATTATCTGTTGTTGCTGCTGTTGTTGCTGTTGAATCTGAAGATGGTACTGCTGCTGCAACAACATGGCCTGTTGCAGTTTACGCTTCTCAAGCTCCTCTTTCTGTTTCCTCTTTGATTGTTTCTTTGTTGATGGTGAAGTCGAGTCGCTTGGATCAGATATCGATGACATTAGCTGATCATGTAGTTGAAGTTGTTGTTGATGTTGATGGTACTGCAGTGTTGGGAATTGTGGTTGTCCAGACAATGATGATGGCTGTGGCAGTTCAAATTGAAGTGACTGTTGGGTCTGAGTCTGAGTCTGGGCCTGGGGCTGAGACTGGTCTGACGACTTTGAAGACTTTGATTTCTTTGAAGACTTGGAGGAACTACGTCTTGAAGATGATGATGATGATGTTGATGACGTTGGTGTCGATGTTGTTGATGAGCTTGATTGTCCACCACCACCTTGTTGCTGTTGCTTTTGCCTCAGCTTCTTGCTCTCTGTCTGTTGCTTGATGTAACACTTCTTGCACTTGTAGGAACGATTGTAAAACTCGGATGAAGGTTGCTCCCTGCTGGTGCCCCACCAGGTCTCATGTGATGGATGCGAACATGTTTGAAAGGATGTAGCGCCACTGTCTGGTTGAGCACTTGACGTCTTTGAACCGCCACCACTGGTCGGGTTAGCATCAGAGTGTGGCGTCGATGGTGTCGAAGAGATGAATGGCGAGGACGGCGCATGAGTGGGCGATCCAAGAGATGGTGGTGGCTTGGCCAGCAGGATACCCTCAATGTTCAACATATTCTCCACTGATGGACTGTGTTGAAGAAGTGACTGTGGTAGATAGGGCATGTTGTTGCCACCAGCAGTGACGTCATGTTGTTGATTGAACAGATGATGATTGTTATTGTTGATGTTGCTGTGATGACCAAGATGGTGAGGATGATGCGAGGACAATGAGCCCAGTGAGCCAATTGACGTGTTGCTGCCACCACTACTGCCCATATTCGATAGAACATTTGATATTGAAGGTATATCATTGCTTGATCCGATGATCACCTCTTCCTGCTGATCATCATCATCATCCTGGTTGTTGTTTCCAGAGGTTGCATGGTGTTGTTGGTGGTTGTGGTGGTCCATCATCTCCATCTTGGCATGGTTGTGATGTTGTTGTTGACCATGTAGTTGATGTTGTAACTGATACTGTTGAAGCATTCCCATGAATGACATCTCATTTGGACTCTTGTTGTGAGTTGGACTGAGCATTGGAGCTGTGACGGTCGCCTGTGTCTGAGTCTGAGTCTGTGTATGTGTAGGTGGTGATGATGGTTGATGTTGTTTAACTTGAAATCCATCATGTAGCCTTGACAACAATGTAGCCGATGTACTCAATTCATCAGCAGAATTATTGAGTACATTGGTAAGTGAAGTCTTGAGTTTGCCGACCATCGTTGTTGGAGGACTTTGATTCATGTTCACTCACTACTATATATGTTTGATTAAATGATATGTTTAATGTATGAATGAATATAAGTATGTATATTTATAAGTATTCTTTGTTTGTTTGTATAAGTATGGAAAAAGTGTTGTTGTTGTTGAGTTTATGTCCTTGAGGGGAGACGAGATTGGTTTTGAGGAGAAAAAAAGTTTGAAAACACGGTGTCAAAAGGATTTTTATTGTTTTTTGGAGTTGAACGAATAAAAAACAAATCCTAATTCAGAAAAACACTTAAAAAAGATTGATGATGTCATTAAGGTTAAATACAAATATATATATATTTCAAAGGTAAATAAATAATATATATATATAGTATAATAATAATATTTGTTGTTGATGAGATATATTAATATTGTATTTGTACAATGAATAATATGTTTGTTAGTTGTTGACCAAAAATGAAACAAATTGAACATCAACAACTTTGAAGTGGTTGAATAAATGATTGATGATTCATTCACTCAAACACACACACTTGTATTCATTCATACATACATACATACTTATATATATACATATAAAGTAATATAAAGTAAAGATGGATATAAAAGGAAATATATATTTATATACGATGACTATTGTGTTGTTGATGATTGTATCGTTGACGACACCTGGACAGGCATTCTCCTTCAAGGTTCCTGCAAAGATAGAGGAGTGCATATATGAGGAGTTGCCATTGGACGCCTCATTCACTGTGATGTTCCAAGTTACACAGGGAGGCTTCAACGACATTGACTTTACAATCATATCACCAGACAGTCGTATATTGTACAAGGGCGAGAGAGAGTCTGAGGGCACCAAAGTGATGAAGGCCAGCATGGAGGGTCTCTACAGCTTCTGTTTCAGCAATCAGATGTCTTCGTTGACCGAGAAGACCGTCAGCTTCATGGTGGTCGTTGGCGAGCGCTCTCAAATGGCTGATTTGGCAAAGAAGGGAGACATCACACCTCTGGAGCGACAGATCGTACAGCTAGCCGATGGTGTACAAGCCATTCTCAACGAGCAGAACAACTTGAAGATGAGAGAGATTACTCATAGAAATAGTAAGTCCTAGTAGTAGTAGTAGTCAAGTATCAATGATTGGTACCATTCACTTACATCCACTACCACCATAATTAGCCGCTGAGTCTACCAATAGTAGAGTAACATGGTGGGCATTCTTTGAGGCCGTCCTCTTGGTCACAATGAGTCTTTGGCAGATTTACTACCTTCGTCGATTCTTTGAGGTAAAGCGTGCCGTCTAGATTACCCTTTGTATCGAGAGCTGGTCCTTCTCCTGCCCTTCAACCCTCCAAATTAATAATAACAGCCAAACCAATAATGTATAGACATGATGATCATGATGTCCTTTCTCTCTCATTGTGTGGTCTTCAAGATCAAAAGAAAGAGAGAACAAGTACTTTCTTTGATTCTGGTTTGCTTCCTCTTTGACGATTATCAATCAATCAAACAAACAAACAAACAGTTTGATTGAACAAAGTTGACAAGGGATCTCGGTGCCCCAAGATAGTTGACACAAGTGACAACTTCATTGTATTGTCCAGCTCATCGTCACAGTTCGCTAAACTTCATCATTGTGGTTGATGGTCCATCCAACCCCCCAATTATCGTTCGTTCGTCTGGAACGTGGTAACCAGAACAATGGTCTCGCAATGGCATTCGGCGAATGCTCCTAATTATGATGTTTCAATGTCCAGCGGACATCTGGATCATCCTCCAATCTGCACGTACACACAACCTTGGATAGATGTATATATGATATGGGTACCCAGTTGCAGTTGTGTGTATGTATGTATGTATGTAGAACAGATGGAACCAGATAACTAACTAGGGTATGTTCTGGTAACATGGTGTTGCTACCAAGTTGATCCTCACTCTAGATGTACTTCCATTGCACAGTTGGTTGTTAGTCAGTTGGTAGTTGGTTGGGACCTTTCAAAAACGAAGAGACACTTTACAAGCCTCCCAGGCTTTCATAGCACCGATCCGAGTAAATTGGTTGTTGTGACACCCCAACAATCTTAAGGGCTGGCTTGTGAGGCTGATTTCGAAGGTTGTGCTGAGTGAACACAACACACTCCCGCATCATCACACCCTCAATCAATCAAAACAGAACCTTCTCCATTCTCTTTTTTTTTTGAATTCAACACAACACACACAATTAATTAATCAATAGCACATAGAGATAACAATACATACATACACTATTGACACATCAGAGGTATACCAAAGAGTATATATCCACGAGTACTCGAACTATCAATCCCACACCATTCACTCAAGTAATAGTAGTAGCCAAACACATAAGCAACAATAACAATATATAATATTATAACAAAGTACAGGTATATACTACACAAACACACATCAACTTCAAATTTGAGGTGCTCTACCATCCATCCATCCTCATCCCTCATCTATCCAACTGCTTTCCAAACACATACATAGATACATCGGAAAAGCAGCAACAACAACAACATCACCACAACAACAATAACAGCAGAAGCACCAACAGCAGTATTATCAATCAATCAATCAATCAATTATATATATCCTAGATTCGAGAGCATCTAAGAATTATTAATTAATTTATTGTTATATTATATATATTATATATTTTGTTCTGGATCAATTGATCAAAACCAAAGAAAATCCAGATCAAACACCCTTCTTATTTATTTATTATTTATTTATTTATTTATTTATTAATTTATTTTTTTGACCCAGGTCTCCAAGACAAGACAACACAAGACAACAACACAAGACAATATTAACAAGATCCAAAGACAACAACAAATCATTATTTATTAGATCAGTAGTACCATTACAAAATATTCGTCTAACAAAGAGTAGACGAAGTAATAATTATTTAAAAGTGCTAGCATTACAATATCAATATCAATATCAATATCAAGATCAAGATTATAAAACAATGCTCTCTATCTCTGCAGACTTTGAGCGTCTGCGACAATTCTCCACTACACCCTCCAGTTTGCTGGGAAAGGTCCCACCATCCTGTCGTCCATTAGTTGATGTACGTCCAATCACAGAGTCACTCGACGACCTAATGGAGGATGTCCCAAACACCGACGATGTCCTCGTCATCACCGAGCATCGAAACATCATCAACAAGACCGCTGTCACTCTCCAGGTATGTGTTCAAATTAATCAGTAATAAAGTATTGGATTGATCGATAGACTAACATTCTTAGCCAACTAATATAGGGAGCCAAGTCATACTTTGAGGTATTCACCAAGGTTAATATCTCAAACAGCGAGCCTATCATCAACAAGATCAACTATTATATCAAGACATTGGCTTCATTGAACAAGGATCATGCCGCTTCGCATGTTAGGATCATCAATGTGTTGCAAAAATTGGATGGTGTCCAGCAGGACAAGTACATCAACCTGACCAACTCGCTAAAGATGGTTATCCCAATCCTCGGCCTCCAGATCCAAGTGATTGGAGTGCTCGAGAGATTGTTGATCGCCTTTAACAATAAGGATAACATCATGATCAAGTCCCTCATTGTCGAGCTCATCGCCACACTCAATGAGTTTAGCATTGTCAACCCTCCCCTGCTCGTCTGGCCACAGGTTTGCGAGAAGATCGTTGACATCCAGGAGCAAATGAGTCAGGATGATGTCACTCTCAACACTGTCATGTCACTGGTCTTGGCCATGCTCCAGTTCTCCATTCACACCATCGACGTTGTCAAGAAGCACATGAACCTGTAGCAATTAGCCGGTAACAACATGAACAACAACAACAACAATATCAACGTCATCACCAAAATCGAAAGGTCTCCAGAAGAGGCCAAAGGCATCGATATGAAACGGAATAAAATCCTCTTCATGTACAAGTACGAGTGTAAGGGGTCGAGGGTAGAGGGTAGAGGGTAAGGGTAGTTATTATTAGGTGTAGAACTGTTTGATTAGGGTATCTGGTGTCTCTCGGAAGGATACCCGCGAGTGAGGGTCAATGTGGCGCACTCGCCATGGATCTTGGATTGACGCCACTCCATTCGTAATGACATTGGATGTGATACGAGTTGATGGTGACATGAATAGACGAATGAATTCTTGGTCAGTCTGATCAACTTTACCATGTAGTGATACACTGTCATAATGTCTACCAGGTGGTATTAAACCAAGGTGACCAACTCGCAACTCTATATGTTTGATTGATCGTGGCCATACATCACTGCCACTCTGAGTCATGTTACCGCACAATGCGAGATGAGTGAGTGATTGAGGAATTGATCCAGGCTCCAACAATTGTACAAAGCGAAAGCCGAGTCGTATACTGGTAAGCGAATTGGGTAGGACACCAGGCGGGAAGGGATGATTGTACATCTCACCAAGATTGATACGTTTGAGAGATGGAGGAAGCGAATTGACAGTGATGGGATGATTGAAGTTGGAGGTTAGGAGGTCAAGCACCTCAAGGGTGTTTGGGAGCAGACCTTGTACCAAGGTTTGATTCAATCCTCGTATAAACAACACCTTGACAAGTGGTGGAATTGAGCCGACGAGCAGTCCAGACGTCCCGTTCTTGTCCAGACCTAGGTCCAGCTCAGTGAGGCTGGCTGGAAGCGCGCCAGGTGGTGGCGAATCGTGAACATTCATCTTGAGTTGTGTCAAGGACAATGGGAATGTGTTCTGATTGTAATCGTGTCTGTAGGTGTTGAACTTGCCAATGTCCAACCGAGTGACTGAGTTGGGCAGAAGTCCTGGTGTGATGGGACTGCTCCAGTTTGATGTGAAACAAAGGTCGGTGACATTGGATGGAATGATACCATGACCATACACTGGTTGCATCTTCAAAGTGAGAATGTTTGATGGGATACTGCCTGGCGTGACCTTGTCATCACGTATTGGTGTCCAAAATGTGAGGTTGGTCAATGACGATGGCAGGACGCCAGGATGCAGCTTGTTCTCCACCTTTGTGTACTCTGTCCAAGTGAGTTGTGTTATAGACTCTGGCAACACACCTGGTTGATGCAACAATGAGTTGCCATGCCAGAGGCCCAGATACAGATCGGTGACAGATGTTGGTATGGCACCAGGATGTATTTTTGAGATTGGATAGTCATCGTTGATCGCCAAGCTCGTGACTGAGGTTGGAATGACTCCCACCAACAACTCGGTACTACTCTTTGAGAGCTCAGTGTCGCCTCTAAGCTGGAGCACACGAACACTGCTGGGTATGACACCTGGTTCATAGAAATACTTTGTCCTTGAAATGAGGACGACAACAGTTGATGGAATCAATCCAGGTGTGATGATATATCCTCCCATCTTTGCATCATCCTGCCAGTAAATATGAAGGAACTCAGTGTCTGGCGGTACATAATCAAAGTTACTATCATAATGAGTACAATACTGTTCCAACAATGGAGGTCTGAGCAGTGGGCCTAAGTAAGGATGAGCTTGGAAGTGAGTATGATTGGTTGATTGATCGATTGATTGAATGAGTTTGATGAGGCTTACGAGTTGGTTCCTCATGTTGACGTCCACGACAATGTTTAATTGAACACCATATGGTATCGCACTTGTGCATCTTCAATATGCATCTGGAAGATAGGTCATAATTTAACTTATGTAGACTAATACTCTTGTGTCGTTCATTGTATAACTTGACACAAGTCAATGCCAAACAGACACGATCAATATTTCTCTCCAAGTACGATACTATCTTCTTCAATAGAATATGTGGAAGATTGTTCAACAATGGCAATGTCATCTTCTCTCTTTGTTGCTCACTCACTAGTGATGATCAATCAAACATGTTGAAAACGACATTGATGGAGTGTGTGAGTGTGTTTGTATGATCAAAGTGAAGAATAGACAAGTGAAGGTAGTTGGAAACGTATTGTTTATTTGGGGCAAAGCATGACATAGTGCATTCCTCTCTTCACAAAAATACTAATGGAGGGAACACTGGGCAACGGGAACGGTTGGCATCATCAGGGGTGTGGACCAGACAGACTGTTTAGGCCTTGTCGACCTTGACGAGGGTGGTGTGGCAACGACCGCAGTACTGGCGGGCTGGGTTTTGGTGTTGGGCCATGAAGACACCAGCACCGCATCCCTCGGATGGGCACTCACGGAGAATACGACGGATCTTTCCGTTCTCGTCGAACTTGTAGTACTTGAGGACAGCGAGCTTGACCTTCTTTGGCTTACGCTTCTGGACCTTTGGGGTGGTGTAGTTCTTCTTCTTTCTCTTCTTGCCACCACCGCGGAGACGGAGCACCAGATGGAGAGTGGACTCCTTCTGGATGTTGTAGTCGGAGAGGGTGCGACCGTCCTCCAACTGCTTTCCGGCGAAGATGAGACGCTGTTGGTCGGGGGGGATTCCCTCCTTGTCCTGGATCTTAGCCTTGACATTCTCGATGGTGTCAGAGCCCTCGACCTCAAGGGTAATAGTCTTACCCGTGAGAGTTTTCACGAAAATCTGCATTCTATATTATTGTTGACAAGTAATGTTAACATCTATATGTTTGATTGATGTATTCTTTCAACTTGTCATCGTGCTAGCCTCCTTCATCTTTATCATCATTATCATCGTCGTCGCCTTCGCTTTCGTCTACGTAGTCATCTTCTTAGCCATTGTCCAAGGTTGATGCAGGTAAGGTATGTGTAAATATACATACATGTGATACTTTAAACAAAAACAACTAACTCGTTCAATTGTGCTTGAGCTCGCTATTATCGTTGCGTGTTTCGCTCACATCAAAGTGAATTCTCAAACTTTAATCAAAATAAAATAAACTCTAAATCATCAAAAAAAGTGAGGTGTTGAAATAACGAAGCAATGAATTGAATGCCCGGGCTTTCATTTTCATCAATTAGAATCCAAAAACTGAACCTCGAATTTTGATTTTCACCAACTTGAGCCAACAAGTCACCTCAATAGATTCAACTTTTGAAGTTATCTCTCGCATTAATATTATTACATTGTTTGGAAATGAATGGAAAGATGAGAATTATGTTGAGTTGGAGTGAGGTTGGAAACGATGAAGGACAATCTCCCCTTATATCCTATAATAGAATTATGATTATTATTAATATTATTTCTAACAACTCTTACTAATAAGTTTGGAATTCCTCAATCATGTTCCGGAATACACTCCTAATTAGTGGGCAAGGGGAGTATATTGTGGACCATATTGATTGGTTCGACGTGTCAAACCCCTGGTGTCACTCTAGAGTAGAGTTCGCCAACTTATTGAGAAAAACGCAATCAAAAAGGTCATGGCGCCTCATTTGAATTTTATTCAATCAATGCCGTTACAAATATTACTTAATTACCTACGTGTATAATCTATTCTATCTATTATCTAGATCATCATCATCATCGTCATCATCATCTAGAGTACCAACATTACATGTCATCAGATATTGCACCTGATGCTCGTGGAGTTGATGACAATAGCAACAATACTGATGCACTCGACTCTCTTAGCCTTTGTAACAAACATAAGAAGTTCTTCTATTTAACATGCTTCCAATGCCGGGGAATACGTCTTTGTAGAGATTGCGTTCCCAATCACGTCAATCATCCCATTGGAATCTACAACAATAGGCAACATTTACAACTACTGCGTGAGGCTGCGACTGCTGCTGCGAGTGCGGCTCAGAACAACAACAACAACAACAACAACAATGGAAGCATGCTCAGCAGCAGTAGCAGCAGAGTGGTTGGCAACAGCACGATCAGCAGTAGCAGTGGCAGCAGCATCAGACCAATTGATGCATCACAGGATGGAGAGATGACTACATCGACCACATCAATTTCATCATCTTCGTCATCATCGTCATCATCATCATTGTCATTGTCATCCTCGATATCTATTACACCCGATCCTTCAGTCTTGTCATCAGTGTCATCTCAATTGGTGCCCATCTTGCCCATCCCAAGCAATCTTCAATCTTATGTCAAGACAAACGCTCATGAAGCAGCACTAAGTGGAACAGGCGAGACATTCATATTGGACATCAAGTCACACGACTTTCATAGACCAGACAAGGATCGAGTATCAGTCATCTTTGACTTCAAGAAACAATCAATCACATATGTCACTGGAGCAAATCCAAACGAAGAGATCAAGTTCTCCGTCATCTTTTACATTGAATGGTAGGGTCCTTGTACCATGCATGCATCGTTCATCACCATGCCAATCGCTCACTCATTCATTCACTAATCCAATCACTCAATCATCAACAAATAGTTCCAAATCGGACGATGGTGGACACATTATCACCATTCACTTCTTTGACAATCCACAACGTGTTGCCAAAGTGACGACCAAGTCATTGAACAGTTTGGAGATATATTTGAATCGTTTGTGGCATTCTGGAATGTTGATCGATATCTCCAAACCAATATATTGGCACAAAGATCGGTCAAGGTTCACCAATGCTCTCCCTCCCGACCTCTTGGATGATCTACTCAATGGCACCAATGAGCATCTTATCGAACTATTGGAGTTTATGTCAATGGATCTGAAGGAAATCATTGACAAACCTGCCTTATTGTCTATCACTAGGCGGGAGTATCTCAGGAGGGCCATCACTCATGACAGGCCAACTCAACCACGAATGTACTACCTACTCTACATCATGAGATTAATGTATGTTTCATTCGTTCAATCAATCAATCAACATTATCACTCAATCACTCACTCAATCAATCAATCAATAATTCAGGTTATTCGATGCAGTCGAGTATATTAAGGAGGATCTGATGGAGTTGCTCACACATCAGAACTATCAGAGTTGTAAACAACTGTTCCACGCCATATATGCAGAGTTTATCGAGATCAAGGGCGATACTCTGTGGAGTGCAGAGGATTTGTTTGCAAATGGCATTGTCTTCTTTGACTCACCAATAGTGGACATCATTGGCAGACATTACACCATGACACCAGAGCACAAGACACGTCTCATCTTGATGGAGTTTGGCAATTCACATTCGACATTATCAAATGACAAGACATTGGCAGTATTCAAAGAGATCAAACACAAACAAGTCTTTCTCGAGACCTTTGCCACCCTATTCTGGCCATTGATCATTGTGAGTTCATTCATTCATTCATTCAAACATCATTGTGGAATACTTGGACTAACCTTTTTGATTCTTGATACTTTATTAGAGTGACTACCATCAGCGTCAAGAGGACTTCTTGTCATACTTCTTCGTATCACCTCGTGACTTCTTTGGCGCATTGATAGCATGTGATGGTATGTATGAATGGATTGTTCATCACTAACTCACTCACTCACTCACCCATCCGATCATCCCAATCAATCAATCAATCAATGCAGTCAATTCTTTGACTGACAATGACCTTGGGTTTAGGTTCAATCTGGCAATGTATTACATTGAGAGAGAGAAGCCTGATTTGGCTAATGTCAAGCTTGGTCACATTATGTTTGAGTTGCTCAGTAGGAATCATGTTCGTTTCTATGATCTTTTGAAGCAGATGAAACATCAAGAGGAACAAATAGCCACCATTATGAAGAGTATAGACATGTTTATCGAAAACTCTGACACTCATACACTTCTTGATCACCTGGAAGTCATACTCAGACTCCTCAAGAATGCAAGATTATCATGGCTATGCTCGCCCAAAGTGATGGATTCGATCACACACACTTGGAGCAAGAAGTACATGATCTACTCTGTCCGTGACAACGCAGTGTACGACAGACTGCAAGCAGCCATGATGGAACTTCTCAGATTGCCAGACTATGGCCATCTTTACATCCGCATCCCAACTCTATTCACTCGCAAGATCGTCACAATGGTGCCTACAATGATTGACATTACAGAGATATCAAGGGAGGAGCATGCATTCAGAAGCGAGAGCGGTCCGATCATCAATGAGGATCTCAACGAGAGGACACGTGTACAATATTATCAGTTGTGTTCGGAGGCCGTGCAACAGGTCGCATCAAAGTTCAGCGAGTCATCGATGTCGTCATTGATTAGCGAGGTCATTGATCTGGTCAGACAGATTGGGGAGCTGGCGAGAGACCACATCCCCATTTCATTGCCACACCTCCTATTGCTCAATCGCTTCCTGACCCACATCAACAACCACAGGTTGATCAAGGACATTGGACTCAAAGCACCACTTCACCGACTCATCGTCAATTCAAGATCATGGCGCAAGGATGTCTTGGAGTACGTCAACTTGACAAATGAGGTATGTACACTCACTCAATCATTCAATCATTCCAATCACTCACTCACTCAAACTCCCTCACTTACTCAATCATAGTTTCAACACAATCTCAAGACAATGTACCAAAGGATGGCATCGAGTTGGAATCCAGATCACTCGAAGGAGTTTGATGTGATATCTGATGTGCTGGCGAGTACGTTTGGACAAACAGTGATCAGATCAAGCACGCTCAATGAGACACACTACAAACATCTTTGGAGATTGAGCAAGTTGATGCAGTTGGTCGAGTGGCTTAACACACGCTTCGACTTCACCATCAAGGCCGGCACGAACAATCTGAACAATCCTTCTTCGGCCTGCACCATGCTGTGCCGGGCAATCACCTCTGCAAAGGGTGCCCACGGACACACATTGATCAGCGAGGAACTGGTCGACTTTCTCAGCAACCTACTTGGTTCAGACAACAACAGACTGTTCCGTATCGTGCTCGATCACTATATCAGTGTCAGCAAATCAGTCAGTATCGACAACATTGCCATACTATGCAGGGATTACCTAAAGGCATTGATCGACGACGATGACTCCTCACTCAATCTCAAGCTCAATGTCATCAAGAATCTTGCCATGACCAAGGACATCAACTTCAACAAGGAGTATCGTACATTGTAAGTACTCTAATTGTTTGAATGATTGATTGATCGAGTGACTAATCGTACAACAAACAGGTTCTCAATCATATATCCCAACGAGCAATATGATGGAACACGCAACAGACTTGAACAATTGATCAATGAGGCATCGTTGAATGGAGTCCAAGATAATATCAATTATCTGTTCACATACTGCGACAGCAATCAACATTACATCATCGTGGATAACTTTGACAATGACAAGCGCAACATCCAGGCCAAGGTATCCAACCTCAAATCAGACTTGACCATTGGCGAAGCCAAACAACTCGTGGGCGAGGTCACATCACTCATTGGCGGTCTGAACCATCATCAGCTGCAGCTGTTCCAGCACATTGATCGCGAGCTCATTGACTTTTACGCCTCATTCGATGACTTTATCAAGACCAATCAGATCATCACTGCCAACTTGATCAGCGATCAGTTCAACTTCAATCTGATGAACAACACCATCCACTCATATGAGATGCTCAAGCCACTGATCATACGCTGCAAGGCCGCCAAGAAGGGCGGCTTCAAGGACAACCAGACCGAGCACTTTGTCTCATTGAGCGACCTGTGCCGCGTTTTTGCTTCGACCAACAACAACAAGAACAGTCGCGATAACATCGAGACCACGATCAACAAGCTGGTGTGGACCGTCACAAACATCTCGCAGATCAAGAGTCTGTACTCAGCCGCGAGCGGCATGCATGACACCGAGTCAGTGCTCTCGACGGCCAAGGAGATATTCAACGGCTCGAAATTCCAGTCGAGCAGCCCCAAGAACGAGAATGGCCTCCTGGGCTGGTGCGTCGTCATCGATTCATCCAAGATAACGCTGCCCCAGTTCAAGGTGATGGACGTTGTGCAGGGCCTAAGGATCTCGACTTCGGACACCCAATTCCAGTCCAACGAGCTGATCGACATGGTGGACCGTTTTGGCATTGCCGTCGAGCACTTTGTCACGATTCACGAGCTTCACTGTCAGCTGGACCGCGCATTCCACCCCCAGTTCTCGCAGGGCTTCATAGAGATACCCTTCAACGGCCTGTTGGACACCCTTGAGGACTTCTCTGCACATCTCAGGAAAATGTTGGAACATTGGACGAGCATGATGAACTCACTGCCGGCACGCCTCTTCTATCTGAGGCCTCACGGTATCTCCTCCCTGCTCTCGGGATTCACCAGCATGGCTGAGTCCCCAACCACGCCAACTTCCAGGGACTTTGTCTCATTGTTGTCGCCATACATCAAGTTTTGCCATCAATCATTGCGCGACACATCATCAGTCGACAAGACATTGTTATCGATCCACAATGACATGATCAAGGACAAGACACTCACAACAAGCCTCAAGTTCAACATCCACATGCAACATGTGCTCAGTCGTCTGGCCACCACTGATGTGTTCTACGAGGAGCTGGACTTTGATCGCGGTCCCATGTTTGTGGAGCTCCCATCGCACCAGAACCTCTTCAACACGTTGATGTACTTGAACAACTCACAGCTGCCACATCCCTCGCAGATATTCTATGCCAATAAGTTCAGCGATGAGCATGACTGCATGTTCAAGCTGGCCGAGCAGATGGCCGGCCACACATTGTTCCTTGTGGGCATCCCCAGCGACAGGAACGTTCTACTCAAATGGCTGTCTCATCACTTTAGCAAGGGCACCCAATCGTCGTTGGCGCGTATCTACATCATCGCCACCGAGCCCTCCAATACCAACAGTACATTTGGCTTCTTGCCTCAGTACAAGGGCATGATCGACACTGAGTGGAAGAATTTCAAGGAGCTCCTGGCCACGACCAAGCTCAACACGGGTGTCGAGAAGCTCACTGTTGTGTGCGGACGAACTGGCACGGGCAAGTCCTTCATGATCCAGCAAGAATTGCCCAAGTTGATCAGAGTGAATATTCGACCCAACTACGATGTCAAGCCTCTCATCGACATGCTCAAGGGTCTCATGGCATCCAAGGACAGAGCCAAGGAGCAGCCCGTGGGCATCCACCTCGACATATCACCATATTGCAACTTTGCCATGTTCGAGTTGTTCCTCTATCATTTAGTCCACGGCTTTGTGATTGGCAACAGACTGGGCGAGATGATCAGCACCTCTGGATCACTGTCGCTGCACATCTACATTGAGATTGGTGACCCACCTCTCGACTCAAATCACACCTCCTACGAGCATTACCTCAGCGACAACATCCCGCTCACAACAAACATTGCCACGCGAAAGGATCACACCACGATGCGCTGGAAAGACGACGATGCGGACTACGAGGTCTTCATGTTTGCCCGCACCAACAACAAACTTCAGAAGCCATCAATCAAGATGGGCGATGACGTGACGTTCAATGAGTACATCAATCATGCGAGAGAGTTGGTCAAGGCCACGTTCAACTATTCGCCACACTTCATCAACGACCCCCAGTGCCTTCAACATCGCAGGAGCTTCCTCGTGCTGATGCAGCAACGCGTGCGATTCTTGATGAGGTACTACGACTACTACGCCGAGATGGGTTTGGCGGGCCGATCGATGCAGCGCAAGATGCTGATGCCCTACGAGCTGTACCAGTACTTCCTGTACGAGGCCATGCTGCTGGCCGACCAGAACCTGCTGTCCAGCGCCGTCGCCTTTAACAACAGCACTCCCAACGCTGTGGCCGCCAACATGGAGACACTGTGGCACGCGCCACCAATGTTCATCGCCCGCACAGAGCACGAGAACAACACATCCATCGAGTTCCTAGACTTCCACGCACTCTATCGCCACAAGCAGATCATCAACCAGATCACCTATGACGAGGCGATCAACTCAGAGTCCACTAGCAAGTTCCGAGCATTCATTGCCAATTTGTTTGGAGTGGGGAGGAGCGAGCTGATCATCAATCTGTGCCATCAGTTCAACTACGTCCTCACGCCCGAGTCTGGCCTCATCCTGATGACCCTGTACAACAAGATGCTATGCCAGCGATCAATCATTCTCACGGGAGACACGGGTGTGGGCAAGACCTACACACTGCTCTTCTTCTCGATGCTCATCAATGCCAAGGTGGACTCGATGCCCGACATCATCTCGCGAGTGCGCGGCCTGATCAGCGACATCTTCAAAACACTGCCCAAGTTTGAGCTGCGTGGCAGCAGCAGCAGCCAAGACAGCAGACGTGAGCTCCCCAAGGACCCCTCCGTGCACCAGATCATCGACGCCATGTCCCAGATGTGCGACTACGAAGGCCAGTCCGAGGAGGACCGTGACAAGATGTTCCTGCAGGTTGAGAAAGCCATCCGTCTGTTGCTGCTGCGCTCATTGATCTACGCGCCACCCAACAGCTTCTTGCAGGTGCTCTCCACTAGCAAGCGAAGAGAGATCAAGAGCAAAGAGCGCTGTGTTGAGGCCATCAAAGAGATCTGCACGGCCTCCTTCAAGAACATTTTCCATCGCATTGTGATGCATCAGAAGTTCACATCGCTTACGTTCAAGAGTCGCGTGCTTGAGTTGGTCAAGGAGTCAAGCGAGCTGTTTGCGCGCGATCCCAACCTCAAGATGGTGGTGTTCGTCGATGAGTTCAACACCAGTCCCCCTGACACCCTGTCCTTGATCAATGAGATCCTGACCAATGGCACAATCGATGGCAGTCAGCTAACGCTGCCCAGCAACATATTCTGGGTGGCCGCCATGAACCCACGCAACATGGGTAACAACAACACCAACAATATCGACTACACTGGTCAGCAACAGGGCGCACCCGCATTTGTGGTGGAGAACGCCCCGCCATCGACACTTAACCTGCTTCTCAATGTTGGCGAGTTCACCGAGAAGAATGAGAAGACATTCGTGCAAGTGTTGTTCCAGCTCAACGAGCACATGTGCACACCGTACCATTCGGGTGACCTGTCGGACTTCATCCTGATTGGCCAGAAGGGACTGCGTCGCGTCGGTCAGACACGCACACACGTCTCCATCAGAGACATCACTCGTGCCATTGACTTTTATCAGTTCTTCCGCACGCCGGTCGGCCAATCCATACTTCAATGCGCGCGACCAAACAAGCTCAAGGACGGAGATCTGCTGATTCATTGGATGTCCATCGTGGCGGCGATCGGCCTCACGTACCATCTCCGTGTGCTGCCCTCCAACGTCAATGCCAACAAGTTCCTGCAGGTGTTCAACAAGTACTACACAGACAAGGCGCCACCTATTGTTGCGGAGGCTTTCCCATCATTTGAAATGATGTTTGCCAATATCATCGATGGACTGTGCGATCAGCGCTATACCAAGCTGCCACCAGGCGTTGCACTCACTCAATCTCTCAAACGTAACATCTTTTGCATCACTGTGGCCATCAACTGCTCGGTGCCCCTGTGCATCGTTGGCCCACCAGGCTGTTCCAAGACGCTCAGCTTCAGCATTGTCATTGACAACCTCAACGAGACCAAGCATACCAACAGCGCGTCACCTTGGTCGCTGATGAAGAACGCCGATCCCTTCAGATACCAATGCACGCCACACACGACCGATGTCGAGATCGCATCAGTGTTTGAGCGTGCACTTGGTCGTCAGCGCTCATACGACTCATCGCAGGGCAGCAGCAGATGTGTTGTGTTCATCGATGAGGCTGGCCTGGTCAATGAGGATGAGTCGCCCATGAAGGTGATGCACGACTACCTTGATCGCCTCTCTCAAAAGATGGACAACGCCACTCCCGACATCTCGACAATCATCCTCTCGAACAAGATACTCGACGCAGCCAAAACCAACCGTATGCTGATGCTTGTTCACCCTGAGGGCATCTCGGACCAAGATGAGATGTCACTGGTCAAGGGCTGCTACTTCAACAACGCCGAGCTGGGCGACGCCCAGCATCGTCTGTCTGTCGCCCTGTGCAGCGCATTCAAGGCCGTCCCCAAGTTTGATCTGATCAACAAGGACCAGCATCTCTTCCACCAGCGTGACTTTGTGTTCTTCCTGCGCCATCTAGCGCGCGGCGTCAAGCAGAACTACAACATGCTTAGCCCCCAAGTGTTGCTCAACTCCCTAGAGCGCAACTTTGGAGGAATCGACCCCGATCAGCAACAGCTCTTGGTAAAGGCGTTCTTTGAAGAACTGGCCAAAGTTGACGACGCATTCAAGACCGTCCCGGCCATGCACGCCGCCACCAACACCATCGAGCGACTCAAGGACTCATTGTGCGAGGTCATGAGTCCTGATCAACATCCAAGCACCTATCCATTCAGATACGTGATGTTGATCGACCCGACTGAGAATGAGACATCCTTGGCCATCTTGAACGAGCTCGACATCAAGCACTCTGTGATCAGAGTTGGCACATTCCCCGACGACACGGCCAACAACGCACTGGTTCAGGCAGTGTCGCGCATCAAGCGTGCGATGAAGGAGGGCCAGACCATCGTCCTGGTCAACTCTACGCTGATCGACTCATGCTTCTACGAGGTGTTCAATCGTCACTTCACCCTGCTGACTGCCGCCGATGGCACCGTCCAATTCATGGCCAACGTATCATTTGGCACCAACTCAATCTATTGCACGGTGCATCCCAACTTCAAGCTCATTGTACATCTACCCGAGTCCAAGCTGCAGCACACCCAAGCGCCATGGCTCAATCGTTTCGAGAAGTACTACATATCAATCGAACAGATGCGTCTCCATTACATCCAGCACAACAACCTGATGGACCAAAACGAGCACTTGACCAAGCTGTTGAAGTCGGCCGATCACTTTGTCTCCAGCTTCAAGCCGACCATGTTTGCCGGCTACTCGGCCACCGAGACCATCTCATCACTGGTGTACTCCTCGATCAAGGGGTACAATCTACAAGGCAGACACGACAAGCATGAGCTTGGCTTTGATCTGATCAGCAGCAGCTCGACCACAGCCGGACGCGAGAAAGACAATGACATATTCCAACAGCTCAACTTCAAGCTACTCCAGCTTGCGCGTCCCGAGTGTGTGTTCACGCGTAGCACACTGCCCACATCATACATCAACGAGTACATTCTGAAGCAGGAGCACTTCAACGTGGTGCGATTCCTCGACTCGTTGCTCACTCGGAAGCTCTGGCATGGCAATGACACCTCCTTGTCGAACAGATGGTCCATCATCACTCGCACATCACTCACACTTGGTATGATCACAGCCGACAAGCTCACAGACTTGCTTCCATCGTTCCAGGATCAGTATCATCCCGGCATGCCCGATATCCACAACAAGATGAGTGTCATACAGCTCAATGGCGTCAAGTCCACGGAGCAGTGCCAGAAGTTGTTGGAGCAATTCATCAATTCGACCCAGCTTGTGCTGGTCGTTGTGGCCGACATGTCATCGGTGAGCCAGCATCAGATCACGTACATTCATCAATGGTTCAGAGAGCATGGCTCACAAGATGACAATGCTGACAGAATGTTTGTGAATATCTGTCACTACCCACCCGAGTACTCATTGAGCAGCAACTCTATGATCAAGGCCAACTTTGTCAATGGAATGGACCACATCTACATTGATTCTTTCGGCGTGAGGGTCGACGGCAAGCTCATGGAGTCGTCAAACATCTCACTCGACTCGGACATCCGCAATTGGATCGCCAATGCCTTTGGCCTCGAGGTTCAGCTCGATCCCATCGAGCTCGAGAACACATTCTCCAAGATGTTCTTTGGCGCCATGCATCAGACTGCCATCCACTCGGTCAACCTCAATCAGATGTCGCAACACATGGTTCAAAAGTCACAAGACAGCCAATCAGTCAAGCAATTCTACTCCAACTCCAAGGACCGCGCGCGTCTCACTGTCGAGCTGTTTGAGAAGCACAGGGCTTGGAGGCGCGAGGCCATCCTCAAGTTCACCAACCAATTGGACGTCAACTCATTGATCACAGACATAATCGAGAACACATCCAGGCTCATCCAGACGGGCATGTCGATCACATCCTTCATCGACTCAATCAAGAACTCGTTGGAGTCTCACATGTACGCCATTGTCTCGCGCATATTTGACCTCATTGCCAATCTCAAGTCGTTTGGCAACGTCTCGATGATCCCCGCCGACATTGGCGACCCCCGCGACGCCCTGATCACGCTGTACATCCGATCCATCGAGGCGCCTGAGCCCTCTGCCTACGTGGAGGATCGATACGAACAAAGGATACTCAGCATTCCCGCGAGCAGATTCGACTCGACGCTGCCTATCTACGCGCACATCTCAAAGGACATATCGACACTCTTTGATCGAACACTGGCGCAACAGGCCAGTCAGCGAACCTTGGCAGATATCTTTGCGCACTTTGTCAAGCTCGTCCACGATCATCCCATCAACGCTGTCATCTCGCACATCAACAACACGCCCTCGCTCTTTGATCTATACGTGAGCGACTTCATCGTGTTGACGATGAGCTTCCCCAAGCAGATGGTGGACCTGATCAAAATGATTGTGGGCAAGACCCTGCCTGGCAACGTCAACAACATCTTGGCATATAGCGTGTGTAACCACTTCCAGGCCGACACATTCCACTTCCTCAACTGCTTCGCGTTGCCCCACGTCAAGCTTGGCAGCGACAACAACCAGGATGTCATTCGTCTGCTCGAGTCCAGTCTCTCACCCACCATGGGAGTGGTCGTCAACAACATCATCGACGAGTCAATGGCTGTGCTCTACACTCATATCCGCTCGATAGACATTTCCAGCAGCGACATCATTGAGCTCACGACCAACTGGTGTGTGGCCGTGCGTGAGGTGCTCAATCGAACAAGCATCGACACAATGCTGGCCAGACAAGTGGGCAGCGTGCGCGACAAGACCACCTACGTGTTTGTCATGTTCAAGGTGGCCGTGGACTTTATCGCCAATCGCACGCCTAACCATGTCGACATCACAGACCACTCGCTCAAACAGTCGTTGACAACAATGTACTCGCACTTCAAACAGGCTGAGCTCACATGCGAACGCTTTGTCCAGACATTCACCGACAGCTATGGCAGGAAACTCACCGGCCTCAAGCTTGGCACATTCCTCGATATTGTTGAGCCCTTTGTCGCGCTGTCCCCGCACAACCAGGACCACTTCCTCAAGCTCTGCAACCATGATGTGCCCCACCCATTTGGCAAGACCATCCCACTTGGTTGGTCGTCGACAATGTTAAAGAACTTCATGCCTAGTATGGAGTCGTTCAAACCATTCATCAACGCCATCTTGGACCAGCATCAGTTCAAGGGCAGCACAATGACCAACCCTTACATCCTGTGCCTGATGGAGGAGGGCAAGATATCACAAAAGATCCTCGACTTTATGCAGCTCAAGGTGGACGTATTCACCAACAACTTCAAGCCCAACATCCCGCTGGTCGATTCGCTCTACTTTGTGTTGCTGGAGGACTGTCGAGTCAATTACAAGCTGCTCTCCACAGACGATCTCTCCAATGTCTGGCGCGAGGAAGTGACAAAGAAGGACAACTACTCGCGTATCAACCTGTTTGCGATAAGCACCTACATCATTGATCGACTGGCGCAGAGTCTCAACGACGACCCGCTCGAAGGCAACATCAAATGGCTGCATGGCGACAGCCACTTTTGCAGAATCCTCAAGACCCTGCTCGACATCCAGTCGCAGGCCATCCGCTCGCCGCACGCCATGATCACCAAGACGTTCAATCGCATCCATCTCTTCAATAGGATCAAGACTGAGTTCAAGCTGTTTGAGCTGCTCAACTGCATGCCTCTGCTCGAGCTCATTGGAATCAAGGACTGCCACGTGTCCGTCGTCTCCAACCCCGTCGAGTCGACATACTTTGACTTTGTGGTCGATCGCCACAACAAGGACAACAAGGACGCGCTGCTCTTTTCTCAACTGGACGCAGCCGTTCGAAAGCAGTCGGACTCGATGGTGGCGTCGCTGCTTCAGCTCTGTGCCGACTCCAACTCGTCTCGCACGCGTGGTTTCCTTCGCATGTCAATGTTCCTCATCACATTCCAGCTCTATATGGAGGGCAAGCAGATGGACTTTGTCCGTAAGCTCGTTAAAGTTGGCAGCACATTCAACGAGATCACGGAGAACAACGACTTCCATCCCTACTTTGAAAAGATCATAGACAAACGCCTCAATCCCTCTGTCCAATACCTCGACAGCATTTTGATTCAGGCCAAGGAAGGCAAGGACGGCGTCAAGTCGCCCGACACGCTCATCAACGCCCAGCTCCTTGTCAACTTTGTCGCGGCGTCCATTGGCAGTTCGAATAACAACTACCTCTACCACCTCACCCGCGACACCCACAACTTAGTAGCGGGCAAGCTGTTCCCCGCCACGGAGACACTCTTCCGTGATTGTGGCATCAAGTATCGATTGCAGGGTGAAGACACCAACACGTATTGTATGAATGGCAACACATTGTTCAAGTACATGATTGGAGCATCCATCTGGGGCGCATTCGCCTGGACAGTCAGTCTCTTGGATGGGCCAAACAACAAGGACTTCAAGCATCTCACCAACCAGGACACTCACTTTGCCAACTACCTCCAAGATCACACGGTCGTTGGCCTGACCGACTACGTCGGCGTGCGTTCATTCACACAAGTGTTTGAGATCAGGAACAATGAACAGGTGGCCGAGAAGCACATTGACACGGGACACTTCCTCTCGGAGCTCGTCTACAACATCTGGGACACGGCCTACACCAAGCCCAACCCGACGATGCGCTCAGTATTCGCCTCGGACGTCGAAGTCTCACAGTATGAGGATCACCTTACATTCATGATCGAGCGACTGCTCAAGTACTATCCAGGCATCAAACAGAAGAGGATACGCGACATCATCACACACTCGGATGAGATGGGCACGATCACCTCGATCCGAGCAGAGTGTGCGCGATCATTCAGCACGCCCTTCTACACATACGAGTTGATCCACGAGCAGCTGACCAAAAGCAACAACAAGCTGCTCCTCTTCTTCACGACCAACATCACAAAGTTGTGTATCTCGCGCTACTTCAACACCCTGGTGCGCTTCATGCAGGCCGTGTTCAAGCACTTCACGCGTCGCCTGCCCAAGCATTTCATCAATCTCCCGTTCCTCGAATGCGTCGACTACCTGGCCAACAATCGTCACGTAGACCAGGGCACAATAGATCAGCTCAAACAGATATGGGAGAGGCTCAAGTCATCGTGGGATGTTATACTGCGCCACCTGAACATCATGGAGGGTGGCTGTCAACAGTTGCCAGACTATGAGCGTGTTCAACAGTCCATCACAGACGACATGCCCCTGGATCAATCTGCTGCACTCACACGACATTGGCGATGGTATGATCATCAATCGTATCAACAACTGGATGACCAACTACCAGGACAAGGCCATGCATCACCTCGAGCAGCTCAATGTCGACCCGGCGCTATCCAAGATCATCCAGCCGTCGATGGACGAGATGAACACGGACATTGGTGACATTGCATTTGAAGAGGACGACAACTTCTACCTCATTGGCTCCAACTACACCTTTGAGGACTTCCAGCGGTTCATCACGCTACAGGTGTCCAAGTACCAGACGTTCTCTCGCAGTAAGTTCGCGCCCGACCTTGACCTGATCGAGATGAACCTCGCATGTCAGTTCCTTTCGGGCAAGATCCACGGCGTGCGCCAGATGACCAAGTTCATGGTGGACCTGCCCCTGCTCGACGATGACACAGAGTCTAGTGGCGTCGACAGCATCTCCAAGTTAAACGATCAGCCTCTGGTCTCGCAATCAATCAAAGACCTCACTAGGATCAGCAGCCGACTGTCGGACGGATACAAACAGGCCTTCACTGTGCAGTTGACTCGCGACTTTGAGCGAGAGTGCAGCAGACTCAGACAAGAGGAGTTGGAGTACATCAGTCGCATCTTTACCTCACTCATTGGACGTATGATCAAGAGCAATACTATTGCCCTTCAGCTACTCAACAGCTCAATAATCGAATCATGTGCCATGTTTGGTATCGACACGTCAGACATCCCAACATTGATGGCCAACCATCTCAACCATGCCACACTCGCCAACATCAGAGGTGTCGCTCAGATCATCGTGGACACCTATCTCAAGTTTGGTTACCTTTACTCGGACATCATTGACGAACCACCTGGCGCGCCCAACATTGAGGTGACCAATCACTTTGAGACATTGAAGCAATCATTGATCAGAGAGGCCACAGAGAGCAAGGACAGCACGGCGAACTGGATTGAGTATGTGCAGGCCATCATTCAATTGCTCTCATCACTTGAGAGCAAGGTCGCACTAAGGGTCGCACAGTTTGACACACCATTGCTCCAGCACATCCAACTGCATCTGAAGGGCATCCCAGCCAGTCTTGCGCTTGCCAACGCGACATCACTGGGCTTGATCATCTCGTTTGCCACACTGGACACATTCTCCAATGATGGATACCTGCCAATATCCTACTTCCCATTGTTCATGCGCACGATGCACGAGATACTCTCCCAGCTCACGATCATCAGTGAGCAAGGCAACCGTGATGCACCACCATACCAAGAGCTGTATATCTACACCCCACCCAACCAGACACCGAGCAAGGTTGAGGCAGCGGAGCCCGACATTGTAGAGGATGCCATCTTTGACCCATCAATGCTCGCGCCTATTGAACAGCCGAGGTCCCATCTATTGGACGACGCCCCAGACCCCTCCCATGTCCCAGACATTGATCAATCGTCGTCTCAGCTCATCAGGATCCGACCAGTGGCCTACAGTCCCATTCATTGTTTGCTCGAATGGTTGCGACACGTGCCTGAGATTAGGCATCTGTCCATCGATGCCGCTCAGCATCTCGGTCCACTCTCACGCACATTTGCCCAATTCTGGGGTCTCTGCTTTAGGGAGGCGAACCAGGAGTTGGTCGTCAGCACCCTCTACAATGAGTTGATGAACTTCTCAAAGGCGGTGAAGAGTGGACACAATGCATTCATCCGACATTTTTTCAAGAGTATTGGACATTTGTTCACGGAATTTGGCGAACTCTTCGATATGTATGCCGTGTGCAAGTGCACATGTGGCACATCTCCCAAACGCAAGAAGAAGAGTTCATTCTTTGTCATTTCCAAACATGACAACAAACCTGCCACTGCTACCTTGCCAGATCGATCCAAAAAGAGGTATGTATAAGATCAATCAATCAATCAATCAAACAATACTCTAACATGTAATCCTTATCACTTAGACCAATATGTAATTGTCCTGACATTAACATTGACGTGAAGGAGCAACCACCCTATCTCTTCATCTTCCCTGGTGAAGAGAGAGGGGTCGTCTCTTCAATCGAGCTTGGAATCGATAAATACACTCTGCACTCAGTACTCGTATGTATCAATCGCAACACATACTTATCAATCAATCACTTACTCACTGGTATTCCAAACACAAACAGTTCGAAGATCATGACACAAACAATGAATTGGAGAGATACAATATAATCATTCGGGATACGGATGGATCGTTTAACATTTCCTCTTCCGAAGAAATGTCCAAGCCCCAGAATCATCCCATCCTCTTGATATACTCATTGGATCAACGCGTTTCATTATCGTCGGTCACCACCAAGTCCACGTCCACTAGTGCGACACAGGACCCTCCCTCATCCTCCAGCTATACAGTACTCAGCGATCCATCATCAGATGATATCTCAACGACCCTAGGGTCATCATCCCTGCAATTGCCAATTGGAGACACTCAATCATCAGCAACAGCATTATCATCATTTTCATCGAAACCGGACAAATGGACAAATGATGATTTTTTGGATTGGGTCCTTTCACCAACATTGGTATTCAAAGATGCTGAGCTACTACATGACGTACTATTTGAGAATGATGTCAACACATTCAAGATTGCCTATGCTCTCACGGCGCTTGGTGGAACATTGGAGAAACTATTGCTCAAAAATGGTATTAGTCAGGATACAATAATCGAGTTCAACAGACGTCTAGACGATCAGTATAAACGCGATTCTAAAATACCTGATCAACAAACGATCGTCAAGGATGATTTAGACCTTCGCAATAAGTTCATACAGATTGGATTCCATACCAAATCAATCGATGGACTATTGGCATCAATGCGCGAAATGGAGATACCCAGAGTCAGTACTCTAAAGGGTTGTCTATCGGACCCCAAACACGATGATGAAGTGAAACTATCCTCAACATACAAACAATTTATCAAATACTCTCTAGAAGACAATCATAATAATAATAATAATAATAATAACAACAATAATAAATCAAATAATTAACGAATAACTCTGAGTATTATTTTTATTTAGTGATCCAAACTAGTATTAATTAATTATTGATTGGTCAGGTCCTTTAAGACCACAAAACAGGTGTTTTGCAATCTTGAAACGATCGAACTTTCATTTTTCGTCATTCTCATTCATTCGCAATTTGATCATGTAATAATAATAGATGAAGGATACAGATAATTCAACGACATACTTGTCAATATCAAATGATGATGGTATTGATCAATCAACAACAACAACTGCAAATTCAATAGTTGTAGTTGATCAACATCATTTCCAAAATGAAAGTCAATCCACACAATCAGTCATTCAAACACTGCTCACACATAGTAGTAACAGTAGTAGAAGTGATCACAGCCATGCCGATGACGACGTTGATGATGACGATGATATGACCAATCACAATAACCGAGACAACAATGAAAAGAAGCCCAACAACACAGACTCAACAAACGTCATAAAAGATGATGGCGCACTGGCAAAGCTGTCAACAACATCAACAAAGTCAGATAAATGGAAGAAGTTGACAGTATTGTTTCTCATTATCAACATTGGATTCCCATTGTACCTTGCTTACAACACACCGACATCAATGGTGAAGTTACTCGACACTCTCTATGACATGGATGCCGAACAATTCTCAAGACTCTACTCAGTCTATGCCCTGCCAAATCTAATAATGGTGTTCCTTGGAGGAATACTTGTCGACCTGTTTGGCGCAAACAAGTAAGTCTTCCATCCTGGAATCATTCCAGCCCCCCCACCCCACACTTGATCTAACACACACACACACACAATCAAACAATCTAGGTGTAGCATAATATTTCAATCAATCTTATTCTCATCTGCCATATTGGCAGCTTTAAGTTCACTCAACACCAGCTATTCTATGCTTCTATTCTCAAGAGTGTTGCTTGGTATTGGAGGCGAGACATTGTTGGTGTGTGTCAGTACATTCATTGCCCAATGGTTCTCAAGCAATGAGATGCCATTTGTAATGGGCATAGAGTCAACATGGGTACAATTCGCCAGTCTATGTATGTCATCTTCATCATCATCACCCTGGACAATAACTAACAATATCAATCAAGTGGCATTTGGAGCATTGCCATCACTTAGAGAGGCAACTAGTATACCCTTCACTCTTTGGTTCGTGGCCTTTGTTGCCCTCACTGCCTTAGTATTGAATATTGTCTTTGTTGTATTCCAATCAAAGTTGAGATATAATAGTATGTTTGGTTATTTGTTGGAACTATTCCAGCCTCACCACTAACTCAATCAATCAATCAATCAATTAATCAAACATAGATGACGAACAAAATAATTATAACAACTTGGAGAGCAAGGTTGAAGAGTTGGGAATTGATGATGACACTCTGCCAGAGACTGATCCAGATGCTTTTAATATCCAACAAATGGAAGTTATACAATTGAAAGATGATGATGTGGATGAGAATGCACCTATCGACGTGTCATCAATGTCATCATTACAAAGAGTCAAACACGAGTTGTGGAAAGCAGTGTCATTGATCAAGGACATACCTCAAAAGATGTGGATACATGCTGTAATCTGTTTCTTTGGATATAGTGCATTCTATGGATTGGATATCATTGCTACGGACATGATCATCGAGAAGTATGGATACACCGATGCCAGAGCTGCCATGGTGATGGCATCGGAAACACTGTGCACCGGACTGATGGGTCCATTATTTGGATACGCCATCAAACGAACAGAGATGCGAGCCACCATCGTCGGCATTGGTATCATCATCATGGGTGTTGGAATCATCATTCTGACCTTGACCACATCCACTCCATTCCCATGGTATGTATAATTGATTGGATGATTGAATGAATGATGATGGACCATGAACTGACCAAACTACTTTAGGGTTATAATGAGTGGATTTGGATATGGAATGATGAACAATGGACTGATGTCATCTGTGCCTTTGATAGTTGAAGAACGTATTATTGGCACGTCATATGGACTGGTTGGCACATCGTATAATGTTGGCATTGTATTGTTTCCATTGATATTGGGAGTCTGTAGAAAGACCTTTGGTAACTACAACTTTGCCATGTGGATCCTTGTACTTAGCTCCATCTTGGCCCTTGTATTCCTACTCTGGTTAAAGATGCTTGATCTGAAACAAACTGACAACTCCAAGCGATTGGATAAGAAGAGAGAATAAATCTCATCCAGTGCATGTCTCAGTCTCCATCCTTCCTTCCTTCCTCTCCACTCTCCACTCTCCATCCTTCCTTCCTTCCTTCCTTCTTCAACATCTCTCTCTCTAGTTTGTACATTGGAGCAGCAGTCTCACTACTGATTTATTGTCAGAGGGTGATGCCCACTGCACCATTGAGTTGGATTGTCAAAGGGGGCGGTAGCAAGCATTTACTTTGAGCACTTGCATGGGTCACACTTGCAGGAGGTACACTTGCAGTCTGAGGTGGCCTTTGGTTGTGTGTCAGCCTGACCGCACTTGCAGTCTACGCACTTACATGAGTCTCCACATTTGCATTCGTGAGCCTATAACATTGTTGTGTGTTAATAAATATCAATCTTATAAATGAATGAATGAATGAATACACATACCATTATTAATATATTTATATCTTATTGTATTAGAAGTTAAATATCTGTAGATAGATAATAATTGTTATTTATATCTCTGTGTTTGATTTGTTTTAGGAATTGGTAATGAGGAGATAGCTAAAGAACTTGAACTTGAAGATGAGAGGTGTGTGTGAGTGAAGCAGTGCTTCCAACTAGTCTTGTTTATGAACTTACACACACAAACAAGAATAATTTAATTAAAATTATGGTCAAGTTTAATTTGGTCTCCTAATTGGGCAATACTGTGCGTATCAGATCGATGACACAAACCCCCACATTCCCTTTCGTAGTCATGAACTTCAAACCCCTGTTTTGGATCTCAACCTTGAGGACCAACGTGCATTTAACAACTTGAGCTCAAACAAGTTAGTTACCTAATTAAGAACAGATAATAACTGTTATATAGATATATATATATACAACAAACATATTATTATAATAATAACTAAACAAAACAAAGACAAGATAAGATAATAATGTCAACTGTTGGAAAGACAATCACTTGTAAGGCTGCTGTGTGTTGGGAGCCAAAGAAGGACTTGGTCATTGAGACTATTGAGGTCGACCCTCCAAAGGCTGGAGAGGTTAGAGTTAGAATATTGTCATCGGGTGTCTGCCACACTGATGCCTACACTATGGGTGGATTCGATAGTGAAGGAGTGTTCCCATGCATTCTCGGTCACGAGGGTGGTGGCATCGTCGAGTCGATTGGTGAGGGCGTCACCACTGTTGCCCCAGGCGACCACGTCATCCCTCTATACATCCCCGAGTGCAAGAAGTGCAAGTTCTGCACCAACAGCAAGACCAACCTGTGCTCGGTCATCAGAGACACCCAGGGCAAGGGTCTCATGCTGGACGGCACCTCTCGTTTCAGATGCAACGGCAAGCCAATCTACCACTACATGGGCTGCAGCACCTTCAGTGAGTACACCGTCGTCGCTGAGATCTCCCTTGCCAAGATCAGAAAAGACGCTCCCTTGAACAAGGTCTGTCTCCTTGGATGTGGTATTACAACTGTATGTATTGACGGGTCATTGGCTGGATAACTCGCTTGCTCACTAACATTGACATGTGTATCACAACAACAGGGATATGGAGCTGTTTTGAACACTGCCAAAGTTGAGGAGGGATCTGTTGTTGCTGTCTTTGGACTGGGTGCTGTTGGACTAGGTGTAAGTTCTTGAATGTAGTGTCCTGGCTTGATACTAATCATTCATTCAATCATTCGTAACAATCAAATATAGGCTATCCTCGGTGCTGTTGAGGCCAAGGCAAAGAGAATCATTGCCATCGATATCAATCCAGAGAAGTTCAAACATGGTACATATCACATGAAGTTGATGGAAGTGTGATGTGGAGTGTGGAGAGTGGCGTCAGTGAGAAGGAGAGAGATAGAGAGGATAGACATAGACTGGTCAACACAACATAACTGACACCTCTGTAACACATTAGCAACTGAGTTTGGTGCCACTGAATGTGTCAACCCAAAGGACTTTGGCGAGAGACCAATTCAACAGGTGTTGGTCGAGAAGACTGATGGTGGTGTCGACTACTCATTCGAGTGCGTTGGTAATGTCAACCTCATGAATGCCGCACTTGAGTGCTGCCACAAGGGATGGGGTGTCAGCACCATCATCGGTGTTGCCCCTGCCGGAGCAACCATCACCACCAGACCCTTCCAACTTGTAACTGGACGTGTCTGGAAGGGCTCCGCCTTTGGTGGTGTCAAGGGAAGATCCCAACTTCCAGGATATGTTGATAAGGTATGTTGTTGTCATTGTGGTAGTATGTTCATGCACTGACCCAATCAATCATTAGTACATGGAGGGTAAGCTCAAGGTTGACGAGTTCATCACCTTCAACTACCCAATCGAAGAGATCAATGAGGCCTTCCATGTCATGCATGAGGGCAAGAGTCTTCGTTCAATTGTCAACTTCTCAGCACAGTAATGCGTTGCCACATGTGGCCGTTCATCACGCGAATCAGCTTGGTACTTATAAAGCAGGAGGAGTTTATTTGAATGAATGAATGGAATGGAATGTATGAATGAATGATAGTGTTAGTCTGGCTCGACATGAGGCACAACTTGGGCTATCAAGGATCGAACACTGGAGGATGATCGGTTCATGACCAGAGGAACAACAATGTTGCCGTTACTATTGTAGATGGATGCGAGAGGCATCCGGGAGGAGGATACAGCCTGCTTGACGAACGTCCGCAGATAATCCACTTGTTGGCGCATCAATCCATTCTCCCTGGTCAGCAGCTCAATCCTTGATTCCGCCGAATCGTTTGATGTCTGCAACGTGCTAGCCTTCAACTCTAGCGTGCCAATGTACTCCTTCTGGCGTTGACGGAACAATTGGGCCGCCTCCCTATTCTTGATCAATCTCTTTTGTTTAACATTGGGCATTGATTGGACATGTTGGTCTTGATCATGGTCATCGTCAAGGTCATCGTCGTGGTCATGGTCATGGTCAATGTGTGGAGATGATGATGAAGTGTGAGGCGAAGAAGACCCGTGTGAGGAGAAGTAGGTCTCCGAGTCATCATCGGTCATATGTTGATCAGTGTCGTCATCTTCACTGTCATCATAGTGGTCACTTGGCGGAGAATGATGATGGACTATCTTCTTTCTCCCTCGATTGGTAGAGATTGGAGTATTATCTTTCTTTGCTCTCGTTGATAATTGTATTTGTATACCCAACTCTGATAGTTTATCCTTTTGTTTTATATACTTCCTAGTAGGTATCCTACTAGTTGTTGTTGAAGTAGTAGTATGTATAACATTAATATTGTTATTATTATTATTATTATTATTCTTTGCAGACTTTGATCGTTTACTCATTATTGTTTCATTGGGGCATCATATGATAAGCAACAATTGAAATTGAATTGACGAACCTGGTCATATGATGACGACCTAGGTCGTCTATATATAATATTATTAATAAACTAATGTAACTTTTTCTCTGCCATGTCATCATCGTAATTGATATAATTGTTGAGTTGCCCAGGCTTAACTTGAGTTTGTGGACTTGGAAATAATTTGAGCAACATCATCTTTGTGTCACAAACACTTTGTGTGGGTTTGATAGATTGACTTTGAGGGTTGTGAGTTAGATGGTTAGTGATTGACCTACACAAGTTTGTGTCAGTCGGTCCTTTAGGATGATGATCAGATGTTCCCCATTAATTAATAAGATAGATATTATCAATACTACCCAATATTACACGTCATAACATGTCCTCTTTTGAAGTGACTTGACAACATTCACTTTTTTTTGTAGTACGATCATTCAACCAATCAATCATTCAATCATTCAATCAATCATGTAATCATTAATTCATTCATTTATTCATTGATGACCAATGATGGTCATTGATTACACATGTAAGTAACTTGTGACTTTGGGCATAGCATCATGTAAGTACAATTACTCGTCTACTGTTTTGAGATATTTTGTTAATGTGATTGGTAGTCAAGAGTTGTGGGTCCCAACCCTGAAGAAACCCAAAAAAAGACTAGCTTGGTATCCAAAAGTCCCTGGTTTGGTGTGATGAACACACAAAGACATTAAAATAATTAAATTATTGATCTTAGAGGTAAGATGATGTTTGCTGAGGTTCACTTGGTGTTGTGTCCACCCCTTTACTCTTCGCACACATTCAATTCATTCATTCATTTATTCATTCATTCGTACATACTTACATTATAAACAATTATACTTATACTTATACATATTAATTTATTTACTATTCAAACATATATAAAGCAATGGTACGATTGATAGCGATTAGTTGATGGATGGATTGATGGATGGATTGTTTGACTTTGCTTTGACCAACTTGAAACTGACCCAATGATCTCAATCAATCAATCAATCAACAAACAATCAAACATCAAACAATCAAACAATCAAACTCAAAACTTTAAATAGAGCAATCAAAGTGATGTTGTCAATGTTGTTGTGTCTGGCGCTGCCGGACAGATTGGATACTCTTTGGTGTTCAATATTGTAAGAGGTGATATGTTTGGCATCGATCAAAAGGTGCGTGTCGTACTGCTTGATATTGCTCCAATGATGGATTCACTCAAGGGTCTGATTCTAGAGATAGAGGATGGTTGCTTCCCATTGGTCAGCGAGGTGATTGCCACATCTGATCCAAAGGAGGCCTTCACCAACATTGACTATGCCATCCTTGTTGGTGGTATGCCTCGTAAGGAGGGTATGGAGCGTGTCGATCTGCTTCGTGCCAACGCTGCAATCTTCAAAGTTCAAGGAAAGGCTATCAATGACTATGCCAAGAAGACTGTCAAGGTATGATGATGGTGTTGATGATCATGGTCATGTGTCTGAAGCACAGAGGTTCACTAACACCCACTCCTTCTCCCCTCTCTCATGTCTCCATTCATTAGGTCCTTGTTGTCGCCAATCCAGCCAATACCAATGCCTTTATAGCACTTGCAAACGCTCCAAACATCCCACCAGAGAACTTCTCATGTTTGACTAGATTGGACCATAACCGTGCCAAGGCCCAGATCGCTGCCAAGGCTGGCGTCTCTGTCAAGGACGTCCACAATGTCATTGTTTGGGGCAATCACTCGCTGACCATCTATCCAGACACTCGCTACGGCTACATCAACCTGCCCAGTGGCAAGTCGACCGTTGCTAGCGTCATCAAGAACGATCAATGGCTGACAAACGACTTTGTCTCCACCGTACAGAAGCGTGGTGCCGCCGTCATTGCCGCACGCAAGCTCTCATCGGCTGCCAGTGCAGCCAAGGCCATCACGGACCACATGCGCGACTGGGCACTCGGCACACCCGAGGGCGAGTACGTTTCGATGGGTGTCTACTCGGACGGCTCATACAACGTTCCCGCTGGCGTCATCTTCTCGTTCCCCGTCACCATCAAGAACGGCGTATACTCAATCGTTCCCGGCCTGCCCATTGATCAAATCACACGCGACAGAATCGACCTCACTGCCAAGGAGCTGGTCGAAGAGAAGGACATGGCTGTCAAGATCCTCGCTGAGAACTAATCAATGTCCTCGTCTCGTCTTCCTTACTTCCCCTTTATCCCCTACATGTAGTTATAATATCTTCAACTCAAACTCAAACTCCAACTTCACAAACAATCAATCAATCAATCAGTTAGTCAACAAGTCAACCAGACAATCATATTTCATTCCACAACAATACTTTCCTTAATTGGTTGAATTGAATAAATGTAGTGTATAATATATATGATTATGATTTTAACCTTTATTCATTCAGATAAGGCCGGCCCAAGCCCAATCAGATCACCCACAACCCACAATCCTCCACCATTTCACACCTCAACCCCAGGGTTCGACCACTTTGTTCCCCAAGCTTCACACTCTCTGTTGAACTCCAAACAAAACACAACCTCCAACACACTCAACAACAACGATCTTTATCACCTTTGTTCATCACATTATTATTGTTGTTGGCTTGTATAACAACACATACAATGACATTTAATATATAACTAGTCGTGAAATAATGATACAATTGGATAATATTTATATGGATGATGAGGATGATGATGATGACTTGTGTTCATCGGTATCATCATCGACTACAAATCATGCCCATCCAGATCTAGCGGCAAGATCATCTACTTCATCTTCTTCATCATCAACATCAACATCATCATTATCAATTGATGTTGACCCAGATCATCATCACCAACAAAAGCCAGATAATCAACAACCTATAAAGATTAAACGACCCGATCATCAACATCAACAACAGACAATACAAGTGGTCGATCATTCACCTATACGCAGTTGGCCCAAAGTTAATAATATAACTGATCACTTGGTATATGTTAACGTTGCACTTTGGGCTGCAATAGTCAGTCTTCGCTTCGAAGGCCATCATGACAGTACAGAACTTCCCGTCGGATTATCAATCGCCGTCACTGTCATATGTTTGATCATACTCGTGCCACACTACCATGACTTCAAGACTGCCTTCTCTGGAGCTTACTGGCGTGGGCTACGCGGCTTTATCGGTGGATTCCGATACAGGGCGATGCGATGCAAGCCACAGGTTTGGTGGTGGAGTCCCCTTGTGCATTGGATCTGGAGCATACCATTGTTGATCTCTGTGTGGATGGCATACCTCCGCGATGGCGCAGTCGTACCTTGGATTGGCTTTGGTGTGACGCTCGTCTTTGGACACATGTTCGAGCCGGGCATGGTAAATTGGGCCTGTGCAGTCTGCCATGTCAAGACCAAGTTCAATCGTCCAAAGATCATCATGTTCCCAACGCCTGGCGACCTTCATCGCAAGCGTTGGAGTGAGATTGTAAAGCTACGTACGCGACGAGTGGCTACAGTGTTTGTGGAAGCATCAGCACTGTCTGGCTTCTGTGGAATATGCGACGCCGACAGCCATTGGACAATTAGACAAGGCGAAGGTCCAATATGGGCCACTCTGGAGCCTAGCTATGGAGATGGACAGCAACGACAGTTGTTACCACAGCCTGTGGAAGAGGAGGGCACCATATGCGCATGTCAGTGGCGAGCCATCTCAGCGGTGGCCACAGAGATGGGCTGTCGGGGATGGGCGCCAGTGCTCATACCCACGACCGCACTCGAGTCCAACACGTTTAGAGCATGGGTCAATTGGAAGAGCTCCGGTCGATCCACAGTCTACTGTATTTTACTCGGAGGTAGGAAGTGCCAGCAGTTGGATGTGTCGATCGACCATGAGTCACTACACAACCATCATCATCAATCAAACGACTACATGGAGGAGTCATTGGACACTGCAAGAGTTTGGAGTGGAGCACAACAAATGGCATTGTTTGATTATGGATCATTGTTCTCGGGCTTTGCATGTGTCTGGCCTGGTCGATCAATCAAGCGTCATGATTATGGTGATGGCAATGAAGATGATTTGCTACAGCGAGGATCAGTAGAGTGGCAATGGTCAATAATGGGCAAGGAGTCATATGGTATCTTTACGAGCTTCAAGACAAAGGTCTTACACAAACCACTGCGCGTTACACTGCCCCGAAATGTTTGCCCTTTGACACAAGGATACACAGTGTGGGCATGTGCCAACAGGGCAATGAGTGAGCGATTGTTGATCGTACAACGAGCACTCGAGACCATTAAGCCAAACTCTGAATATCTCTGCATTGACAGAAGCATCATCGAGGAGTCATGTCACGCCGCAGCCATCAATCATGACCTGTCCTACTTGCTAGTGCTCCCGCCAGACATCCTACCAAAGTCAAGCACTGGCATACGACCTGGCTCCATTCTATACATTGGCAAGGGTGCAGGCATGTCAGTACATCGCTCACTATGGGAATCTCAGCCAACAAGTCAGTGCTGGGTTGGTCCGGACGACCACACCAGCGTGGTCCTTGACAGACGTGTGGCCGAACCACCAGCAGGCTCAATCACAGTGTTTACTTCAGCGGTGCCCAAACAACGAGAAGAGATAGAATGGTACGCAACTTCAATGTGTTACAACTCATACAGAGGTGATGCACTACGTCTATACTTGGGCGTTGTATCAATGAATGGGTATCGCGCAGCCATTAGTGGACACAAAATGTACAGTCTTCAAGCAGTGTCAATCGGTGGTAGTAATGGAGAGGCACTAAACACAAACAGATATAGTATTCTACCATATGCGACAACCGATATAGTAGTTGTGTAATTTAAATATCCAGGTTCTAATAAATAAATCTATATAGTCCTTACTCGCTCTCCCTCTATGCTCCTATTCTTTTGAGATAAATAGAACACTTTAGTTATATGTATTTGAGTCTCTGGCCTTGTGTTTGAGTCTCTGGCCTTGTATCCTCTCTCTGCGGGCGATGGCATCTCGTATTCGATCTACAATTAATTGAATGTTCTTGTTTGATTGGTATCCAGTTGAGGAGAGTACAGCTTTGACATCGATGCGAACACCAATGTCCAATAGATACTTAAACATGTGGACATCATTTCCATTTACCAAATCCAATGTGAGTGGAGACATCACTTTTGACTTGATCTGAGTGAGAACTGTCTCATTGTCCAGTTGCTTGATTATTAATTCCAGAACTGACACATGACCATGTTTGATACTCTTTGTAATATATGATTCAATCACTGATTGTTGTTGATGTTTGATTGGTGACTCTTTGAAAAAGAACTCCAGCATCTTGACATCACCATTATCAATGGCAATGTTCTTCATAGAATGGAGATTCTGTATTCCAATGCGATGGCGATATTGTTCAAAACAATATATGATAAGGTCATACTGTAAATGTTTGGCAGCCTCTTGAAGCATACATTCAACCAACTCTGCAATGCCATCTTGAGAAACACATTGGTGCTCCATGGCATAGTCCAATAAAAATGGTTTACCAAACCTTCCAATGAATGTCCATGTGTTGCTATTATTGAATACTGTCTTATCGTCCTTTATCATCATCATCAACTCCTTACATCCACTTTGAACGATTAGGAATTGTAACTTATAATTTTGGTTCAGAATTCCAGGTCGATGTTTGATGAGAGAGTAGACAGCCTGATAATTTCCTCTGACCATTGCGGCATTGATTGCTCAGTCAAAATTAACATGTTCAATCATCTCTGGTCTAGTGCGAAGAATATAGTCCAAATGTTCAAAGTTGGTAGTTTGTATGTATTTCAAACTCTTGAATATCTTGTTGTTTGATGATAGAAGGAACAAGATAGTGTCCCAATCATTGATGGGTTCACAACTGTGGATAGAGATCACAACATCCTTGTCATTAAGATATTGCACAACCTTTAGACTGTTGCTTGGATTGTTTGAATGTGAAAGTGCTTCCATCATCTTGTAGTTATAAAATGATTCTCTTCTTATTCTCAATGTCTGGACTAATGAGTTGCTGTATCCAAATGCCACTTTAGCTTGAGACAATGTACCACATCCAACAATCTCATTGAACATGTGAAATGGACTGCTCATTGACCATGAGTCCATCAAGAATGGAATTAGAATGTAGTCCCCAGTTGGCAGGTATCTCTTTGTGGCCCAGTTTTTGAATGCATACTCCACACTTGAGAGTGGAGACAACAAGTTGCGGCAAAGCTTAATATACACCAATCTGTCCGGATCACTAATATCTTGTACCTCATCATCATCTCTGGTGACCAAAGCGAGTGCAGTGTTTCTTGAAGTCTCAAGCTTGGCTAAGCAATCTTGGTCAAATAATTGATGATCCACCTTGATTCCACTGAAATGGATCAATCTATCCATATGTGCCAACTGCTCAACATGATCTCTACCATTAAGTATGACGTCGTGATGATAAATCACTGAGGGTATTCCGCGTTCAATCAATGATTTTGAAAGAAGTTCATCAATGAGTTGTTGATCGCCAGTCTTGAGGATATTGACCGTGCATTTTCCAATGCGAACATATGATTTGACCTTGTCGATCAATGTCTCTGAGAAGACTCCAGACTCCAAGACGTAGCGGATGGTGGATGCGTTGCACGAGTTGAATAGATGATGGGCAAAGTCAATTGGGTCTACTTCCAGGTTATGTGTATCAATAAAACCGGACTGGCAAACATGTTTGACCATGTCAAATGATACATATATTCCAAAGCACTCCATCAAGGTACTGGCATCACGTGTGAACTCCACCGGATAGGTCTGTTGCATGAGTACATCAAATATGAATGTTTTGTTTGATGTGATAGCACACTTGAGTATGTGACTATCCCTAAAGTATGCTTGATACTTGTTGTACACAGCCATGTAAGCATCTTTGTTAATGTCAACATAGCATAGATGAGTGATTGCTGTAGTGTGCACTTTGATACATAGGTCACGTTTGATACGATCAATCAATAGACCATTAAGTCCATATATTGCTAAGTTATCCAATTCAGTCCATTGATGATATGATCTTTCATAATACCAAGTTTCATTAACATCATAACTCTCTGCACATCTCCATTTCTTATTGAATTGATGTGATTCTATTATAAACTTAAACAAAGTCCTATTTGTCAATACACTGATTATTATTTCTTGTTGATGTTGTGATAGTTGTACTAGTAATTGTTGTTGTTCATTACAATTCATTTTATTATTATTATCCTTCCTTATTCTTTGTTGTAGTTGTACTTGTTGTCTTATTATTATTATTTGTTGGTGTGAATGAGTGAGTGAATGAGTGAATGAGTGAATGAATAATCTAGAGTATTGTGTAATTAATCCATTGCAATAATTCTGACCCCTACTCAGATATTTCTCTGATCGTTTTTGACCTTAAAAGGAAATAAATAAATAAATTATTTTTATAATAAAATAAAATAATAAAAGTATCTTTGTTAATAGGACTTATTCATCATCATTCTTTTCTGTTTTTATGATAACTAGTTATTATCTCTTTCTAAATTATGTATTTGTTTTTATAACTTGGTCATTTTTCATCTGCTGTACCAAAACAGTCAAAATAGGTGCGACGTCGCACTTTTTCAAGCAAAACAAACACACTGACGTCTATTCAAATTAACTTCACACTAAGCCTCATTTGAGCGAGTCATAACAAAGAGTGACTCACCTTCACTCTTTCCATTCATTATTCAATACATTAACTAATAATAGCCATACTTATAAGTATAACAAATTAAATATAAATAATAATATTATATATTTATAATGTATAACAATAATAATAATAATGGTGGTGGCGGAGGAGGTAGTAGTAATAATGGAAAGGAGTCCATCGGTATAGATATGGACGATAACAACAATGGCAAGGACAAGGACAACTACTCCTCATCAAACAACAATGAGATTGAGATCGATGAGATAAAGGATGACGTCAACGCCTCCCTAATAGACATTGCTCAGCAGAAGCAACAACAAATGCAGCAACAGCAACAACAACAGCAGACTCTAACATTGCAACAACAACATCAAAATGAGATGTACGTACCCTATGACATGACACATTCATTCATTCATCATGCTAACATATACATGTATACACAGGACAAAGATCATGATGGTTATTGCATTCTATTTCTTTATATCTATATCGTTGGTGTTCTTGAACAAGTTGTTGATGAAGAACCTCGACTTTAAGTACCCATTGTTCATCACTTGGTATCAACAGATCGTGTCGTTTGTCATGATCTTTGTAATGTGCAAGATCGCACCAGGTGTGCCTGCACTCAACTTCCTGCCGCCCTTTGAGTTCAAGTATGAGACTGCTCAACGTGTCATGCCACTCACTGCCGTGCTCACAATGATGATCGTCTTTAACAACCTCTGTCTGGAATACGTCGAAGTCTCATTCTACCAAGTATGTGTCGGATATCGCGAGAGAATGAATGTGTCCGACATAACATCATACTAACCTCATTCATTCAATCAACCAATCAATCAAACATAGGTTGCTAGATCACTGACAATATGTTTCTCGATCTTACTTACTTATTTGATACTTAAGAGCAAGACATCTTATAAGGCATCGATGGCATGTGGCATTGTATTCTTTGGATTCATACTTGGCAGTGCAGGCGAGATCAACTTCTCATGGTATGGCATAGTCTTTGGTCTCCTCTCCTCCTTCTTTGTTGCTCTCTACTCAATCTATGTCAAGAGAATACTTCCAGTCTGTGAGGGTAATGAATGGTAAGCCTCACTTATTCCTATCATTCAATCAATCAATCAACATCACTCACTGACCTTATTCAATCACATGATACTCCAGGAAACTGTCAATCTACAACACTGCCATCTCAATTGTATTCATTCTACCATTGATATTCCTGGGAGGTGAGGCTTCGACATTGCTTCAAGAGGAGGTATTGTACACTGGTGAGTTCTGGTTGGTGATGACCATCGCTGGTGCCATGGGCTATCTTATCAGCATTGCCATCTTCATGCAGATCAAGCATACCAGTCCTCTGACAAACGCCATCTCTGGTACCGTCAAGGCTTGTGTCCAAACCATCCTTGCCGTCATGATCTGGGGCAATGAGATATCATTCCAGGTACGTATTGTATATTACATTCATCATTCGCTCATTCAATCAATCGATCAATCATACTCACTCGCTCACTCAATCAATCAAACATAACAGAATGGATTCGGTATCTTCTTGGTGATTTCAGGATCATTCTATTACTCTTATGTAAGATATCAGGAGATGAGGAAATAAAGCCACCAAGCCACCATAGTGCGCTCTCTTGGATCATCATCATGTGTTCGTGGCGCGTAGCCAAATGTCCAAACTTGAGGAAACATGTTGCCATCAAACCAATCAATGTCGTTGTTAAGTATAAGATATAGGTTATTATTATTCAAGCTCTTCTTCAAGAGATTGGATTGGATGGATATAGTAAAAAGGGTTGTTGAATGAATGGACATATGGCTGGATGTTGTGGGCTTGGCTTAGCCTAGCCCTGCCTAATGTATGTCCTGGTCCTCTATCGTCTAAATTGATCTGGTGTTGGGAGGGACTGGCTCATGGCTTCCAGGAATGCAGTGGTGGAGGCTGGTGTGCCAGAGGCGACAGTGTGCGCGACGGTGGTGGCTGCTTGCTGGATGATGGGGACAGCGGCAGCAGCGGTAGTTGAGGAGGCGTTGGACAAGACAGCCTCGTTGTTGGCAACCTCAACAATGATCTTGCCGGCGTTTGAAACAACCGATGGGATGACGGCTGGTGCAGCAGCGGCAACGTAGGTAACGGCTGGGATGGTGGATGCGGCCACCATCGTAGTGGCAGTGGCGGCAGCTGGCAGAGCACTGCTGGTTGTGGACGAGGCCACAGAAGCGGCCACACGCCACCACTGTCTCAACTTCCAGAGACCAAAGAGTCCGACGACCAGCAATGACACGGCAGCCAGGCCGATCGTAGCATTAGTCATACGGCTATCGCCAAACAAGGCCATCAACGATTTTGCCTGAGGGTTGTGTGGATCATTCTCCAAGATCTCCTCCAGCGTCTCGATTCCCTGTTTGTTCTTGCCCAATCTATAATAAGCAAAGGCTATTGAATACTTGTACAAGAAGCTGTTTGTATCCAGCTCTCTGAGTCCTAATCATTGATTGATTGATCGATTGATTGAGTGAGAGAGTCAGTGTGTGTGCGTGGGTTGGTCGCGCCCGCGAGTGGCTACACTTTGCCGCGAGTGTCTACACATGTGGCGCGCTACACAAGTCGAGTACTCGACTCAATCAAACTCCTTACTCTGCAAGAAGTAGAGACCTCTCTTTATATCAAATCTTGATGAACTGTGAACCAAGCTGTTGGCATAGTTGAATATTTGATCCTACATCATTCCCGCGTAGTTAGTAAGTGTCGCTCCATCACTCAATCAATCAAACAAACAACCAAACAAACAATCAGACATACTCTTGGTTGCTTCATAATCTTCTCATCTTCATTCTCTTGATTGTCAGAGTCGTCGCTGCTGATCTTGAAGAAGCGGAGCTCCTCGCGAATCAACTCTTGAGGCACATCGGTGGGGATCACCAGCTTGCCAGTCCTGTAAAAGTTGAGGATGATCTCAAAGACACGACCATTGCGATCAAAGAAGTACTCGCCCTTCTTGTCTGGACGACGCAGATGCTTGTTGGTGGGCAGGAACATGTTACCCAATAGAGTGTCTGGGAAGCGACTGAGAGTGCTTGGTCTGACCTCATACTTGTATCCACCAACATTCAGCAACACAGTCTCGTCATCATCAGTCTGCGCATCGATATAATCTGGTGACGAGCTATTCGTTTGTTCGATATCCACTGGTGTTTGAGTGTGTTGTGACATCATGTATTATATAATATTAAGTAGTATGTATTTGTATATATATATATGTATAAATAAGATAGTAAGTGAAGTGAAGTAAAGGTTGATGTTTGATTACGTTGGTGTGATGTGTCTGTGGGTCATTCATTGTCTTTGTTCAAAGTGTTCTCGCGCGCAAATTCAAATTAGTAGCTGTTTTCAAACAAACACATAAATTGAACTGTTGGGCTGGATCAATCACATTAGTTTAATTGTTTGAATATGGTTGACCATTATTATTATATTATATATTTGTTCAACTTCTCCCGATCAATGGAATGATTCCATTCAACTACACCTCCGATCAATCAATCAATCGATCACTGGAGTTCTATTATTATAATAATATTAACAAAGATCTCTATTGAATAGAGTGACCTCTTGAACAAGGTACGAATACCTAATTGCGAAGTGTATTTATCTGCGCACTACCTTCAATCTTTTCAATTAATTAATCATAAATAGGTACGATCACTCTGATCATTATCACTAGTCCGAAATTTCAGATCTCGCTCCGTGGGTTGTTGCGTGTGTGTATTTGTCTGCAAAGATTCGAATGAAAAGAGAACCGAATACACAGTCGTCTTTTATTTCGCATCAAAAACGGGAGTGAGCCCACCTCTCCCACTCACACACACACACACACACACACACACGGTCATCCATTCGATACCGAGGCCAAGTTCTCTCACAGACTCGACCTTATCAGGCACACTCACACTATGATGAGCCACCCGTTGAATAGAAATATCTTTGTAGTGAGTGGTACCGGACTTTGATCCTATTTAGTTGATGTGCCAGAGGAGTTGGTGGTTGAACCCTATCACACCATCATCAACATCAACAACATCAACAACAACATAAAGACCACCCAAACCCGAGGGCAGACAGGTGACTGCTACTACCTTGGGCACCAGCACTCTGCCCAGAGACTCACTCTCGACCTACAACATGTAATCACTACAACATCATTCAATCAATTAATCATTCATTCATTCAATCAACCAATCAAACATATATAATATAATATATAACATGTTCAAGTTATCCTTTGTATTGTTGGTGGCAGCTGTGATGATGGCCTCCACCTCCATCACAGAGGCACAGAGCTGTTCATTCAACTGCACGGACAACCGCGCATACTGTGGATCCGAGCTGCTGCACGTCTGCCCAGACATCAACCCAACCGACTTGTGGCAGTGTGTCACTCGCAACCAGAACCCACTGCGCAGACTCGGCTGTCAAAACGGCTGCCAGGTCAACAGCGCCCCAGCTTCAGACACTTGCATCCCCGACGACAAGTCCTGCACATGCCCCGACACCTCGGACCACTGCGGCTCCGTGCTCGCCAAGCAGAGCGGCAAGAACTGCCAGTCGCTCGACCCCAACGCCCTGTACCAGTGCGAGGGTGCCGGTCTGTACCCATCGTGGCGCTGGACATGCCCAACCGGCTGCATCCAGAACGGCCCAAAGGTGAACGACACCTGTGACAAGGGACCATCCAACGTGGTCGGCCTCACCAAGATCAAGCACATCGTCATCTTCATGCAGGAGAACCGTGCCTTTGATAACTACTACGGCACTTTGCCCGGAGTGTGTAACTTCAAGGACCCCAACGCCATCATCCAGGACAACGGCCTGCCCATCTTCTACCAGCCAGACTCCAACTCGCCAGACCACAAGAGCAACATCACCTACGCTCTGCCCTTCCCAATTACCGGACCAAAGGCCGGCTGCACTTCTGGAGGCTCCAACGCTTGGTCGCCCAACCACGCCGCCTGGAACAACGGACTGAACAACAACTGGCCCGCCGGCAACACCGCCGCCTCCTTGGGCTACTTGACTCAGGCCAACGTGCCATTCTACTTTGAGCTGGCCGACCAGTTCACCATCGCCGACAAGTACTACGAGTCGATCATGTCGTCGACCAACCCCAACCGTCTGGTGCTCTGGACCGGTACGATCGACGCCCGTGGCTCCACCCCACGTGGCCCATCCATCGACAACACCGAGACCCCACCATTCACCTGGATCACCGTCCCCGAGCTGCTCGAGGATGCTGGCATCTCGTGGCGCGTATACCAAGACGAGGACAACTTTGACGACAACGCCCTCGCCTGGTTCGAGCAGTACCAGAAGGCACCAAAGAACTCGCCACTCAACGTCAACGGTGTCAGCTACTTTGGTCTGACTACCTTCTTTGACCAAGCCATGAACGGCACTTTGCCCCAGGTCTCCTGGGTCGTCGGCCCAACCGAGCTGTCCGAGCATCCAGACAACGGACCAATGGCCGGCCAGTGGCTCACGCAGCAGGTCGTCAACGCCGTCAAGAATGGATCCGCCTGGGACAGCACCGTCCTCCTGATCGATTACGACGAGAGTGGTGGATTCTGGGACCACATCGTCCCACCCATCGCCCCATACGGAACATTGGACGAGTGGATCAACTCTGAGGGTCCACAGCCAATCGGACCAGGCCAGCGTGTGCCAGCCTTTGTCGTGTCGCCCTGGAGCACTGGTGGCGTCGTCTTCACCGAGCCATCCGATCACACCTCCGTCATCCAGTTTGTCGAGCAGTGGGCCATCGCCAACGGCTACGACGCCGGCAAGGTCCAATCGCCACTCATCTCCACCTACCGCCGTAACTTCATGTCCGACTTCACCCGCGCTCTCGACTTCTCCAACGCCAACCTTAGCGTTCCAGACACTGCCCCAATGCCCATGCCATCAAAGGTATGTCCTGGATTGATTGGAATCATTCCATCACACACTCACACACTCACTCACTCATACTAACTCACTCAATCAATCAATCAAACATGACAGGACAAGCACGGCAACTGGAACCCAACTGAGGAGTGTGAGGACTTGCCAGGTCCATACCCATCAATTCCATACGGCAACCAGGTGTTCCCAGAGGTCGAGGCTGGTTACTTGGCTGTTCGTGGCAACAACCCAGGCTTGGGCCGCACTTACGTGTTCCAGTCGGGCAACTTGGCCATTCAGCAATCGGGCACCTCAATCAACATGGGCACCGTGTCGCCAACCAAGACCAACGCCATCCAACAGTTCATCATGGGTGAGACCGCTGGCGTTCTGGGCAACCAGATCATTGCCAACAACGGACTCTGTCTGAACGGTGCCGGCCACTTGGCCACCTGCAGCGCCTCCTCCGACAACTGGTTCGTCCTAGACCAGGGTAACGGCGAGGGCTACGTCTTCTACAACATCCCATCCGGCCAATACCTCAAGTACTCTGGCTCCTCCTTCTCGCTCTCTGCTTCGATCAGCACCACCTTCACCCTCTACTCTGTTTAAGTTCATCTATGGTTTTGATGTGTCCATGCGTGTAAGCTGCGAAGTGTCACCATCCTCATCAATCAATCATTAAACTAAATATTCTTGATGCGCGTCATTGCCATCCCGACGACTATGAACTACTAGTGTCACATGGTTATTGGAATGATTCCACCCCACCACACAAATATCTGATCAGTTTGTGATTGGTTGATCATTCTCACACTAACCCACCCCATCTGTCTTGTTTCCTTTCAAATAAAACGACCAACTTGACGAAAGTTGCAAAGCCACCCATAAACAATGCAATGTTGTGATGTTTGACAAAGTGTCACGTCTCATTGGACCACTTACCCAACAACAATGTTATAACATTACATCGCCAATCATTCAATCAATCATATATATAATACATACATACTTGCAAGAGATACAATGTACATTACATTTGCAACATCATAGATACATTATAAAGAGATAACGACATTACTTATTTATTTATTTGATTGTAATATTAGTAGTTAGATAGAGTTAGTTAGTTAGTTAGTGTGAGGAAGGAAGGATGTCTAGACTCCCAGAGACAATCATAAATGACACGGCGTTACCTAGTACGCCAATTGGCTTCTTTGAGAGGATGAAGAAGCAGAGGTCAATGATGAGTATGGCAGAGTTCCCACCAGAGGCTCCACCAACAGACATGGTCACCAAAGTGCTCCAACACACCTCCTCAGAGACAGACATGCATTCCAAGCGTATCCAGAACACTCCAATCTATCAAGCTACATCAACCTCATCTCCGACTCATTCTCCGAGTAAGAGTCCGAGTCCAAGTCCGACCAACGCACCAACATCAACATCAGCAACATCATCAGCAACAGCGACTCCGACTACCACAAAGACAAAGACAAAGAAGAGTCAAGATGATGATGACGAGGGTATCATTATATTTAGACCAAAGAATGTTACAAGGTTGACGGCTAAACGACAGGCATGGGACGACTATGCCTTCTTGTTCAACAGAGAAGAGGTCCGCGCCTGGCTCGAAGAATGTTTGGACCATTCATTCGACGAAGAGGACCTATTCCTCGCTCTAATCGATGGTGTAAGTATGCCTACCCTTCATTATTCCACTCATTCAATCACTCATTCATTCATTCAATCACTCATTCATTCATTCAATCATTCATTCATGAGATAGATATGGCTATGTAAGCTGGCAAACATCATCAAACCAGGTATTATCAGGAGGATACACAAGACCAACTCACCATCTTATATGAAGTTGGAGAACATCAACTTCTTCTTGTGTGCATGTCTTGAACTTGGTGTCAAGGCCGACTATCTATTCCTGCCAACAGACCTCTATGAGAAGAAGAACCTCAAGAAGGTGATCTACTGTCTCCTAGCACTCTCCATTGAAGGTACGTGTTGTCATTCATTCAATCAATCAATCAACATTGTTGACTAACATACATCCAGGTGGCAAGCGAGGACTTAAACACAAGTTGAGCATCACGGTGTTCAGCTCGAATGGACAACAACAAACTGTTGGCCATCTGCCTTCATCTGGACCAGGTCAATCCAATGCTATATTGAGTGGAGGTGGTTCCTCACCAGCTTCATCATCAACATCTTCGTCCTCATCATCATCAACAACAATGACGATTGATAATGTAGAGGATATACCATTGCCACCTATGCTAAAGATGAAGAAGAGAAAGAAGAAGAAGAAGAAGGCAGCTGCTGCACAGCAACAACAGGAGCAGATGGAACAACAGCTTCAGTTGGAGCAACAACAGTTCGAGAAAGAGCAACGTGATCAACTGATGTTGGAGAAACAACAACTCGAGCAGCAGATGCTTGAGCAACAAGCACTGGAGCAACAAAGACTTGAACAACTGAGGCTAGAGGAGCTGGAGCTCGAGCAACAGAGACTGGAGCAACAAAGACTTGAACAACTGAGGCTGGAGGAGCTAGAGCGCGAGCAACTCGAACAACAAAGGCTTGAGAAACAGAGACTTGAGCAACAAAGGCTGGAGGAACTCGAGCGCCAGCAGTTACTGGAGCAACAAAGGTTTGAGCAACAGAGACTTGAGCAACAGAGACAGGAGGAGCTACAACGTGAACAACAGCTTGAGCAACAAAGATTGGAGCAACAAAGACTGGAGCTACAGAGACTTGAGCAACAAAGGCAGGAGCAACAAAGGCTAGAGCAACAACAGAGGCTAGAGGATCTACAACGTGAACAACAGCAACTTGAGCAACAGAGACTTGATCAACAAAGGTTGGAGCAACTACTAGAACAGCAGAGACTTGATCAACAGAGCCTTAAGGAGCAACAAATGTTGGAGCGACAGCGTCATCTTGATCAACAATTGCTAGAGGAGAAACGCGAGCATGATATGATTGTACAGAGGAGGTTGGAGCAGCAGCAACAGGAGCAGCAGGATGAGCAAAGGAGATTGGACCAGCAACATCATGATCAGCAGATTCTGGAACAACAGCTCCAACAAGATAAACTCGAGCAACAGAGAATCGAGAGCCAGATACTTCTAGATCAACAACTGCTTGATCAACAGCGCGAGCAACAACAGAGACAGGAGGAGCAAGCTCGCCAGCAGCTGCTTGAGCAACAGAGACTGGAGGAGCAAGCTCGCCAGCAGCTGCTTGAGCAACAGAGACTGGAGGAGCTAGAGCGCCAGCAGCTACTTGAGCAACAACTACGTGAGCAAAAGAGACTGGAGGAGCAAGCTCACCAGCAGCTACTGGAGCAACAGAGACAGGAGGAGCAAGCTCGCCAGCAGCTACTTGAACAGCAGAGACTGGAGGAGCAAGCTCACCAGCAGCTGCTTGAACAACAGAGACTTGAGCAACAGAGACTGGAGGAGCTGGAGCGTGAGCAGCAAATCGAACAACAGAGGCTTGAGCAACAGAGACTTGAGGAGCTAGCGCGCCAGCAGCTACTTGAGCAACAGAGACTTGAGCATCTACAATGCGAGCAACAGAGACTTGAGGAGCTAGCGCGCCAACAGCTACTTGAGCAACAGCTACTTGAGCAACAGACAACTGCTATCCAAATGCATTCAGAGTTGGAGGTTAGTCAACAAGTCACACTTGAGACAACAACATATCAGATCAACACCTCCACACAATCAGCTGACAATGTGGATAGCCTACAACATGATATACCTGTTGATAAGGAGACCACTACGGCGATCCAGTCTTTAGAGTTGGACACTCAAACAGAGATCACTACTGTTGTTGCTACACAGACCAAGCATGTTGTCGTCGACCATCAGGTGATTGAGTTGAATCACTCGAGCACCCAATCAACCTCTCCAAGCGAAGCCGATTCGCATGGACTCATCACTTCTGGGACCGTGGAGCACTCCGACTCTGCTTTGGCATCAAACACCAGCACCAACACTGACACCATCATTAACGATATCGATCACGATTCTTTGGTCGAGACAGCCAGTTGCGTGTCAACTTCCACGACAGTTGTCGAGACTTCCAAGCAATGCACCTCTGAGTTGGTCGACACCTCATCCACATTCAATATCGTCTCGTCGGACCAGATTGAACACTCATCAGACGACAGCAGCCATATGAGTATTCAATCCAACACAGTCACCTCCACTATAATCTCCACATCAGAGCATGAGATCACTCAGACACATGTGTCCATCGATTCCAGCTCCAATGAGATATCATCCAATCAACAATCAAAATCAACCATTGTATCCACCGTGATTGATTCGGATGCGACCGAGCAGTCAACTACCAAGGTTGAGACATTATCGGCGGTCAATAACACCACGGCCATTGCTGAGCAGTCCACATCAGAGACAGACCCAACATGCACCAATGCACAACAGCAACAACAATCGAACTCTTCACAGCATGGTCTGGGGGATAGCATACTGCCAACAAGTCCAGAGTCATCATCACAATCAACTACTTCACAACAGACTCCTCTCGAGTCCACTTCAAGCCATTCAAGCTCAGAGTTGCCATCAAACTTGATGCTATCTGATTCGGAATTCCCAAAGGATAGCCTGGCACCACAGTCAGTCGAGACCCATACAAAGACTCAGACCCAGACCCAGACCCTTCCGCCTCCAATCTCTCCAGAGACTGCGCGACCCGCACAACCATCACAAGAAGTCCTAGTCCAAGCATCAGTGACAGATGAGACTGTGACCACCTCAAACTGCACATCCACGACAATATCCGCCACCCAATCAACGATACATCAGACTGCAACAAACATACAGGCGGCTTCAAAGGACGTGTTAACTGTTGCAACAGAATCTACCTCCTCTACTCCCAGCAACAATGTCCCTCGAGGAGTTTCCTTGTCCTCTTTCTTGAACCACAAGAGGGAGTACGACGAGGCAAACAAGTATAGACTGGAGCAACAGCAGAGAAGATCTACAATGACCGCACCACTGACCAGTTCGTCATCCTCCGCATGGGTGCCATCTCGACGATCAATCGATGCCAACATCACAAAGTCCAGCAGCATTGGCAGCGGAGCCAGCAGCAACAACAGGGGATCCATGACCAAGGCCGAGTTTGATGCATTGATCAACACAAAGTTCAACATTGCCTCTGCAGACGATGACGATGAGGACGATGAGGAGGACAGTGACGACGATGATGAAGATGACGACAGCGATGACAGCAACGACAGTTCCGAGGACTTCCAATCTTCCATCTCTGGTGCCGATGTCATGAAGATCATGAACAGTGTAGTCGATGATGATGACATGGAGATCATTGCCATGGATGAGACTGATCTTCTAATCCAATCACTCAACTCTGAAGAGTTTGATGACAATGCCACATCATTGGAGGACACCACCATCTCCACCGCCACTGCCAATGCCACGACCACATCTTCAACAACATCCAACAATGTACAGAAACATCATTCAAACGAGGCCAGCATCAATCTTCATGAGCAGTTCTTGAAGTCAGTGACCACTGACACCTCACCTGATCGATCAGGTGTCGAGACTGATTCAGTGGGTGACAGCGATCATGGTCATGACGACACTTCGATATCAACAACCATTTCACAATCAAGTCAAGGAGGTGCTACTTCCATGACTGATGACCAGTTGACAACATCTACATCGACTACTACACACGCCAGCACTGTTGATTCAGTTCAGCAGGAGCATTCTGGTACTACATCTACTACTTCTTCACAGGCCAGTTCCACAACGACAAAGACCGCTGCCGCTGCCGCCATCACATCTACCAAGTCGACTACTGCTATATCCAACAGCAATGTATCATCCCCAATGGCTGGAGTTGGATCACCAATCACACCAAAGACCTCATTGTTGAGGCGACCAATGTCTAGGCAATCCTCTCCCCTGGCAAGCCCCTCTGTCACTGTCAACACTCCCTCGCCATCGTCCACCTCCACCACCTCCACCTCCACAACTACGACAACGACAACTCCCATTGCCACCACGACTACCACACCAATGCCCTCACCACCACGTCCGAAGACACCAATGGCCAGCAAGTTGCCCCCACTTAGACCCTTGTCGCGACAGTCTGCCCTCGTGCCCGAGATCAAACAGAGCAATATCACCAACCCTGGAGCAGTCGAGACCATCACAACCATTACAACGACCATTGTTACCACGGTGGTTGAGGAGTCACCCACCAAGAAGCCTGCTGGCGCATTGACTGAAGCTGAAGACCCCATTGTTGACTTTGGCAGCGAACTAGATGTCGACCTCGATCTCGACAATGATGTGAAGGCTGACAATGACGACACAAAACAGGCTGACATGGTCCAGAACAAGGACATTGAGCGCAAGGACTACTCGTACCATCGCACCTTCCACTCAGTGACCAACCATCCACCCTACAAGCCACTGGCCAACGACAACACAGACAAGACATTCGCACATTTCTTGAACAACACGATGAAGAGTGTGCTACCGCCATCCATTGTGCTCCCTAGCAACATCCAACGTATCGCGCCCAACAAGTACAAGTGGGGCGACACGGTCGTCAACATGAAGTGCGTCAACAACATCATTGTGGTGCGTGTGGGTGGTGGATGGATGACACTGAAGGACTTCCTCATCCGCTACAACTCAGTGATCATGGCTGCAGACATTGACAAGGTAGTGGACATGGACCAGGACGAGATGACCAAGATGCAGATTCAAAAGACGTTCGTTGGGGAGAATGGCGAGGTTAAGACATCGCAGAACCGCTCGCCCTCGCGCACTGGACGACCAGTGGTCAAGGCCACCAAGACCATACTACGAGCGGGCACCCCCATTCCTGGCCAGGGACCATTGCGAGCAGGTACACCACTGCCGAACTCCATACGCTCAGGTACACCTCTGCCTCCCAACTCCAAGTCTCCTCAACTGCCAGGCAGTGACAGCATCGATTACAAACTTGGTACACATCGCACTCAAGTGTCATCGGGAACACCACATCGAGACTTTTCAAAGACCATGGTGCAGCCATCGACTGCATCACCAAAGTTGAAGCCCGCTGTGCCACCAAGATCAACAGCAACGACGACAGCAACAGGTACACCTACCAAGGCGCCAATCAAACCCGCGCCAGCCAAACCATCGCCATCGTCATCATCATCACTCTCGAGGACTATGCCAGCATCATCGTCCTCAGCTTTGAAGTCACCAACCAGCAGTACAACTACCAGTAGTAGTACAACCAAACCATCAACAACAAGTGGAACTAAAACGCCAACCTTGTCAACAACAACCAAACTATCGACGACTCTATCTTCAACATCATCATCACCATCATCGACCACCACAACCACTACCAAATCACCATCGATATCCAAGTCAATAGCATCCAGTATATCACCATCAGCAATCAGTTCCAAGACCAAATCACTGTTGGGAATCAAGAGCAAAGACAGTACAACCACTGCCACCAAGAAATAAATGTAATCGGTATTATTATTTTTATTCATGTGATCATATCAACTGGAATGATTAATTGTTTGATTGGGTGTGCGTGGAAAACACATGGAAAAGTCGATTGTGATTAGGACCATGGGGGTCACATCGCAGGACCAGACCTCTTCAAACTCTTGAATATCTTCTTGATCACTCATTTCATTCATCTGATCATGTGACTTATACATACATCGTCTCTGAATAAGCATCATCATCAACAGTATCATTAGATAGAGATACACAAAGAGATAGATAGACATCAATCAAACAATCATAAATCAATCAATCAATCAAACAAAAAGAGAGAGGAGAGAGAGAAGATGACAACAAATGATAATTTTAAGGGCATGTTGCAAGAACTGGCACAGAAGAGAGGATACCTTGTACCTGTGTATGTTGATTTGATTCCTGCACCAGATGGAAATGGTGGATATTGGTTCAGCGCAGAGGTGAAGCTTCATTTCAACCAGCAAGACTTCTGTGCAGTGGGCAAAGCAGCGCGTACAAAGAAGGATGCTCAAAAGAATGCCGCCTATGCTGTGATGACTATCATTCAGCAGCAATTCCCAAATGATCGCATCCTCCCAGGTCAGTCAAGTCCAGGACAGTCATCATCATCATCGTACGGTGGTTCTGAACCAAAGTCTTCATATTCCCAGTCATCATATTCCCAGCCACCGCCTCAGTCTTCATATTCCCAGCCACCACCTCAGTCTTCATATTCCCAGTCATCATATTCCCAGCCACCACCTCAGTCATCATATTCCCAGCCACCGCCTCAGTCATCATATTCCCAGCCACCACCTCAGTCATCATATACCCAGCCACCACCACCTCAGTCATCATATTCACAGCCACATCCAAAGATGGAGACAGAGGGAAGGTCTTTCCCTGGTGTCGTGCCAGACAACACTGAATTGATCAAGTTAAAGCTGGAGTTACATGAGACTACCATCAAGAAGCTTACTGAACGTTGTGATCTTCTTGAGAGAAAGTATGAAGAGGTAACTGACAAGTTAGGAAAGACTGAGGCCGAGCTCAAAGAGTACGTTGACAAACAGGTCAAGATCAAGTCTGCTAGCAGTGGCAATGGTAATGAAAGTGGCAATGGCAATAGTGGCAGTGTCCGCAATGGTGATAATCAGCGCCAAAGACAACAGATCGTGGCGGACGAGGAGTTGGCCAATGAACCAACGATCTTCAAACTGGACGAGGAGGTGTTGGACAAGAAGTACAATGATAATATACCGTTCTATCGCTACCAGCTATTGTTCAGTCATGGCGCCAACAAGAGCATCTTCTTCCATGCGGGCCAGGAGTACCAATTCAAAGGCTACTGGCTGTACTCAACCGAGGTATTCCCCAAGCCAACTGTCACTTTGATGGCCAACAACAAGGTAGCATTCAGTGTGACGATCAAAGAGGCGCACACCGACTACATCGGCCGCGATGACTTTGCCCGTATGCTCACCTTCCACAACTTCTTTTATGTGAATGTGTTGGGCAAGACTACGATGAAGAACTCGAGAGACGACGACATGTACTTTGTGCCGCGAGTCGAGTGTATCACCAACCCGTCCAAGTCATACTTCCAGACGTTGATTGACCTGATCACTGCCGAGGACATCTCCAAGGCACCGTCCGCCAAGCCTGGCTCGAGTGAGTTCCACGCACATTACGACAAGCGCTGTCTTCGCAAGGTGCTCCAGTCGCCCGGAGCCAAGTTTATAGTGTGTCGCAAAGTGGACTACAGTGCAGACGGCAAGGACAAGACAGGCCGTCCGTCACTGTGGTGTGTGCCCTCCAAGAAGGTGTCGTACTCCCTCTTCTTCCCCGATCAGTACTCCACACCAGCTGACAACCCCAACGTGATTGATGCGCCCATTCAATGGGTGACCGAGGCGGATGAGACCAACACGATCCACTGGGAGAACTATATCAAGAAGAGCAAACACATGGATGTCTACGACGCGGTTAGGACGCTCGGTATCACCGCCGAGATGCACGACATTGCCAAAGCCATAGTCTCGCAGATGCATCCCAAGATCGTCGGGTCCAATCAGTTGCAACGCCTCAAGGATGTAGTGAGCGTACGCAACCCAAGGAAACTTCGCGAGGTCTTCACACCACGACGCCAGCTGACCCACATCCCACCAAACTACATCGCACTCGTTGGCAATGATTGTCCGTACGGTGACAATCAACGCGTTGCCTTCTTAGGCGAGTCACTTCTAAACTTTTGCACAGGGTAGGTATTGACTTGCCCTTGCCCTCGCCCTTGCCCTCGCCCTCGCCCTAACCCATCGCTCAACCAACCAACCTCCTCACAGACTGTATGAGTTCTCCAAGTATCCCAATGCGACTGAGAGATTGTTGACGACTCGTTGTGTGGATGCGACCAGCAATGAGAAGTTACAATCAGTGTATGATCGTTTCAAAGTGGACTTTTCAAAGTTGGCACCAAACATCCGAACAGACAAGGACATCAAGTTGGCACAGGCTGATATTGTCAGAGCATTGTTTGGACTGGTCTACCTTGAGAAGGGCATCAACGAAGCCTATGAATTCATCAATGGACTGGTCTTTAATGACACCAAGTCATTCCAATTTCCCACTTCCTACGATTGCCAACATCGTGTTGAGAAGGAGTTGAGTAAGTACATGGCTTGGATTGGATTCGATGAACTACACTCAAAGTACTGACACCCTTGGAATCAATCAAACAGATGACGATCAGAAGCAATTCTTATTCTTGTTGGATATCAAGATAAGACGTGAATGTCTCTTCCATGAAGCATTCCAAGGAATTAACAACATCAACGCCTTTGAGAGACTCAGGTTCCTTGGCAACACTTATCTTGATCTTGTCGTCTCTGATTTCATCTACAACACATACCAAAAGGAGCCGAGTAGGTATTGTCCACCTCACTCAAACACTTGATCAATCACTAATCAATCAATCAACCAATCAATGAATAGGAGAATACCTGGAAACATGCCGAGCGGTCTTTTTGAAGAATGAACACTTGGCGATGATCAGCCATAGGATCAAGATCAGAGAGGGCATCTTGGACAAGCCTCAACTATCAATCAAACAGATGGGCGAGTTCTTCTTGTCATTGATTGGATTCATGTACTTGGATATTGGTGCCCAGGACACGAAGCTACAGATCCAAAAGTTGTTGCCTCTTACTGAGGCAGCCATTACAGAGGCGCTCGAGGCTCATCAGGCCAGCGCACGCCCGGTCTGCGACTCGACACATTCAATTCCAAGTACCAACCAGGACATTACAATACCACTGGCCATCAAGGACTCTTTTGATTATCAACATTGTCCTAGCAGTGCATCATCATCATCAACTTGTGAGCAAGTTGTTGTTCCACTGGCGATTCCAAATCACGTCAACCACAATAGCACAATCAGTAATAGTACAACTACAACTACCACCACCAATACCAAGGATTATAATCATCAGTTCGTAATGGATGATAACTCTGATCAATGAATAAATTATTGAATTAAATTTGATCCATTAATTATTTTCGTGATCCATCTCTACAACATTTTGTTTTAGATCGCGAACTTTGGCACAAGCATTCATTAGTTTGATCATTACAATCAATGTCTAACAATAATAATAACGATAACATATATTCAGACATAGGATATAGAGACAATGATCAGTTGATGAATGATTTCACAAAGAGACTGAAATGTCTCTATCATCAAATGACTCATATACCTCATATGATGCAATTGTTGGCATTGGAGTATCCTCAGGTGTTCAACGCGAAAGCTGAGCTGATACTAAATGATGCTCTTCAACAGATGATATATGAGAGCGTGCTACATCAGGCAGACAGGCCTTCCCGCTCATACTATCTACGCTTTGTCAAACTGTTGATCGAGACACTGGAGCGACATGACCAGGCGATCAACGAGACAATCTTGGAGGACTTCACTACATCGTATTCAGCGCAGGCACCCGCCAAGGAGTACATATACAAGTCGTACTGTATCACTGATGACAAATGGATCACACTAAAGAACGAGGCTGTCTACAACCTCGTCGGCATGACAACATGGGGCGCTGCATATCTCTTGTCCGACTTCATCCTGGCCAACAAACAACTCTTTCAAGGACACTCAGTACTAGAACTTGGCGCTGGCACAGGCCTAGTCGGAGTCGTACTCAATCAACTCAAACCAGACATCAAACAAGTGGTCCTCACAGACTATGCCCCAGTCGTACTTAACAATCTCATTGACAACATGAACATAAGTATGTCGTTTGGAATTAACGACTGTGATTGATCACTAACACGAACATCAACACTCACATAGATGGCATCCAAGTCAATGACCTTGTGAGCAACAACACGAATGATCAATCATCAAAGAAGGAGGATATGTCAGTGGTCGAGTTTGATTGGGAGGCAGACTTTGATCAATGCGATCCATTTGTTAAACAATGTGAAGTGATTGTTGGCGCAGACATTGTTTACGAACCATCATTATGTCGTTATTTAGTATCAGTACTCAATCAATTACTTCAACATGGCAATAATCGTGTGGCATACATTGCATCAACAATTAGAAACGAGTCCACATTTGCAACATTCCAACAAGTATTGGACGAACATCAACTCCTCGTCACGGACATCACTCACACCTCATCCTATCTCACACCATCACCATTCGAATATGATCGTACTCAAATAGTACTATTCCAAATACAGCTGCGGCCAACACATTAATAATGCCCCCCTGGAACTATTCCAACACTATCCGTTGTTTATTTCAAACAAGACGTGATGTTTGAATTTGAATGTAATGTAATGGTGGCGCCAAAACTATTAGAAACGGATAAAATTATGTAAAAAATATGAATTTGAATGGTAGAGATCAGTTTTATTTTTTTTCTGGAAGTGAGTGAACATACACCCCTACCTTTGGATCTTCACGCACACACAAACAAATACATTCACGTGACCTGTCTGTTGAACAACAAGCCAATCCAACAGCCAAGCTAGCCACACATCTCAACTCTTCATACATCTTTATCTCGTGCGCACACATCCAATCCTCGCAACACTAATATATATCGTATTGCCGCGCGCGCTAACACACACACGACTACTACCAACATCCATTCATTCATTCCATTCATTCATATTTATTCACATCCACTAACTTTATTCATTCATTCATATTCATTCATCCATTAACTTCTTTTATTTATAATATAAATATACAAAAAAAGGAAGAATGAGCGAGAGTACTAAGAAGAAGGTTGTCAAGAAGACATCGAGCAGATCAGCCGATAAGGAGAAGGATAGAGAGGTCGAAGCTCAGGTATCAGAGTTGGAGGATGAGAGCGATATTTCATCATCACAGAGATCTGAGAAGAAAAAGAGCAGCAGGACCACTAGTAGCAGGTCCAAGGCGGCAAAGGAGGCCACCGCCTCGCAGCAAGAGAACGTCATCGAGACTCAGTCAGAGATGTCATCGTCCACAATGGTCTCGTCGACCACCGTCACCAGCGGCTCGCGCACACCCAGCCGCATCTCCAACGGCTCGGCAATTGGCGACGCACCCGTCACCCCCCTGTCCAAGTTCTTTGGCTCGTCCACCAGCACACCATCGTCGCCCGGCACCCGTCTCTCCGTGACCAATCGTCTGCGCGAGAGAGAGGAGCTCAGCGAGCTCACCAGAAGAGTGGCCATCCTGGCTGCCGCCGTCGAGGAGAAGAACAAAGAGATTGCTAGTCTGCAGGCTGAGCACGGCCACCATAACCGCGTCACCACCGCTGAGCTCCACGACCTGAGGACGCGTCTCGAGCAGGCAGAGACCACGGCCTCGATGGAGATCAAGCTGCGCACCGAGCTCCAGATGCAGCTGGACCGCGTGCTGGCCGACCTCAAGAACAAAGAGGACTCTCTGATGAACGAGCGCGCCAACTCTGATCGCCGTCTCGAGTCGATGATTGGCGAGCTCACAAAGGAGCACACTCATCAGTTGACACTCCTACGCACTGATCTCACCAAGCGCATCAGCGAGAATGAGATGCTAAAGAATGAGGTCAAGATGCTCTCGGCCGACCTCCTCACCAAGGGCAAGGAGCAAGACGAGAAGACACGTAGACTGCTCCAAGCAGAGTACGATCGTTTGAAGCATAAGGAGGACGATCTCAGAAACACAATCAATCTCAAGGAGTCAGACATCAAGAAGCTTCGTACCGACTTGAAGGATAAGGTATGTGATCGAGTGAGTGATTGAGTGAGGGGCACACACGACTAACATGTCACGACAACAACAACAGGATAAGCTCATTTCAGAATCTTTGAGAAAGGAATCAGAGCTGCAACAGACAGTCGAGGCATTTGAGAGACAGAAGGAGGATATGAGAGATAGTATCGATAGAGATTGGGAGCTCAGGATTGCACAGGCTGTCGAGGAGCACAACGCCAAGATGGTCGAGATGCAGGTGTCTGTCACCAACTTTGACGAGGAGAGGGATTCATTCCGCCAACAGATCAACGTGTTGTTCAAGCAGAATGAGGATATGGACCTCAGGAACCACGAGCTCAGCGATCGCATCGGGGACTTGTCTGGCCAGATTGCCAACAAGGACGTCACTATCCACACGCTCACCACCGACATTGAGGACCTGAAGAAGCACCTCCACCGCTACAAGGCCGAGTCCAAGAACAAGGACAACAGGATCTCCTTGCTGCAGGACCAGATGAACACCAAGGAGCTCAAGTACACATCGTACCACGCCGAGATGTCAAAGATGAAGCAGGAGCTCTACACTGTGCAGTCGCAGAACATGGAGCCAGACGTCCCACTCACACGCGAGATCGAGCGTCTGAAGGAGGTCGTCAGCAACGTCGAGGACTCGGTGTTCAAGAGAGACAGGAAGCGTCTCAGAAAGACATACGAGTCACAAGAGTCGTCAGACGTAGAGAGCCTCGAGAACTCTGAGGAGCAATCGCTGTCGTCGATGGGCATTGCCAATCAATCGCTCGAGGTCAACACCATGTCGATCTTCTCGATCGACACGTCAAAGGGCTGCATCAAGCTCACAGTCAAGGGCGACTTCCACGAGGGTCTGTCCATCACTGGCTGGAAGCTCATCGTCGTCAAGCCCAACGACGAGAAGTTTGGCTTCTCGTTCCCAGACAACATCCATCCAATCAAGGGCATCCAGCTGGTCCATGTGCTGACCGGACTCTCCCGCCCACAGAATGTTCAGACACCAGAGTACGAGTTCTACTGGGCCCGTCAAGGTCTCTGGGACATGCCAGAGGGTACCACCGTCAAACTAGTAACGCCATCCAATGAGATCAAGGGTACCATTCAGTTGCCAGCCAGTGGAATATACATCAAGGACGATGCCATTGTAAGTATCTCAATTCATTAGTTCATTCATTCAATTGACTAACAATCAAACGATCAACCAATCAATCAAATATGTACAGAAGCCCGAAGGTAATAACTGTTTAATTATGTAATTAATGAATGATGAATCATCAATGAACGGAGAGAGACATGGAGATAGAGATGAATAATGAATGAATCAAATGAGATAGATAATATCAATCAGTCAGTCAATAAAGTACCAAAGATCAAGCAAGTAGATCTTTATTAATTAATTAATTGGTCTAGATGAGTGTGGCAATAACTTCTTTGTAGTTGCCACTGTGGACGGTCACCATGGATGGACTCTCTGATGTGGCATCCTTCAAACCGATGGTAATCATCTCTTGGGAGTACTGGAAGCCCAGGAAATCGCCGGGCAAAGGCTGGCTTGGGTAGTAGAGGTTGATCAATATGTTGGGGTAGGCTTGGAATGCAGTCTCAATGTCCTTCATGAACATGTTGTGCTTGACAATGTCGGCAGCACGCATCATCAATGATGGGGTCTTCCAGGCGGTGTTGTTCTCAGCCTTGATGGGCTTGCCAACGATGATTGCATCGATTATGGTGTTCTCGGCGCCAGTCTGTGCACAGAGCTCGGCAGTGTCGGTCACTGGCGTGGCATAAGTTGCACCACCATCCATGAACAACTCTCCACGGATATTAGTAGGTTCGAACAAGCCAGGAATTGAAGCTGAAGCCTTAACCATCAATACGATATCTGGGTCAAGCATATCAGAAAACTTTACAAACAGACCAGTATCATAGCTTGTAGCACCAACCAATATAGTTCTATTGGAAGCGTCAACCTCGGTTTGGTTAAACAGTCCATTCAAGACTATGAGAGAGTTAGTGAGTGTAATGGGATAGATCCAGGTGATAATAATACTTACAAGTCAATAGTGGAGCATCATCCAAGAGACCCTGCTGGAAGAGGAATCCTTCAGTTGGACCACCAGCCCAGTTCTTCCAGATTTCTGATTGATTGAGTCAGGTGTGAGTGTGTGGAATAGTTCCAGATAGTGATTGAATAAGATACTTACGATCTCTGGTTGTTGCCAACCATGTGTCTACAAGGAATTTGGTGGCAGCTTGCTCTTGACCAACACTGTACATTGCCATACCAGCCGTGTTGATAGCACCAGCACTGATCCCTGTGGCCACCTGCCATCTTGACTCTTCTGGTGTACGGATTGAGACCAATCCAGCAGCAACACCAACTTCATATGCACCTCTATCACCAGCACCACTGAAAGTGATAGCTCTGCATGTATTTGTGTTTGATTTGATCGAAGTGGCTGATACCAAAGCCAATGTTGTCAATAACAACAAACAAATAGTAGTGTATCTGTACATTGTATTAAATATATATATATGATTGAATGATTGTTAGATTGATTAATTCTAATGGAATTGAAGCATTGCACTATGTGATTTGATCGAAGCATGGGATGATTCGGGATTCGAATTCCAACAAGATATTTATTTGTTTGTAGACATGCATCATGTCTTTTGGCTGGAATCCGACGACGACTCTTCATCGAACAAATGGGCATGTTACCCTTTTGTCGACAACACTCGATAGATTACATCAACTATGGGCAAATTGCTAGCCCCAAGATGGTCCATCACCCACATTACGTGAATTACTCACTCAATCACTAAATCACAAACAAACTGACCATCACATGATGTGATCAAAGATGTAAATTAATAAGATATTAAGAGTAGGTAGTAAGTTTATTTACGCTTGAGGAAGGTGGCATCACAGAAGTAGGTGTTGCATCCGTTTGGTGCGGATGGGATGGCAGTGAGAGTGTAACCCTCGTCACAGACGGGGATGCTCATGATGCAGACGCCAGCGAGGGTGCAGCCATCGGAGATACGGCAGCGGTTCTCGTCACGGTGGTAGACCTGGACGTTGTCGGCCTGGCACTTGATGAGTGGGAGGGCTGGGCAGGTGACGGATGGGTCGACCAAGTTGACAAAGGCAGAGCGGATGAAGGCAGTGCCGTTGATGAGCTCAGCCTGGACGATAGCCTTGCTTGGGGCGACGGCAGTCAAAACCTTGTTGAAGAACCAGGTGTCATCGAAGTGGCTGTATGAGGTGTATGACTCAGCGAATCCGTTGAGGGTGATGGCAGAGGTGGTGACGTCGTTGACGGCAGTGACTCTGAATGAAGGGCTATAATGTGTTCGGTTGTTTGGTTGTTTGGGTGTGATTGGAATGATTCCATTGATGGTGGTGGGTGGGGATGAGGGTCAGTATTGAATCAAACAAACCTGATCAATCAAGTTGATCAAACATACCATGGAGCAGTCTTGCAGACGATTCCGGTGGACTCGAGGAAGTAGTAGTTACCAGCGCGGATGGCAGCATCGGAGGCAGAGAGTGGGAGCACACGGTAGGCCTGGTCGGCGTTGAAGGTGGCGACGGCGACACCAGAGACGTAGCGGGTGGAGACGAAACCGAAGAGGATGGCGTTTGTGTTGCCGGCCTCAAAGACAGAGGTCTGGTTGACTCTGGCGGCGAATGACAGGCTGTGGATGGTGATGTCGGCGGCGACACCGTTGACGTCAGAGACGACCCACGATGGGCATGGGGCCTTCTTGCAGACGATTCCAGTGGAGCGCAGGAAGAAGTATGAGCTGTCGATGGCGGCGGCAGAGCTGACGGCCATGAGGACGCAAGCAATCAAGATGATGGACTTGTACATTGTTGTATGAGTGTGTGTATCTGTAGGATAGTGTATAACTAGATTGATGATGTTAATGTTCCCATTTGACTCGTCTATTTATGTTGGATGGTTGGTTGGCGGAGAGAGTGAAGTGAGTGGATGAGTGCGTGGAAAGCTGGTGATTGACCATCAACAGGGGGTATCCCTATATGTACGTATGATCATCATTAATGTGGGTATGGGGACGGGGGTCATATGGATATTGATTGATGGTCATACCAACACTTCCTCACTCAATCTCGTCAATCACACTTCACTCATTCATTCAATCAATCACTGATTCTCATACAAGTAACACCGAACGAGTCGTGTCAGGTGACCGTCCACATTTGAAATAATCAAGTAATGGGCATAATGGGTGATCAGAATCATAGGAATTGATTGGAGGGGGTCCGCGGAAGGTCTCCCTTGGGACTACTCGTCCAAACAGGGTGGCTAGGCCTGCCTCCAAGGGCCACGCCCTCCCATTCTTTTTTAAAGTAGGCTCTTACTGTTTTTAGCGCGGGATGAGTGTGAGTGCGCGGTGGAATTGATGACGAAGAGGTCATTTTGATTGAGTTGCGTGATGTTGTTTGGACACCCCAACACTTGATTCGTTCGTTGGCATATAATGGTTACATGGAACCTTGAGCTTGAACCAATGTCCTGCAAACATACCACTACTGTGGGTTTCATCGAACTATCCAGTTGACGCTCCGACACATCGAGCTTGGAACCATCGTCAACACTGACACGCCACTGATCGACACCTTTGTCCGACATTCCTGAATGAAAGAGGCCAATGCAAGTATGATTGAATGAGTGAGTGGTGGTAAAGATCATTGTTTAGTTGGGATATATGACCGTCCGTCTGACCATGTCGTCCATGGACGACTTGACCAGGTCCTTCGAAGTGTGACAATGACGTGCCCCTGCTACCATGCATTCCATTTTTGATCTGATCTGGGAATTGAGCGACTAGGACTTGGGCACGACGGGGATGTGGATGCCCTTGAGCTTCTCGAGGTGCTTGACAACGTTGGTTGCAAATGTGAATAGAACGTTGCCACCCTGCTTGTCAGAAGCAGCGTTGGGTTGTATCTGTTGCTGTTGCTGCTGTGTGTCCATCTCTGATCGAACCATGTCCACCACAAACTGATTGGATTGGTCGCTTGACGTCATGCCATTGGCTGACTCTGGGTTGGCACGGTCGTTCAGGTTCCAATATCTTACCGTATTCAACTTGTAATAGTAGAGTACGGGCAGGTCCACCAGCAGGTCGCTGGTGATCTTGGGCGACAGCTCACTGGTCTTGATGTAATAGCGCACGATCAACTGGAGACATTGTTTTTCGCGACTATGTATCACTGGATCCTTGACCTTGGTGTTGGTCGGTATGATGTCCATCTGGTACTTGGGCATATTGGGTGCGGTTGAGGCGGGAGGACCGCGTAGCAGTCGCAACAGCTCCGAGATAATGAATGGCGGCACACTGAATATCTCCAAGAATGAACTGATTGTCTGTATCCTCGACGAGAACGTATTAACTCTCTTCTTAAAGTATGCAGACAGCAAGTCCATCTCATTCTTTGACAATGATGGTGTCTGGTCAGTCTCTACATGTGATTGATCGAGGGTCGAGGGTTGAGGGTTAGCGATGGGAGATGGCGAGGGTGAGGGCAAGGGCGAGGGTACATACTGTTTGATACATCCAACTCAAAGTAGACGTAGTCTCTAACAAAGATATGGAATGTAAGCTGGTCTGTGATGATCCTAAATGATGAGCTCTGTTTGTGTGTTAGTGGGTCCTGGCCATTGTTCCCTCGCTCGTTCACTCGCTCACAAACACATACCTCTGTCCTTAGACGAGTCTGGAAATGCTTGACAACGTAGGCACTGTTGAGATAGAGGATGATCTTCTCGAGGGGCGCTTGAAGTTGTTTGGTGGACATGAGCCATGATGATCGTTGTCCATTGAGATTGTTGAGCGCCATGGCGCTGAGCTTGTACTCCATGAACTGGGGGAAGTTGGGAATTGGTTGTGGACGAGATCGACTGCCGCCAGAGGTGGACGACGACGATGATGCGGCCTGCTGTTGCTGGATCATCGATGAGTAGTATGAGKTTCTCAATGATGTACTTGTCGGGCGACATCATCTTGATGTCGATGCCAAATGTGTTCTTGTAGTGCAGGCGGAGCTGTGTGGGCGAGCGCGGCACCACCATCAGCTCAAGCGGCTGCACATAGTGATTATTAGAGGTGATAATCGAGTGAATGTAGTAGACAATGTCGTTGGCGAAGGCCACGTTGCGCAGCAGGCCCTCCACAGACAGCGTTTCATTCAGCTCGTTCTCAAACATCGCCAGTAGGGGGTTGCGGAACGGCTGGAAGTCGAGACAGACGCGGCCAGCTGGCCCGCCGCGATTGTGGAACAGCCGCAGCGTGGACATCGAGGCAATGTCGTTCTTGGAGTTGTAAGCGACCTCTACCTCAAGTGGCTGCACGTGGATGATGTTGAAGGGGCTGGCAAACTCGGACGCATGCAGCTGGTGCACGATCTGCGTGGAGATGTCCATCATCCTGTTGACCGCGGCCACATCATACTGGAACTGCGTCAGCCAGTCCGTGCATGTGTTGTACGTGAACGTCCATTGTCCATCGGCCGTGTACACCACAGGGTAGGTGTTGTGGTTGTTGTGTGATTGTAATAGTTGTTGTTGTTGTGGCGCTGTCGAGTAGTTATAATGTTGCTGAGGATTGAGCTCGTGAAAGCTGATGCTGCAGTGAGAGTCGTCGGGGAAGGTGATGGCCATCTGGCGCGTTTGAAGCGTAGAGTGCTGGGGCAGCGCGAGGAAGGTGATGCTCTCGTCGGCAATGCTGTCGTAGTGATGGGGAATCTGACGCGAGTTGAGGTACTGGATCGCAGATTGCACGTTGATGCGCTTCTTGGAGAGCAGCACCAGCTTGGCCAGAAGGCCAAGAATGAATGAATGGAAGAGGGGCGCGTTGAAGCGGAGCTCGCCGCGCTCAAACTGCGACTGCATTGAGCTGAGCTCTTCGTTCTCCAGCTTGATGATCGAGTCCAGCTGCATGATCGATGATTGCGGGGTCGGCCGCGAATAAATAAGATGGAAGGTGGGGACGAACGTCTGAGTATGTACAGTGATGACCAAGTAGAATATGTCGCGGTCCTTTGGGAACCTGATGCACACATAGTTTGGCTCCTGTTGCGCGATGAACAAATCACAAGCCAGCGGTATCTTAAAGAAGCTCTCCAACTTTAAGAACAATGCTGACTCTTGGAAGTATTCCAAAAGTGACTAAAGTTGATTGTTTGATTGAATGTTAGTAAATGGAATGATTCCAATCATTGTGATTGAGTGTACCTTTAGCTTAAGTATGTTGACGATTGATTGTATCTCATTGGCATCATTGTTTATCTTGTTCTCGAGTCCTGGAAGTATGTCTATAGTGTTGAGGAGGAGATGGGAGTTAGTGGCCGCTGGTGAGCATGTGATCAATCAAACGAACAAACATACTTTGTCGCTTAAGGTTGCTGAGTAGAATGTATCTCCCACTTTGAGCATTGATGGAGATGTCCAATACATTGATGCCAAACAGTTGGATGGTCAGAAGGCTTGGTACTGAATCTGTTGTCTCCTCCTCTGCCTCGTGTTTGGTAATATCTCCATCAACATGTTGTAGTTGATGTTGTCTTTGTTGTTTTTGCTTTGCCACCAGTCTAACATCTGTTCGCTCGCTACATGATGATGATGATGCAGTTGACGACCCTACCAGCAAAACATACAACTGATGCAGTCTCTGGTAGGAATGTAGACTGATCGCACGAAGTAATGCAGACTCGAGGCTGAGTGTTGTGAACTAAATGAGGCGTGTATGGGTTGGGTCAGCGATTGTCCAAGGACTTGGTCGCCATCTTCATCTTACATTCTCCAAGAAGGTACTGTTGGTTGGATGACTGACAGGCGGCACATGGCTGATCGATAGCTTATTGTCTGAGATAAATATCTTTGTGTTGATGTTCTTCTTGTCTGTGATGATGATGACGTTAGCGATTGATTGATTGTTTGATTGAGTGCTGGCGTGCCATGAGCTTACCATCGAGACTAGACTGCTGTACGACCATGTCATCTGGAATCCAGTAGAATATGGTGATGATGTTGTCCTTGGCATTGTAGTTACATCGCAGATTCCCTCGCTGGGAGTTCTTCTTTAGTGCCTCGATCTGCGCCACAAGCGTGTCCATCTTGGCATTGATGTTCAAGTATTCTGATTGGTTGATTGATGGAGTGATTGAGTGAGTGAGCGAGTGATCAATTGCCTGACGATGGATGATGTGGTGTAGACATACGAATGATATCATGCATGTCGTGTAAAGGCCGCTGTGATAGGAACAACCTGTTCTGTATGCATTCAGAGATGTGTGCCATGCGAGTGTCATATGCACCCTTGATCAGCTGTGTGTCCTTCTCGCGTCGATCAATAACAAATATCTTGAACGATGACAATAGCCAATTGGACGCTTCATTGCCTCCATCAACCGTCAGGAACACCTCATACTCGCCAGTGACCATAATATGTGCTTTGCCATCATCTGGTGTCGGTTCTCGCGTTAGTCAGTGAGCGTGATCAATCAATCGACGTAACATAACTTACAGACATTGATGGTGTTGAACTCCTTGGGTACATCGCTTCCAAATAGTTTGTAGCTGATGATGTTGTTGAGTCTGTCTTGCGCACTGATGATCTGTGCGCTTGTGAGTGGTGGTGGTGGCAACACCTTCTTGATGTCTGTTGGCATTCTCATGTAGTTGCCAGACGACAATATATCAATGGCAGTCGGTACATCATATATTGGTGCTCGAGCATTCAAAAGACTCTCCTTTGTCATTATAAGCGTGTCAGCAGTCTCCCTAAAGTATCCCTCATGCTGTTCCAGTAATGCTGTCATCTCCTAATATGTTGTGATTGATTGATTGATTAATTGAATGTGTGAATGAATGATCGCAAGGGAGTGATGATGATCGTCATACATTAGCCTTCTTTAGAGTGTTGACATGTGGCGACCACTTCATGACGACGAGAAGCTTGACGAATCGCTCTCTGGTGGCATCGAGGTACTCGACCAGCTGCCTCTTGCGCTCCATGTCTGATTGCTTCTGTAGTGTGGTACTCAGTTCAATGAGACTGTTATATGATTGCTCAACCAGACGATGAATCAACAATGACAGTTTGACCGATGGTCCATGTGGCTGCTGCTGTTGCTGTTGCTGTTGCTGCTGTTGGTCAGGCGGCATCATCTGCATCATCATGCCATTGTGTTGTTGTTGTTGAAAGTTGTTCTGATCATTCATTGAGTTAGTTGGGCTATGTTGTCTATAGTATGATGAGTGATGTGATGTGATGTGAATGAGTGAATGATTGAATGAATGAAGAATGATTGAAGAGTGAAGTTAAAAGATGTGATTAGGGGTTGAAGCGCACATCATCTTGTTATTGGGGGTTTGGTTTGGTCGACTCCAACAACTTAACACTTTGTCATCATTTCAATCATTTACACACACGCACATCATCGGACTTATCACTCACATGTTATACATCTTCTTAAACAAGTTATAACTTCATATATATATTACAATGACGAAGACGATGATACAACGAAAGAATCATGAAGGCTTGATATATTTGGTCTGATAGATTGACTCATTGCCTGAGTCTAGATTGGTACAGGCTCAATGATGGATGAAGTGCGTTGGAGTTGTTGTGATGAGATGAACTTAGGTGAGGTGATCACGTCCTATCTTATCTCATCTCATCTCATCACAACTATTACTTACCTACCTAACCTATATACTTTACATAGTCTTATAGTCTTATATTCACAGTCTAAACAATGGCTAAGAAGGAGTCCAACAACGTTGAGATCTCAATGGATTGCCTGTCCACTATCGAGGAGGAGGAGGATGTTGAGTTACCAATACCTCCTCAGTTAATATCTAATGTTGGTCATCAAGAGGAAGAGGAGGTTGAAGAAGAGGAGGAGGAGGAAGATGATGATGAGGAGTTGGTTGTTGTCAAGCACAGCCACAGCCACATCACCAACAACAACAACAATAACAACAATAACAATAATAACAATAACAAGAACGTAAAGAATAACAAGAAGAGGAAGTTACAGATGGAGAAGTACTTCAAGTTGACATCAGGCAGTAGTAATACACGTGCTGAGCAGACGGTGTTGGTAGAGCATCTGTCCTATTGTGTACTTGAACGTGATTTCCCATTCAAACCAAAGCAACGAGTGACTATCCTACAAGACATATCATTCTACTTGGCTCCAGGCATGATGGTGCTGTTGGTAGCCGGACCAAGCTCTGGCAAGAGTTCACTATTCAAGTGTCTGGTCAACCGGTATCCAAAGAGAGGCATACATCACGGTGATATCCTGTTTGATGGCTATCCCATCAATCCAGAGACGCATCACATGGATACCATCTATGTGTCCCAGATGGACAATCACATACGTATGTCCTTCCTTCCATCATCACTTCCACTCACTCATTCTAACGATCAATCAATCAATATGTAGCCACACTCACTGTCAAGGAGACATTGGACTTTAGTACGGACTGCCAGTCTAACTTGCCAGATGATAAGARGGGTGGAGTTGCGCCAGGTGATATTGGAGATACTGGGTATGAGTCATGTGGAGGATACGGTCATTGGCAATCAATCAATTCGAGGTATATCTGGAGGCCAAAAGAAGAGAATGACGGTAGCCGTCGAGTTGGTCAAAGGCGCCAAGACAATATTCATGGATGAGCCCACAACAGGACTGGACTCGACAACCTCCCTCGAGTTGCTCAACACAATCAAGACGATATCGCAGTCGGCCAACGTACCAGTGATGGTGTCGCTACTACAGCCATCTCCAGAGATCTACTCACTGTTCACTCATGTGTTGATGATGAATGATGGACAGGTCACATTCTTTGGCTCCAAAGACGACGTCATACCCTACTACTCCAGTCTCGGACTACACTGCCAGCCATCCCAGAACCACGCCGACTTCCTCGCCAACATCTACGAGCTCGCCAAGATCAAACAAGACGCACCTGAACTCAAGTCAACCGATGACTTTGTTACTGCCTACCGTCAATCACCTTGTAAGTGTCACCAGACATCCCACTCATTCACTCACTCACTCAATCATCATCATACTCTTAGTGTACATCAACAATTTGAACAAGATAAGGGAGATCAAACACAAGGTGCAACAGAGGTACAAGGAACCACCGACGCTGTTCCAGCTGAGCACGGCCAAGCAGGTGGCCAAGTGTACCAAGCGTGGCTTTGTCACAACGTTCAGGGACCGTTCGGCACTGACGTCGCGTATCCTAAAGAGTGTGATACTGGGCCTGCTCATCGGGAGTCTGTTCTTCAACGTTGGCAACACACAGAAGTCCACCCAGTTGCTTCCATCGCTCACGTTCTTCCTGTTGACGTTTGTAGTGTTTGGTTCGATGGCTGGTGTCACTCAACTATTCCTCGAGCGACCAGTCTACTATGACCAAAGGTACGGGCGATACTACAGTCCCGCTTCATACTTTGCTTCTGGAGTGATCTGCGACCTTGCCACCTACCTCTTTGACGTCATCCTCTTCTCAATGATCTCATACTGGATGGTTGGGCTGGATCACAAGTTTGAACGATTCCTCTTCTTCATTGTCATCCTCTTCATGTATGTATCCTCTTCGTCAACCCTTGCCTTCAACCCTTACCCTAACCCCCTCGCCCTTGCCCTCGCCCTAGATTGGAGTCATTGATCATACGTGTTACCAAGACCATCGCCATCTACTCACCAAATGCAGTGATTGCTAGCACTTTGGCGCCTTCATTCATGTGCCTCTGCCTACTAATGGCCGGCTACATGATACCAACAGTATCAATACCAAACTATTGGATATGGATGCACTACATATCACCATTCAAATGGGCTTACGAGAGCATCCTGATCAATGAGGTCTACGATCATACATATCGATGCAAGATTGATGAGTTCCTGCCTCCTATCGGTCATCCCCTGCTCAATGTCACCTACCCCGATGGCTACCAGGGCTCGCGCGTATGTCCCATCACCACGGGCGCCCAACTCATTGCCTCCAAGGGCATATCCACCGAGATCGATGACAGGTTCCACGCCATATATGTTCTAACCGTCATGTACGGTGTGTTCTTGGCCGCCTCCCTCATTGGCCTTTACAAGATGACCTTTGACACAGTGTCCCGCAAACCCATCAACGCAACAACAACAACTGTTGTTGGCCCACCCCAGCAGCGTCCTGCCGGCCCATCAATGATCTCTGAGGCCAAGATTGACATTCGATCGGCAAAAAAGACTAGCCGAGCCTCATCTGGCGTCGCGGCCATGTCAAAGAAGGAGAATGATGGCTGCTACTTATCGTTCCGCAACCTGTCCTACCGCGTACCACTCAAGAGGAACGACGGTGAGCGAGTCGTTAGGACTTTGCTTGACAATGTCAGTGGCTATGTTGCACCTGGAACGATGGTCGCTCTGATGGGCTCGTCTGGCGCTGGCAAGTCCACCCTCCTCGACATCCTGGCCAAGCGAAAGGACACTGGCGAGATCACTGGAGACATCCGTCTAAATGACCGACCTTTGGACAAGTTCTTCAGTCGATACATCGCGTACGTCGAGCAGGAGGACAAGCTACTTGACACGCTCACTGTCCGCGAGGCCATCAAGTTTAGCAGCGACCTTCGTCTGCCGCAGGAGCTAACATCGGAGGCCAAGCAAGACGTCGTTGACTACATCCTGGAAGTTCTGGAACTAGACCACATTGAGGATACGATCATTGGTAAAACAGGCTGTGGCATCTCATTGGAGCAACGCAAGCGAGTCAACATTGGCATCGAGCTGGCCAGCAACCCAGACATCTTGTTCCTTGACGAGCCCACGACCGGCCTCGACGCAGTTAGCGCACAAAAGGTGATGAGTCTGGTCAAGAAGGTTACAAAGCAGGGACGTTCGGTGATCTGCACCGTCCATCAGCCTTCAGAGACCATCTTTAGGATGTTTGACTCGATCATGCTGCTCACCCAGGGTGGCTACACGGCATACTTTGGCGAGCTGGGTCCAGACTTCAGCACGGTACTCGCACACTGTCGCCTTGCCGGCCACACCTGTCCTCCCAACAAGAACCCTGCCGACTTTCTTCTCGACTACTCATCGTCCATCGATGCCATCACACGACTACAGAGCCATGACACGCCAGCCAAGATCAACTTTATCAAAAAATTGTTCAGCAACAAGGCCAACTCGACGGCGCCCAAGGAGGAGTCCTCGAATAGTATTACTCAATCAAACTCATCATTGACCTGCTGTCGAGAGTGTGGCGCCGAGAAGAAGGATGATGTGATCGATGTATATCTCAAATCACAGACATATCGCGACAACATGGCAACACTGGATCGCGGACTGCCCTCATCATTCCAGTCCAAGGTCTACACGTCTCGCTACTCGGCCAGCTTCCTCAAACAGGTACACGCACTGACCATGCGAACACTGCTCTCGATCTACCGCAGGAAGAACGTCATCATGGTGCGCGCCATCCGATCATTCATTCTGGCGTTGATCACTGGCACACTGTTCCTGCAGATTGACAATGACCAGGAGGGCGTGTTTGATCGCATATCCTTCATCTTCTTCTCGTCGACGTTCGCCTCCATCTCGTGCCTCTCCAACATCCCGTCGATCTTTGAAGATAGAACACTATTCTATCGCGAGCTGGACTCTGGCACGTACGGCCACTTGCCATTCATCCTGGTGATGATCGTCACCGACCTGCCCTTCACCATGGTCTACTCTAGCCTGTTCAGCATCCCCGTCTACTGGCTAGCGGGCATGGTCAACGACTGCCACAGCTTCATGATGTTCGTGGCGATGTACTACCTGTACGTGCAAGTGCTGATCGCCTTCTCACAGATGCTCGGCTTTGCCTGCCCCAACATCAGTGTAGCCAACGAGTTGACAGGCATCGTGTTCTCCTTCTTCTCGCTGTTTGCCGGCTTCATTATACGCCCTGCGTTCATCCCGTCCAACTTCCAATTCTTGTTCAACATCTCGTTGACACGATATGTGGTGGAGACACTGATGGTCAATGAGATGGACAGTGGCATACGGTTCTATTGCAAGCGATCACAGTTTGTACCTGTACCTGTGCGTATCAACTCGACCACTGTGGCACTGAAGCCATTCTGTCCAATACTTGATGGACCAACAGTCATGGAGATCTTTGATCTGCCTCGTGATGACCAATCCAACTTCCTAGTAGTATTCTTTGTCCTCATAGTTGTCATTGGCTTGACAATACTCGCATCTCGATTCTTCAAATACAAGAAATGAGTTTGGAAACTCACTTTGGCGACACCATCATCAATTGATTTACATTAATCGTTAAAGTTCCATAACTATTTATTTCCATTCATCATGTTAATTATCTTGATTTCTCGATGGACACTGGTCCCAATACCATATAGATAGGATGTATTCTTGGTTTTCTCTAACAAACAGAAGAGAGTTTGTTGATCAACACGTCTACAAGCAATGAATGCATTGTACTTGTTGTATTGTACTTTGTACTGGTCAACCTCAATCAGGCACACTGAAGCAGAGGGGAAGAATGACATCACTGACCTGATCAACATGACCGGATGGCGCAATAATGTTATGTATGAAAACCATACCAACTCCAAGGGCACAGTGAATTGAGCCTTTGTCGTGTAGTCATTGCTCTTCAGTTTCTTTGTAAACTCGTCAGGTGTAAGCATCGGCATGATGTTCTTGTCGATAAAGGCCTGACCGAGGGCCAGACGTTTGAGTGTCCTCAAGGACGGCAATAATTGATTGAAACCATTGCCCAGCTTCAACTTGGTCAATGATTGTGGGAGTAGCCGCGAGGTCAATGGCTGATTAAAGCTATCGCCAATCGAGAGGGTGGTCAATCCGCTGGGGAGGCTAACAAGTGGATGATTAAATTTGCTGCCAAGGTGGAGTTCGATCAAGCTGCTTGGCAACAACTTGGAGCTGAGTGACTGGCTGAAGTTATCGCCCAAGGTCAGATGTGTCAAAGTTGGTGGAATCATACCAGCTTTTAATACAATGATTGATTCTTCCAAATGCAGTGTCCTTGTACTCCTTAAAAACCATTCTTTGGACGCCTCCTCTGATATGAATGTGTGTCCATGAAATGACATGCGTGTCAGACTGGGAAATGACCCAATGATCGACTCTATTCTAGCTTCAGGTAACACAATATCCAACGACCTGATTGAGGACTTTTGAATCAAATTGTCATCGCAGATATTGAACAAGAGGTTGGTCGAGACCAGCATTGAGGTGATTGATTGTGGTAGGGCACCGTCATGGATCCTTAACCTTGCCCGATCACGGGGGATACTAATATGAGTGATGGAGTCAGGAAGAGTGCCGGGCAGTATGTCTTGATCAAATGTCTTTGAGTGAATGCCAAGGTGTGTTAAAGAGGCGGGCAGCCAACCAGATTCAATCAGTTGATTGTAAAGGAGTCCAAAGACTATCTTTGTAAGTGATGGAGGGAGACTTCCTGGCATGATCGGTTGATTGAACTTTCGACCAAATGTGAGATCGGTGAGCGAGGGAGGCAGCCATCCAACATGTATCGACAAGTTGAACTCATCTCCAAACTCAATAGATGTGATTGAGTTGGATATTGGGATGGTCATGTCCTTGATCGATGGAGCATGACTTTGTAACTCGCCAACATCTATTGTCATGTTCTCGTCAAAGTAGAAATGGGAACCTGTTGCGTATTGGGATCGACCAACCTCCAACGACGAGACAGTCTTTGTGTATGGCATTAAAGATTGATCACTTCTCCAACTATCTGAATCGGGACATATCTTTATCTTCCTCCTGGTACCATTCCAATACCTCTTGCATGTACAACGAAAGCATGCACCATCCAACAGATCCAACTCATTCACTATTTGTATAATAATCAAGATAGATAACCTCTCCATGTTTGATTGTTTGATTGGTTGTTTGGTTCATTAATAGAATGTTCAGTTTATTGGGAGCGGGGAGTGATCATCACTTCTCCTTTTTTGGAACTTCATCATTTATTTGATTGACTGAGCCATGTTGATAATCTTGATTTCTCGATGAGTGATCAATGAACTACCTGGGATGACGTAAAAGGAAGGACCCCCACGTGTGGTTGACCAATGGGAGGTGAGAACTTGTCAGTTTATATCCGTGAAGGACAGCAATGAAATGACTAATATTTTCACCTGTTAGTCACAAGAAAGATTGATAACTTGCCAATTGATGCTTAATATAGTAGTAATAGCATTCTGCTGTGCAAGAGCAACAATAATATCTATCTTTTATAATTATAGATCAACACCACACCAAATAAAAATTTATTTATTATTCATACATTGTCATTGTTAAATTAAACAATTATACAACATACAAATACTAAGATGTCAAACAACCAGTTGTTTGTCTTCATTATGGCAAAGGAAAAAAGAGAGGCAGGCCATTGACTCGAATAGACCAGGAGCAACACCAGCAACTGTTCCAGCACCTGTACCATCTCGAACACTTCCAGCTAGAACAACACAATCACAATCGTCATCATCTCAATCATCATCATCTCAATCATTATCATCACAATCATCATCATCTCAATCATCATCTCAATCATCATCATCTCAATCATCATCATCTCAATCATCTTCATCTTCATCTTCATCCCAAACATCAATAGGTGTGTCGACTCAACCTATTCGCATTGCGACTCCAAGAGTCCAACCTCGATCAATAACAGCCACAGGTACAACCTTGCAACAACATGGTCAACACAGTCCTTATGAAAGGGTGATTGACCTGTCTCAGAGTTGTCAACACATTGTTAACACAACAGCAGCAACTGACGAGTTAGATGACGACGATGAAGACACCATTGCTCAGATAATCAATGAGATGGCAATGATCAAACAGAACACTCCAGTGGTAATACCAGCAGCGGTGGAGGTAATACCAGCAGAGGTGGAGGTAATACCATCACCACCATCTCAATTGGCTGCTTCCAGTTCCTCGACAAGTTCAACGAAACAATTTCCACTAGGTCTCATCAAGCAGCTTGTAGATAACAACAATAATAATAATATTAATAATAATAATAATAAGGAGAAGGACAACAACGTCAATTATAAGTGCTCATTATGCCCAACAACAACAAGGTATTCATATAACTTATATGAACATATTCGGAAAAAACACAAAGTGGAATTGGGCAAGTTGAAGATCATTCCAACAACAACAACAACATTGACCAATCTGAGAACAGAAGATGGCAAGGCTCGCGACAAGTTGTGCGATCACTTTGGATGTCACGATCTAGTGGCCAACAGCAACTGGGCCCGGCACGTCCAGAACCTCAATTACCATCACAAAGTAATCAATAACGAGCAGTCATTGGCAGAGATATGCAACAGGTGCATGATTGTCAAGTTTAAGAATCGAATCAAAGCGACTGACAAGGTACACAATGCAACTGCAAGAAAGGGTATGAATTGCTAACCAAAGAACAACAACAACAACAACAACAACAACAACAACACATTTGATTAGATCATTTACTAATCAATCTCAACATCCTTCTCTTATTCAGATATACCTCTGCTCGAGATTGCCAAGTTGAAGGTACAATCCAAGACCAGTGATCTTGGCTACCTGGGTCTGTTCGACACGCCATTCGCTCGCATCATGCCATTCATCATCTCTCGTGGTCGCAAGATGATTGGGACGATAATAAAGGACGACATTGATTGCATCAAGCGCGTGCACACTGATGGGTTCGTCTCGACCAAGCCATGGACAGAGAAGACAGGCAAGAAGTCACTGGACTACCCCAAGTTGGGCAAGGAGTGCGGGGACCTGCGATACGAGGGCTTCTGTCCTGACGCAATTGTCAAGAACATGACCAAGGTCAATGGAAAGTTTATTGTATAAATATTGTTGGGGATAAGATATAATGAATGAGTTAATGGATCCTGAAGCAGTCAAACCAGAGACTGAAACAAAGAAGAAACAATTGTGTCTTAAATCAATATCACCATATCGTAGTGAGTATAATAGTTGTGCTCGCTGGGTCTGAACGCTCTGTGCTCACCTTTGATTATCGCGCGGTAGATGCCAAAGGGGAAGCCAGACTTGGCGCTGAGTTCCTCGTCAGTCAGTTGATGGAACTCGCCTTTCTTGATCGGCACTGAGAATGTGCTGCTCCTCATGATGGCTGCGTACATGCCAGAGACGTCGTATTTGTAGAGAGGGCCAGTGTATGTGTCGGCGAACCTCAATGGTCCATTCGATGACTTGGCTATCCACTTGGCCCTTCCTGTTCGATGATATCTGGAATGACATGCTTTGTTGTACTTGCTGAATAGGTTGAGGGCGGCTTTGTAAATGTTTGATCCTGTAAAGTACAAGTCGATGACGCCATTGGTACCTTCTTTGAGAGCGTCGGCGTCTTTGATGAAGTCCAGCCATGTCTCCTCCAGCGTCTTGATGGGYTTCTTGCTCCTCTTCTTGGCWGCCTCCACCTTGATGTATCGACACTTGGCRTCGTATTTCTGCTTCTTGAGCTCCTCGATGAGTGCYGTCTTGCTCATCGTGCTGTGGGTCGTGCCATCGAATAATTGGACTTGATCATTATCGTCGTCCCACTTGTATGCCACKACTGGGAGTATYCTGTCATCGTTGTATCTCTTGAGGATGATGCCCTTGGGTTCAAATGCGCCCTGTTTGTCAAGAGTGTAGTGCTCATTGGTTAATTTGAGGTGGACRACTCTGACGTAGTTCTCAGTTGAKRTCTTGCAATAATCACCTTTGACATTGATGCGCATCTTGAGCTTCTTCTCGATCGTTGGGATGARCTTGAGTGGCACCATGGCGTTGCGYTCTAGTTTGAAGAATCGCTTGAAGATCSRTGGCKTGCTAAAGTGCTCGGTCACCTCATCTGGATAGGCGGCTTTGAGGCAGTCGTAGAAGCAGTCGTTGTATTTGCCATTACAGCCGCCTGCTCTGAGGTTAGGATGAATGATGAAGATGTAGAAGCCCTTGATCGTGAGGTCATCGAGAGGGACTCCATCATACTCGTCTGGGTTGAACAGACTGATCGCATCACCTGCCTTTGTGAACTTGCCCGAGCGATATTGACGATTGGCATACTCGATTGCAACTTCGAGACGAGCAGCAGAACCATCATGATAGAGATCGTCACTGAGCCGTTGTGCAATCATTCTGATCGTGTCGCGATTGTAGGCTCCAGCATAATGTCTCATCTGACAGTCGAGGTTGTTGAGTCTGGTTGTGCTGTAGGTTGCTGGCATGTTATAACTTTACTAGAGATAATAAACTTATATCATTTAGAATTATTTGTTGGCCATCAACTGTCTGTGAATGTAGCCCTTCTTGTGTCTGTTGAGATTGGTGCGACCCACCTCAAAGCCACAGTCGCACTTGACCTTTTCTTTGATGTAGGCCTTGTGGCGCTCCCTGAACTCCGGATCTGATTGGTAATGATGTTTGATTGATGGCATCTTATATCTGTGTGAGAAATTTATTTATTTATTTATTTTATTTCAAGTTGTGAAAAGTCGCGACAATCAAAGTTGTGGCATTAGTCAATCAATTGATTGACCTTTCATTCATTCAAACACCTATCAACTTGCATGAGACTGTATGTTTATCAGTATATAAACTCTAATGCGAAGCTTAGGATGGTCATTCAACAAACCAACAGGATATCAGAGAATGAATAATCAACAAGCGGTTGTCCAACCTGCTCAAGTAGTTGCCCCTGCTGGTGCTCTCCCTGCCGATGCTCCGCTTGCCGGTGCACCTCTAGTTGAGGTTGCTGTCGTTGCCATTGAAGTCCCTCCTGCCCCTGCTAAGCCTGCTCCCCTCGGTGCTCCTGCTCCTCCTGGTGGTCCTCCTGTCGGTGCGCTGGTCGTAGCCAAACCTGCCGCCAAACCTGCCCCTCTTGTCCCTCGTCAGATAACAGTGCACTACGCCAACATTAACTTTTACTTTGCTGTCAACGGCAACATAAGGTACGAAGACCTAAGAGAACGTATTCTCCAGAGTCCCCTCAGTGTGAGCTTGCACAACTTGCGCAATCTCCAAGGTTGTGTCATCGAGTACCGTCCAGCTGCTGTGAATGCTGCCCTGGCCAACTCTACGGATCTGATCCCTGCTGGCACCGAGCACATCTACATCACTGAGCCTTCTGGTAAGTACTGACTCTGACACAAGTCAAGCTTTCATGGTCACTAACTGATGACTAGTCCGAGTCTTCTGGAGAGATGCAGATGCACAACCAGCACTGGAACCTCTTANNNNAGGATGTATAAGAAAGATCATGGCTGGCCTGATTTGGTTC